TTGCACAAAAACTCAAAGGGGCGCAAAACCTTAAAAGCATGACGCAAAGCTCGTCATTGCTTCCATCTCATTTAGCCCCTAGAAGAGAGGGCACTTTTTCAACCTCGCATGGGCATATTTTCGAAAGAGGGGACACACAACCACTCCACTCCCTATATCCTGATTGGAAATCTCATCGGATTCGAGTGCTATCAATTTAAATCAAACATTTCCGGTTACCTATGTTTCTTGCGCATTTATAAGGGCAGATAGGCGGTAGTTACTATACTTGTAACGTTAAACTGTGTGTTTAACGTTACAATTGATACAGTCTAAGACTCCTTACGCAAGTTCAAATACGTTCAAGCGCACAATTGTCAACACATATCATTACAGTTTGTATTGGAATAAGTAATCCTATGACAAATAGTGAAGACTGGACCACTACAATAGTTACCGAACAGTTTTTCTTTGTGGTTATGCGTTCTACAGTGCTCTGAATTTATGTCCGTCCATAATTCTGTATCCGTCCAATTTTTTGCACCTGTATTTCATATTTTGTATATTGGATGTTGTCCTCAAGGGAGGTTCCGATGCACCTGTACTTAATATTTCGTATATTGTATGTTGTCCTCAGGGAAGGTTCCGATGCAATACTGTGTGTCTTGTGTTATAATTGTCATATTGTTATAATTTTATGTACATGTTTATATTGTATGCTGTCCTAAATGGATGTTTCGATGCAATAAAATCGTATCTTATCTTATCTTTGCATAGCGATGTTTCTTGTAATGACGTATTACGCAAGCTGCCAGTTGAAATTTCGCGTAGCAGTTGGGTTTCATCAAATCATATAATTATGCGGTAAGGCTTCATCTTTATTTCAATGGGAATTGATTTATTATATGTTAAGCTATGTGCAGTACTGTTTTGTGTCAGTTTATGTGTAAATTAAGGAAGCTATAGGCCAGTAACCTTTTTGTAGTGATTTGACTAAAAAACTTGCGCAAAGGAACTCTGTAGGACGAGCCACTACTGTGACTGGAGTAGGGCGGAAGACATCAGTAGTGGAACCATTTCTAGGTAGGCAGCTGTCCACCTTGCCTATCCGTCCAGCACGAGTCTGATTTTAGGGTTTAAACGTCCATTTTGAGTTTCCAAAATATCGAGCCATACGTCCTTTAATTCTGAAATTTAAGTATAAGCTGGTGGGTGTCTAAAAATTTGAGTTTCTGTTGTATCGTTTAAAGATTTAGATAAAGAGCTGACGATTCTTGCTGAAATAGCTCAAAAATAGTTAATGTAAAATGAAAATATTGAAAATTTCAGTCAAATTACTTCATTCTGAGCCAAGTTATCAATGTTTGTAGTTTTGACAAGATGTGTGGAATGTGGTAACCAGGGCACTGGTGTGTTCGAGTCTTAGCCTCACTTTCCCATTTCTAAATGGCGAACTGTTCTAATCTAGTTAAAATCTCCAGTATCCGATGACATCGAGAGTTTTTTTTAAACAATATTTTATTCACAGGATACCGAAACAAGTCAAAGGCTTATATTATAAATCGGCTTCCCAAAAGCAAGATACATAAATGATATAAACATATATTATAATTATCAATATACATGTACATGGATTATTAAAGTACATATATTCTATACTAATATTTGTGACTGTCGTTTGTCTGTCTGTTTGTTTGTCTGTCTGTCTGTCTGTTCGGGGTTGGCGGCTACACTTGGTCTGCCCCGAGTCTGAAATTTGGGGTATAGGGGTAGCTCGGACCGGGGAGTAACACTGGCCAGGTGGCGTTAGTCTGCCACTTCCGGTTTCGGAGTTATGACCCCCGAGCGAGGGGTTGGCGGCTACACTAGGTCTGTCCCGATTCTGAAGTTTGGGGTATAGGGGTAGCTCGGACCGGGGAGTAACATAGGCCAGGTGGCGTTAGTATACCACTTCCGGTTTCGGAGTTATGACCCCCGAGCGAAGCTGGATATCCTGCTAGTATATAATAAGATTACAGGAAGAATATAATCATGTTTTAGCTATCATCAGGACCAAGAAGGGGTCGATACTCGACTGCTGAGTTTAAGTTCGTTACCTCAAAATAATGGGCGGCTATTGTAACGTATAACCGACGTTGGTGGGCGGGGCGGGGCGGGGCGGGGCGGGGCGAAGGTCCAATATACAAAGGACATCGAAAAGACTGTATAACATCCATAATGAAACTATTCGACAGGGTGCAGTTATTTGAGTTGATTATTAATTATTAAATTTCAAAGCGCTTGCATTATTTAATAAAATCATGAACAGCACATACAATATTTTCGTTAGTTGATTTGTGTGAATTCGAGTCACCATATAGTAAGATGCGAATCAGGGCCGGCGGAAGCAATTCTTTATTGGGGGGGGGGGCTAACATCCTAGGTCCTTAGGTGAGGGTCCAGGGGCCGTCTAGGCCCGGGAAGCTCTTGGGGGTCTAGATCGTCGGAGATGCTTTCTGAGCGATTTCTGGCTAATAAAACTATTCAGCAATGAAGTGAAATTGTATGTCTTTTTTAACTTCCTTACCATACAAACACAGTCGATGGTGAACTTGACAAAAAATGCATAAAAATACCAAGGTTGTGGACACCCTAGACGTCACAAGTTTTATACGATTTTGATGAAACTTACAATGTATGTTTATTACCGAAAGATCTCGGTTCCTTGCTATATTGGCGCATATAGGACCGTCACTTCCTGGATCAATGCCCCTGTTTGTACGAACAATGACATTTTAGTTTGTGGACCCTGTAGAAGAAATAGTTTTTTTTTGATTGTAAAAACCGTTCAACTATATCAGGTCACAACTTTAATCCCATATTGACGAAACTTGAAATATAGGTCTATCTCCCAAAGATCTCGGTTTTATTACTTTCGATATTGGCATAAATCGGACCATAACTTCATGGGTTATGACCTCTGATTATACGAAAAATCACGTTTTTAGCTTACGGAAACTCTAAAGGTCACAATTTTCATCCTTTCCATATTCGCGCATATCCGATTGTAACTTCCTGGATTATAGCCCCTGGCTGTACGAAAAAAAGGGGTTTTAGCTTGTGTCGGTTACAATTTTTATCCGATTTATCCGTTCGAATATATCACTGTTATACCATAATTACGGTTGAGTTCACATTTCCTGAAGATCGGGTCGAGCTGCCCAACTAAACGCATGTAATACCCGAGTTAGATCTAAATCAAGGTCACCTACAGATTTCACCAAAGTCACAATATGCAAAATTGTAAACAGGGATAGCACCAATCTTAACCCGAGATCTAGCCCTAACCCTCGGCAACAATCACGTGCCCTAGTCCTGATCACATATCGTGACCTTGACGAAATCTGCCGGTGGCTTTAATATTTAAATCTGACCGTAATACCCAGATTGTAGACTATACAGCGGCTTGAATTCTTATCCGATTTTGATGAACCTTAAAATATATATCTTCAATCCAAAGATCTGGGTCCCTTTCGATATTGGCGCGTATTGGATCGTAACTTCCTGGATTATGACCCCCTGGCTGTACGAATTATCACTTCTTTAGCTTATGGGAAGTCTAGAGGTCACAATTTCTATCTTATTTTCAAACATCTTCTACACCATAATTATTTCCTCAAAATGGGACCAAAACTTCCCCGTCAAATAGCCACTCCCCTTTACGAAACTAGTATAATAAAAGCATGTAATACCCAGGTCGTGGACCATCTAGAGGTCACAGTTATATACTCGATTTAGATGAAACTTCAATCGGTATCGTGAACCGTTCACGATGAAACTTAAACTGTGTGTTAAGGATCAAAAGTTCTTGGATGAGGTCGACTTTGGTAGCATCAGACCTTACATTCTAAAGCTATAGCCCCTGCTTTTCACGCAAAATTTGAAATATGTACGGATTTTATAGGCCTTCCATGGGGGCGACCCTCGGAACCGTAGGTCTCTTAACCCAAAGATCGGTATAGAGCATAGCAGGGTTTTCTTCTTCTGAAAGTCTACGTACTAGAAGTCTCACTTTCATGTTAAAATCAAGCCTCTTCTTTTTATTGAATAGTTACGTGCGTGCAATAACCTGGAGAAAATAGTACTTGTGGCCAAATAATTTGCCGCCCCCCCCCCCACTCCGCCGGGCCTGCGAATGTTTTGTTTATCGGGTGGGAGAGTTTTTATAGTTGTTTGTCGTATTAAAATAATTTGGACAGTGTAGAAGGAAGTGGTAACTATCTTCAATGTTATGGCCGCGTCTACACAATGGATTATTTGATACATGCATTATTAATAGTTTATATAACATTTCAGACCTAAAGAAAGACCTGTAATAGACAGATTTAGCTCTTCCATAATGTTTAATTAATAGCTTATATAACATTTCAGACCTAAAGAAAGACCTGCAATAGACAGATTTAGCTCTTGCATAATGTAAGTTTAATAGAGATTAAGTATACGCTGGTGGGTATCTAAAGAATCGAGCCATACTTCCTTTAAATCTGTTGTATCGTTTAATGCAGAATACGCTGGTGGGTGTCTTAAACATCTTGACATTGTGAAAACTCTCTTTAAAGTAGCTTAGTCTTTAACTCAATATTATCCAAAGTCTTCGACTTTGAAAACACGAATTATTTGTCAATTTAAATCAGCACATTTGTCGTGATCTTACCGGGAAAAGATGGGCTTCTGATATCCAATATCTAAGACAAAATAAACATTTTACCATTGGCCCACGAATCGTGTGCCATAATGCGTTTCTGCGCCATTTGTAACAGGGGATTCGAAGAATGGGGCTAGACATATTCCACAAGTCATGTCAAAATGTGACGCCATATTCTTATCTGGAGAGCATGCGTAATAAATACTATCAGTGCAGACTGGAATATCCAGACGCTTGAGATTGCCATTCGACAGAGACTTCTGCCGTATTTCGCCGAACATAACTGATTAGAAATTACAGTAAAAACAGAAACGATTGAATGTAAATCAGTTTATATACATTCATATTACATTATTACATGCGTTGCGACCCATTTGTGTCAATATTAGCGAATTAGCTTCTTTAATGTCACTATAGCTAAGAATCACTAAAAGTTATATCTAACGATGGATGTGTTTCTTGTTTTTGTATTCTCTGTAAATGTCACAATTTGAAAAAAAAAAACAGTTTGACGAAACCCACTAATGTCCTTGCCACATTTATTTACACAGGAAATTGATCATCCTTTTTCTGTACCTGCTATTTATTCAGAATCTGGTGTCTCTACGCCTGCAACAATTTTATGGTTTCTGATAAGATGGTCCCCATAATGTTTATTTTTCTCCGATTACCAATTCGCTATGATTAATATTATTTATAAATTTCTGAGATTACCTGAAACAAATAAAAGAAAATCATGTATATTTTTAGATGCAATAAGAGGAGTCTGGGCCGTCTAAACATCATTAAATCCCCCGGTGGAGGAGTCCACTTGGGCCCCTACCTACCTACAAGAGGAGTCACGGTGCAGAGCTCACACTGTCGGTCGCCAAAGTTGCAATTTTGGCTTGGCGATAATCTTTTGCGGTACTGGCGATTCTTTTCGAGAACTGTCAGGAAAAAAAAATCTTAAAGACCACATAAGATGAAAAATCTTAATTGCATGTACTTATAGCCAATGGTTATTATATTCATTTTACGGCAAGTTCAAACCAATCTGATTAAAACTAATTCAGCTATTAAGATTTAAGAATCCGAAAGCCAAAAACGGTTTTCAAATTTTCAATTACAACCTTAATCCGGTTGATTGGTTGGTGAAGTCACAGGCACTACACATACCTTATAATAATAATAATAATAATAAAATAATAATAATAATAACTAGATCTGCATAGCAGATATCAAAGCTTTCATATAAACTTCAAAAGGGGTTATTAGAATCTATGAATCAACAACCACTCTGACGGAAGATATTCTCTGGGCTAAAAAATCTTTTTTCTCTCAGCTACGAGAGATACGTAGAATTAAACCGGCCCAGAGCCGACCGTGTTGATACGAAGCCGCTTATTTGACATTGACACATAACTGAAGGTGAATAGGCCTACCCGTCCAGTTAATACAATGGGCAATCTCACATCGGTCCACTAAAGAGAGGCACATGCTAGTCGCCCCCTACTTCCCCAAGACATTTAGTCCAAACCTTGACTCTCATACATATAAACCATTTGGTACTACATGTACATGTATTTCGTACTTATATCATATTAAACCCCTCGGCCGCCATGTTGAATCACACAGTATTTAACGTTCTATATCCTAACATCTTTATGAAATCAACGACAAATCTAAACTTGGGCACTCCAACCATTTTTATTTTTACATCATTCAGTTTTTTTTAAATAAGTAATTCTATCACAAATTATAGTGAAGACTGGACCACTAAACTAGTTACCCATCAGTTTTTCTTTGTGTTAATGCGTTCTACATTTTCAAAGCAATGATTCTTATAATGTGCGAGCCGCCATGACACCGGCGGATATTATAACTTCGATAGGCGAGAAACTTCAGGTAGCAGTTGGGTTTCATCAAATCATATAATTATGCGGTACGGCTTCACCTTTATTTCAATGGGAATTGGTTTATTATATGTGCAGTGCAGTTTTAGGTCAGTTTATGTGTAAATTAAGGGAGCTATACATAGGCCAGTAACCTTTTTGTAGTCATTTGACTAAAAAAAACTTGCAGAAAGGAACTCCGTAGGACAAGCCACTACTGTGGCAGGAGTAAGGCGGAAGACATCAGTAGTGGAACCATTTCTAAGTTAATCCCGAAGTGCGTTGCTATTGTAAGAATATATAAAATCGGGTTTCCGTTCCGCTTTTTTTTTGCTGTAGTTTGAGTAATGAGTTAGAGCGTATATTTTGTAGTCAAAAAATCATTGCAAATAGAAGACCTCATCCCCACCACCACCAACCTGTAATACACTAGCTAGCTTGTGTATTTCCATATTCCATTTCCGAGAGATAGATAGAGAACACGCGAAATATAAAGTGATTTTTCTTACAATCAGGGACCATAATTCATGAAGTTACGATTCGATATGCGCAAATATCGAAAGGAACCATATCTTTGGGTTATAAACATGCATGTCAAGTTTCATCAAAATCTTTCACTGTGAAAAACCGGGGCTAAGTCATCTGAAATCAAACAAATTTTACAATGTAGGTAGTGAAAACAAAATGTTATGTTAAGCGTTGTTCGAGGGTGGGGTGGGTGCATAAAATTCCAAATGCAAAGGGTTATTTTTCGTGCACGCCAATATGCACACAGGATTTCGATTTTTCGTGCTACCTAAAAAAAACTGCACGCAAAGTTAGTTGTCGGGCCTTCGGTCAAGAACCACAGACAAAGGGAGAGAACGGGGACCTCTGTTTTGCATACCATCCAAGCGACTAGGCACTAATCCTTGTACCATGGACGAGGGGACGGGCGTTTTTCGTCCCATCGAAACGACTAGACACAGATCCTTGCTAGGCCTTCCATACTTCACCACTGCCAACGGGGAACCACTTTGACCTCGGGTTTTCGTACCATCCAAACGACTAGACACTAATCCTTGCAAGGCCTTCCGTTCTGCAGCAAATGAGCCACGCTGGCCTCGTTTTGTCGTAACATACAAACGACTAGACAATGTTTCATAATTTAGTCATGTTCGCGTGGGTGGGTTGGCAGCAGAATTGATATGTACATGATAGTGACCTCTGTAAATAGGCCCGTTCCTTGCATTTAGTTTTAGAGTTAGGAGTGCTAAAATTGAGAGAGCGAAATGGGGTTGATCGACCACTCGACACAAACTAGGTCATTTCGGGACTAACGTATGGTTCAATTTTATTTCAATAATTCGCTTGCGCGTAGGGGTCTAGCAGTGGGGGGAAACCGGGTGATCCTGAAAAAATACACAGGTTGGACGGGCGACCTACTCCTTGTCACGTACGGAAAGATACCCCAGCAGTCAAAATAGGTCAAAATAGGCGATTTCGGTTTCTAGTGTCGATGCATCGTTACGGTCAGTTTAAAAAATTGTCTTTTAAGGATAATGTGTATAGTACCAATACCTATCACATACGGAAGAGGCGATAAAATCTCTTTGCATTTCCAATTTCAAAATTAATTAAAACCAATATTAAATTCCGAAAATCGTTTTTTTGCTAAAACTCTTTTCTTTTTAATGTGATCAAAATGGGGGTAAAGCACAGAGTCAGGGGTGGTAATGGGCGTATTGTGTCCTAATTTCATGGTTTTCGGACAATCGGTGCCGGTGTCACGGCGAAATTCCACTTTTTTCCCCTCATGGAAGCCGTAAATTGACGCAAGGAGTGGGGTCGCCTGTCCAACCTTGTGGGTTTTCTCCGGGTCCTCCCACTGCTAAAGACCCCTACGCGCAAGCGAATTATTGAAATAAAATTAAACCATATGTTGGTCCCGAAATGACCTAGTTTGTGTCGAGTGGACGTTAAACCCCATTTCTCTCTCTCTCTCTCTCTCTCTCTCTCTCTCCGTAAATTGACTTGAGGCCAGTGTCCTTTCAGTTGTACAGCGGCACCAGGTGACCGATATTTATTTAACGGGGAATAAGTGATAATTCATATTATAGCAGTAAATAATTAAAATATTTCATAGGGATTATAATAATATATCATGTCTGGGTATTACAGGGTTAAAACCAATATTAAATTCCGAAAATCGTTTTTTTGCTAAAACTCTTTTTTTTTAATGGGATCAAAATGGGGGTAAAGCACAGAGTCCGGGGTGGTAATGGGCGTATTGTGTCCAAATTTCATGGTTTTCGGACAATCGGTGCCGGTGTCACGGCGAAATTCCACTTTTTTTCCCTCATGGAAGCCGTAAAAACGACGAAAGGCAGGTGACAAGAACAAACGACTTGAACGAATGCAGGTATCACCTTGAAATTTTCAGGGTGCCTAGGTACCAACGTGAAAAGTTGCTCGCCGGAATTTAGTACTCATGGTACCGTTGGTTCCTGTGTAGCGCATGCGCGAAATCAAAACCAGCTAAACTCGAAAACAACCTTGTCGGCACGGAAAACATCAAAGGAGAAATTCGAATTTTTGAAATATTCAAATACCAAACATTCGACCATGATCCAGGCTATCCTCAAATGTATTAATTTCGGTAATAGGAGACAGATTCTCTAAGCCACGACCAATTGTGTATGTTTTCAAGCCCATAAATGTGGATTTTTCACTAATTTTCATTTTCATTTCAAAATGGCGTCCATCAGTTGACCTAAATCAAAATTCTAAACCGATAGATTTTTAGGCTTTCCTTCAAGCATTCAGAAAATGTAACTCTTATGTCTTTAAGTAAAATATTGCAAAAGCCGTATGGACTTTTCACATTTTGAGATGGTGGCACTTCCGGTTTGCTCGACAAACTCCATATTTTGTGTACTCATCAGTACTGTCTTAGCTAGTACAGAAAAAAAATTTCAAGGCAATTTGACCTATATTTCGTCGATTTTTTTGAAAAATTTGATCCTTAATTTCACCAAGGGGAGATAATTTAGAAAATTTCCGAGGACATCATTGAAGTCGCATTGGCAAGATCTACTAACATTCTAAATTTCACGAAAATCGCACAACTATTAAAGAAGTTGTCAAATTGATAATAACTTCCGGTTCGAAATGACAGCGACGAATTTTCGAAATGCCAAAATCCGAAATTGCAGATTTGAAGTAAATGTTTCAAGATACTCAAAGAAAAAAGAATTAGTAAAATAGGTCAAATAGTCACAGAGTTACAGCATTGTAGGTCAAATGCATTCCTTCGTAAAATTCGGTGATTTCGGATTCGTAAAACGTTTTGAAAATATATTTAATCAACAGCCACCACCCATTTTTGGGGGGATTGGTAAAAGTTTCAGAACGATCCTATGGTTAGATTCTGAGAAATCCGATTTGTGGACAAAACACAAAAAAAAAATAACAATAATAATCTTAACAGAAACAATAAGCTTTCATATGTAATATGAAAGCTTAATAATAATTTATTAAACTTATATAGCGCCAAAATCCAGCTGGAAACAGCTGCTCTATGGCGCTTTTACAATGATACAATTTGAAAAAGCGAATAGATTCTTTAAAAATAAAAAATAAGGTACAACAAAGAAAACCATAACATATAATAGACATGTAAAAGTATATTAGTAAACTTATTAAATAACATAAAAGACAAGTAAAAGTATTTCAGTAAACTTATTAAAAAAAACCCAAAAAACACATCAGGCATTTGGATCTCCTATTTTAACTTGTTTTCATTATGACAAAGTGAGAAGATGACCCGCCCTCTCTTCACACGACAGCATTTTTAAAACTGTGTTTTAAAGTGATTTTTAGATAAACAAGAATTTTGTATTATTTTAAATCTGTTTTAAATTGACTTTTAGATATACAAGAACTTTGTATTATTTTAAATCTGTTTTAAAGTGACTTTTAGATATACAAGAACATTTTACTATTTAGTGTTTTTACCTATCTTCTATATATTAGGCCTACTCATTCAGATGTAAATAACTTAATTAAATCAACCTGTTCATAATATCATGCATTATGTATTAAAAGTTAAATTTGTAATAAACAACAACAGGATGTAATCAAAATGGCCGACAGTTCCTTTCGAAGAAAATTAAATATTTTGATAGCTGAATTCCGTTTACAGTGGCTTCATATACGGCATGTAAAATAGGCTATACAAACATGCCTATCGGATATCATTATTTCAAATTATATTAACACCACTGATCGATAATTGTGACGATTCTTGAGAGAGAAAAGTTCGCCATTTGTATTATATTTGTAAAATTGGCAATCCTTGGATGAGATTTGACGTGTAAAATACTGAAAATATATTGTGCAGTACCGTGTTCAAATAGACTAAAGTCATCAAAAATAAAATCGGATCTTATAAAATCCAAACTTTGCTAATCTATTATGTAAAGACAGGTTTTTAAAGTTGTTGTATATTGTATATATCGGTAGGTAAATAATAAGCCTAGCTGAGACATAAAATTGTTAGGTGTTGTCTTTTTTATCAAACATTTTTGGCAGATAGAATATTCTAGTTGGCGGGAAAAGATATGAACATTGTTTTTATATAAAAATTATCATCCATTTTAGCGAAAAAAACAATTGAAAGCCAGTGTGAGCTCTGCCACGGTGGCTTATAAGTGGGTAAGACGATGGCTCGCAAGTCTGAAGGTCTCGTGTTCGATCCCTGCATTGGCCGATAAAGTTCATCGGATTTTCCGGCGTGGTGTCCCCTTGCCAGTAGTGCAGGACGGAGGGCCTGGCAAGGACAACTGTCTAGTCGTTCGGATGGGACGATAAACCGAGGTCCCCGTATGTACATGTACATTGGCGTGCACGTAAAAGATTCCTTAAAAGTGTAGACTATAGTGTCGCTTCCCGAGCAATATTTCCCTCATAGCACACTGTATGGCGTATGGCCGTCTCCATTAGCTCAGTCGGAGCAGAACAGCAAGACGCTCAACCCCATTTTATGTCATTTTTATTTCATTTCCTACAGGACCACCCATAGCAATAAAAATATAACTGATCGATAATCAGTGTTTCAACAAACAAGAGCATCGCTACCGCTGCAATATACGTCCACATTCCTGCTTTGATTGATATGGTACTTTTTAAAACTAGAAATGGGCGTGGCTCTGCCCCTGGGGGTCGGGCATGCACCAAAAACAATAGGGATCTTCCTTGGGGTATAAGGAATAAGTATACCAAGTTTGAAGAAAATCCAGTAAGAATTGCGCCCTGTAGGCGACACAAAGACACACGAAAAGAAAATGGGAAATGGGCGTGGCTCTGCCCCTGGGGGTTGGGCATGTACCCCAAACGATAGGGATGTTCCTTAGGGTACAAAGAATGTGTATGCAAGATTATAAGTTAAGAAATGTGGCCTGTAGACGACAAACAAACAAATACTAGAAATGGGCGTGGCTCTGCCCCGGGGGGTCGGGCATGCACCAAAAACAATAGGGATCTTCCTTGGGGTATAAGGAATAAGTATACCAAGTTTGAAGAAAATCCATGAAGAATTGCGCCCTGTAGGCGAACCACAGACACACACACACACACACACACACACACACACACACACACATACATACATACACACACACACACACACAGACAGGGGCGACGGCATAATACGTTCACATTATGAATGTGGACGTATAAAAATAAACACACTTGTATGGATATACTACTTCTGAATTTTATTAACATGAGAGAGAGAGAAATGGGGTTTAACGTCCACTCGACACAAACTAGGTCATTTCGGGACTAACATATGGTTTAATTTTATTTCAACAACTCGCTTGCGCGTAGGGGTCTTTAGCAGTGGGAGGAAACCAGAGGACCCGGAGAAAACCCACGAGGTTGGACAGGCGACCCTACTCCTTGTCACGTACAACCGGGGATTCGAAAGCACGCCAGTCGACTCAATGACATTTTATTAACATGCTACGTTTCAATGCACATACAGGTATCGTTATCAAGCAAATAATGATTAATTAACAAAAACGTGGTGCAATATATAGATGAACAGAAATTGGCGGGGGGGGGGGGCATGTACCACATGTTCTTTTTTCTTTTTACCTGCTAAAATAGTTTCTTCTTGTTATCTATATATTTGTTCTGGTTAATTAATTGTGGTCATTGGTTTATCTGCAAAATGGTTTCTAATTGTTATCTTTGATCTGGTTGATTAATTGTTATCTTTGATCTGGTTGATTAATTGTTGTTATTGTGTTATCTGCTAAATGGTTTCTACCTGTTGTCTATATATTATATCTTTCATCTTGTTAATCAATTTGTTGTTATTGTTTTATCTGCTATATGGCTTCCAAAGTGTTCATCTATATATTGCACCACGTTTTTGTTACTTAATCATTATTTGCTTGATAAGGAAAAAACGATACCTGTATGTGTATTGAAACGTAGCATGTTAATAAAATTCAGAAGTAGTATATCCATACAAGTGTGTTTATTTTTAGTGAAATCTATTTCTATATGTCTTATTTCTATATGTCTTATATGGGGGGTTGGATGGCTAAATGGTTAGCGTGCGCGCGCTGTATCATAAAGTCTGTCATTGAGTCAACTGGCGTGGTTTCGAATCCCCGGTTGTACGTGACAAGGAGTAGGGTCGCCTGTCCAACCTCGTGGGTTTCCTCCGGGTCCTCCGGTTTCCTCCCACAGCTAAAGATCCCTACGCGCAAGCGAATTATGGAAATAAAATTGAACCATATGTTAGTCCCGAAATGACCTAGTTTGTGTCGAGTGGACGTTAAACCCCATTTCTCTCTCTCTCTCTCTATATGTCTTATAAGGGTTAGTGTTTAAACATTAAAGATCATGTTGTATAGCAAAGATGGGACACGGCTCGAGGTACACATTGTGTTAAGACGGCATTGACCCGCTAACAGGAGGTTTTGAGTTCCCTCTCCGCAGTGTTGGCCGAGAAAGTTCCTCTGGATTTTCCGGCGTGACCAATGCCCCCCCCCCCGTTTGTAAGTGATGCAGCCGCCCAGAATAGAGGGTCGGGCAACGAACAGCGTCTATCCGTTTGGATGAAACGAAAAACCGTGAACGCATTGAAAATAACTATAGGCCTATTGTACACGCAACACATCAATTTATAGAAAATTGGCAATCCTTGAATGAGATCTGACGTGTAAATACTCAAAATATACTGTGCAGTACGGTGTACAAATAGTCTAAAGTCACCAAAAATAAAAAAGGATCTTATTGTATCCAAACTGTGCTAATGTATTATTAACAGACAGATTTTTACAGTTGTTGTATATTGTATTGAATATATCGGTAATTGTTTTAGAATATTAATAAGCCTAGCTGAGACATAAAATCGTTAGATGTTGTCTTTTTTATCACATATTTTTGGCAGATAAAATATTCCAGTTGGCGGAAAAAAATATGAACATTTTTTTATATAAAAATTATCATCTATTTTGGCGGAAAAAAAATTGAAAGCCAGTGTGATCCCTGTTCAAAAACAATGATAACCCAATATTAAATTTACAGGTAATTACTCACTCAAAAATGGCGATATTTACAGATACATACTCACTCAAAGACCCAAAGACCGTGAAGTCCAGAAAATTCTTCCCAGAAATCCATTGCCATAGAGACCGGTGTAGAGTTTGTTTCCTGTGACGTATTTTTTGCCTTTTTTGTAAGATCCACCCGTAAATAAACGGTTTAATCTGTCTTGATTTTGAATAATATTTAGATACTGTGGTCGAAAAACACTATATACTGGGCCATACATCCCATACAATCCACCAGGGGATGTGGCATTACTCGCCAACACCAACCAAAATATACACAGAAAAACTGACCGATTCATCTGCAAAGGAAAAAAAAACAAAACAAAAATATTTACCCAAACTTAATTGTCCCGTTCTGGGGTGGACTGGGACCAACTGGTTTCCTTGGGTGCTCATTGGCATGAGGATTACGTCATACAGAAATTGGACATACGGTACTGGGGCGGACTAGGTAACTCTGGGCGGACTAACTGGTTTCCTTGGGCCTCGGTTGCCTGGAGGAGATCTCGAAACGAGCTTGATTTAGTTTTCCTGCACCCTACTCACAGATCAGCGATAAGGTGCAGGGACGGACTGGGTAGATCTGGGCCGCTTAGACCAACTGGTTTCCTTGAAAAAACTAGCTTTATTTACCACCAAAGGGGCATTATAGAAGAATAGATAAAGAGCTGACAGTTCTCGCTATAATAGTTAAAAACTAGATAACGTAAAAATAATATGCTGAAGATTTTAGTCAAATTATTTCAATCTCAATTTTAATAAAAATACAGATCTATATTTCGTTTCGTTTTTTTTTATACTCTCGATGACCGACACTACATGAGGATCTAACCGGTTGTAGTGGAAGGTCGCCGTAACAGACCCTAAAGGTCCGTTCATACTACATCCGTATCCGTATCTGTAAATACGTACTGGTATACTTTAGTCATTTTTAGAGAAAGGGTTCAAATAGAATCCGGCATGTATTGCGCACAAAAACAACTGCGTCCGTGAAGCCGGATTGATTGCTCCCAGAGCGTATTTTTGTAAAGAGCGTCCGGCATTTCGGCTAGTGAGCCTGGTGAGCCGAGCTTTAGCCAATCAGCAAGTACTTTCCCCATATTACATCATCTCCCCATATAAAAAGTCAATCTCTGACAGACAATTCAGTCTTGAAAACCGGACGTTTTCGCGTTTTCTATTTGAACGGCAAAATGCGGGTGCGGATGCGGATACGTTTATGGATACGGATGTAGTATGAACCGAGCTCAACCCCTCAGTCAGAATGCAGGTTATAACAACTCTTCCAGGGTCATGTTTCACGAAATCTTAAAGATAAAATCCAAATTTTAGTAGATACTTCAATTTTGATTGGCTAAGCACTAAAATCAATCTAATATTATCCAATCAAATTACTAAAATTTGGATTTTATCTTAGTTAAAATTTCGTGAAACAGGCCCCTGATCGACTAAATCTATTTGTTAAGCCCAGCTTAATTTTTTGTCAAGGTCGCTGAGATGTAAATAAGATTACGACACGTGATTGTTGATGAGATTGTAGGGTTAGGGTAAGCATTGGGACTACGTCCAGGGTTAGGTCGAAAAATTGAGCTAGCCTTATCATTTAGAAACAACTCTTCCAGATCCTAGTGTAGCAAAGACAAATAAAACGAAATTTTGAACTATAAAAACGAAACGAAATATGATCTGTGTTTTAATCAGATTGGCAGATCTCCAAAGCCTCTTTATGCCCTTCTTCATTATCCCAGTGGGTGCCGAAATGTAGAACGTTAACCCCATTTCATTTAAAATTACAAATGCCACGGTTTATAAAAATTCTATTAATTCAAAAACTTAAATAATGCATTATGTAAGATTTAGTTAAAGAACTGGATGTTCCAGCTATAATAGTTAAAAAAACAATAGATAAAAAAATGGATAATATTGAAAATTTCATTCAAATTACTTTATTCTGAGCAAAGTAATTATGACTATTTGAAAATATAGTATAGATCATTCGTTATCGTAGCAACGGTACTTGACAACCGAAACTTAGCCTCGATTGTCTATAATTTTAAATCCATTTAAATTTCACCCAAGGTGTAGAGAGTTGATTCTAACTTGTCATGATGTTATTAAATGTTATTAGATAATTTTGGGGGGTCGAATGGTTAGCGCCTGCGCGTTGTATCATAAGGTCTGTCATTGAGTCAACTGGTGTGGTTTCGATTCCCCGGTTGTACGTGGGTTTTCTCCGGGTACTTTGGTTTCCTACCACTGCTTAGGGCAAAGACCCCTACGCACAAGCGGATTATTGAAATAAAATTGAACCATGTTTGTCTCGAAAAGACCTAGTTTGTGTCGAGGGGACGCTAAACCCCCAACCTCTCTCTTAAATAATTATTATAACATTTGAAGCCAAATTACACACCTGCAATTTGCAGATTTAGCTCCCAACCTAACGCATCTCTAAAAACACAAAACTATATCGTTCACCTTTATACTTATAAAGATATGCATAAATATAAATATCGGTTATTTATCCAAAATAGAAATAAAATTCACAAACATAATTACGTTGTAAGCGACTTTTCTTATAGACCTACCTTTAAGATCCAATAATGCAGCTTCTCTGTGTCGTGTCGTGTTCGTCGTTCAGTGTCTGAAATACAATAGAAGAAGGTAATGGAAGCGGCGAAAGCGCAAAGACCGAAGACCTTAAATAGCGAGTGAATGGATAATGAAAACATCTACCAATCATATTGTGCTAACGAATATAATCCTCATCGTTATAACACCTTGTCTTATTAAACGACGCTAGTTTAATTTCCTGTTCTTTAAATGGCATTTAGTAATTGGAACATAATCAAATAACACACTATTTATGGATAACATTGTGGATTATTTATGTAAAGATTGGCGTGTGATTTGGACCAATTCCACCATAATGAAGGAATTGTGTACCGCAGGGCATATTTTAAAGTTTTATTGACGAAGCACGGTTCCCGGAGATGGAGGGGTTTTGTTGGGTATTTCCCCCGTTGGGTTCCGACAAAATGTCCAAAACGTGATTCACGATTTCCCACACAGAACTTGATACGCTCAATTTAGTTTTTTCCATCACCTTTATCAGCTCTACTATGTCGAGGGAGGGGGGGGGGGTTGGATGACCGAATGGTTAGCACGTGCGCGCTGTATCATAAGGTCTGTCATTGAGTCAACTGGCGTGGTTTCGATTCCCCGGTTGTACGTGACAAGGAGTAGGGTCGCCTAGCTGTCCAACCTCATGGGTTTTCTCCGGATCCTCCAGTTTCCTCCCACTGCTAATGACCCCTGAAATAAAATTAAACCATATGTTAGTCCCGAAATGACCTCTCTCACTATGTCAGAATAAACCTTCTGAAATCGTAACCAATTAGTCGTTACCTCTATCGCTTCCACAAGGTTTTCGAGGGGGGCTACTCCGGAACTGATGGTCGCGTAGCTACGAGAACGTAACTAAAAACGCTGAGATAAACTGATGTGCTTATTTTTTAGCTACGATTGGATGCCTTTAGTTCCAAGAGGCAAACTCAATTTCTTTATTAATGTATGTACCATCTTAAAAATAAGTTAATTTTATACTATTAGTACTTATTACACATACGCAGTCCAATCTACCGAAACAACATTCATTTATCAGCAAATATTGACAATAAAGTAAATCAAGCGTTGTTTTTATCAAAATTAATTCGGACGTTCATAATTACGCCGTATAACTACTGCGCCTTTATGTGTTACAGACGTAAATTTAAAATGTCGGAAAGAGCAATCTACTGTCGCTTTGATTTAAAAAGAAGGGATTTGTACCCGTTTCAGGTAGGATTATATGCTTAATTGTAGTTGGGTGTGGCAGAAATATTATAAATAACAATAACCAATTGTTGTTTTGATTAAAAATATTGTCAATTTTGTTTACAAATGCCGGGTGCGAATCGCTCCCGCATGTGAGCCACATTGAAGGTAATGGCATCATCTCTTATCTCGAAACACGGAGGTTTGGTTGAGAGATTAAGGTTTGTTATCTAAAGGTCGCGGAATGCTGATTATCGATAGGATCGTGCTCCCATGTTCCCAATTGTTAACACTATAAAGCCCACAAACTTGGTTACGCTTTGTGTATATAAGGCCATAACCCAAGCAGTTAGACTAAGATCGAATTCAACCAAGATCTCTTGACCCTCAACATATGAAACAGGCAAAACTTGATCGACAAGTAAAGATGCTACATTATCAAAATTTACATAATTTATAGATTTGTATGTATAACTGCGTATCGGTATCACCGACCGTCTACCTGGCAAAATTAATTTCATTATTGATGCATGTAGCATCTTGAAAATAAGTTAATTTTATACTAATAGAACTTATTAAACATACGCACCCCACTAGTGAAACAACTTTGGTTTATTTTCAAATTGTAAATCAAGTGTTGTTTTTATCAAAATTAATACGGACATTCATAATAACGATGTATTATTCCTGCGCAACTCATAACAGGTTAGTACTTTATATAATTTGTACACGATGCGCCCCGCCTTCATGACGTCAAAGATATCTAATTTAAAATGCCGGGGCGTCAGTCTGTTATTTCTTCGATTTAAAATGTCAATTTTCCTTAATGAAACCCGACGTATATCACGTGGGGTTTTGTAAGGTAAAACTATAAAGCACCCTCTCTTATCTCGAAACACGAAGGGTTGAGGGGTGAGGTTTCTTATCTGCTAGGCAACATGACCAGATCGTCACCCATGCGTCGCCGCAAGTGGGTTTTTTTTTTTTTTTGGTTTTTTTTTTGACTGTCAGTTGCCCAAAGAGGTTTTGGACGCCAGTACCGCACAGTACTGGTAGCCACTGTGCCACATCTCGCAACACTGTGTTACTCATAAAGATGTAAACACATGTATATGTATTTCTGTGCTTTCCTTTTGCGTTCGCGTCACTTCCTATTGTTGAAACATTGATTCCACATCTATCGTAGCAATGATCTCTGTGATAAAATAATATTTGGAACGTGTTTAACCAGTTCTATCACATATGTAATAATGACTGGCACCAATATTGTCCTTTATCGTATACAGGGCAGAAATAAATGAACGTGTTCAAAAATGTAATTAACTGATAATTCTGAGCTTTAAAGCTCATTGCTATTTTCTTGCCATGACACCAGTTCATAATTTACATCGAAAATGCTTACAAATGTTTTTTCCAGCAAATGCCAGACCGAGTTTGTAGTAAGTACTCATCCCCTTGCTGCTACTGGACAGGGCTTTGGGAAGAATTGACCGAATTTGATTTAATGGAAGTAAAGTAGTATCCGGAATTTCAGGTTATAACCTAAATGACCCCATAACTGTCAGTCATCATTGATTTTATCAAATCTGATTCTTGGAAATACATAAAGTGTGATCCGGACGCTTGTGGTGTAATTCCGGACAAGTGTCAGGATGTACTGCTACAAAATTGGAGATTATTTAGGAAAATGTCAAGTAGCAACCTTGGCGCATGAAATTGATTAATACATCTTTAAAGGGACAATAACACCCTTGCTGGCTTGACAGCTCCAGTAAATAAATATTAGCCTTATTCTAAGTATTTAATGTTTAAGTGTCCTACCTGTTGTGTAAATTATCCATTACATCCTATTTTACTTGTCCAGAGGGTTGGAAAATATTTTTAAATCCAAGTCACATTTGAAAAGGTTTACGTTAGGCTTTTCAAATCATTTAGTTGAATTTTTCCAATTTTTTTTAAATTAGGTGTGTTAAGATGAAATTTGTATCATCAATTAATTGGAATACTGTAAAATAGTACAATTTGTTGACCAGAATAAAAATTGGGACATATTATTCAGTTACAACAAGAGTGGTATTGAGCCTTTAACATGTAATGACACTGCGCGGTGTAATTCCGGACAAGTGCCTAGATATACTGTTACACTTGGAGATTTTTTTTTAGAAAAATGTCAAGTAGCAATCTTGCCGCATGAAATTGATTAATACATCTTTAACATGTAATGACACCAGGTGTTCGACACTGGGGCGGCTGGACACAACCATATACAAGTCATTATGTATTACAGCTAGCCCGTGTTAGGTAATGTCCTTTTAATTGTCTTATAAAGCAATCTGAACGCTTAAACATGCATTATGCAAGAGCTAAATCTGATTATTGCAAGTCTTAATTTAGGCTTCAGATGTTATAGAAATTATAAATTAGATCTTTATTTAAACAACAAGACCAAAATCAACTCTGTAGACCAACGGATGGCTCGGCTACAGCTCGGATTTAAATAGGATTTCACTAATTGATTAAATCAGATAAGGGGTAACCTGGTGAAAATACGTCAGTTAGATCGAGGCTAAATGATAGAGTGTACTTAGCGAGGCCGCTGTAAAGCGTTTCCGTATGCCACATACTGCACGCAGCGACCCATCTACGTCATACTTCCCAGAATGTGACACTGCACTGATTACCCGCCATTTAAAACGTTCACGTGATCATTTTGGGGCGGGACTTATCGACTATACAGCGTTGTGTTTAGACAACAGAGTAAAAGTAACCAAGCACGTGTGTTTTATGTAAACACGCCATGTCGCTGACACTCGCGTAAAAGCGATATATAATATGTGCTATGGGTAATATTGCAATAAATTCTTTATCATTGTAAACTGTCTTTAAGAGTTTCAATCTGTTTATCTTTCAAAACAAGGTTAGATACTCCTAAATTTGTTTTCGCAAACAAAACCGCATCTGAGAAATTATGTTTCATGGGCGCCGCCATATTGAATAATTAGAGGACTATTTTGTGATTCGGCTTTGATTAGTTTGACATCTTTCATACACACAGCGGCTAAATAAACATATTTAATTTCATTCAATATGACAATAGAAGAGAAATATATACTTTTAAAAATTTCTAAAAGCATACTCAGTGTTTTCGACTAAAATCGTCGATGTAGGAATTAAAATGTCGGTTAATTAGCTTAGGGCCTATTCTCAGCCGGAGCTAGCTGTAGATAGGCAGCCTAAGTTTGGGATGCGTATGCCATTGAAAACTTTACTTGATAATCGAGATATGTAGGTGGAGTTAACGCCTGTCAATCAAACGTTCGGCGACGGTGAAGACACATTTCGCTATCATTTCTAGGCAAATATTACAACGATGATAACTATGTTCAGAATAAAGTAATTTGACTGAATTTTTCAATATATTCTTCTTTCATCATCTTCTTTTGAACTGTTATAGCAAGAATGGCCAACTCTCTATAAATATCTCCCATAATGTATCTTTAAAAATGCATTATGCAAGAGCTAAATCTGATTATTGCAAGTCTTAATTTAGGCTTCAGATGTTATAGAAATTATAAATTAGATCTTTATTTAAACAACAAGACCAAAATCAACTCTGTAGACCCACGGATGGCTCGGCTACAGCTCGGATTTAAATAGGATTTCACTAATTGATTAAATCAGATAAGGGGTAACCTGATGAAAATACGTTAGTTAGATCGAGGCTAAATGATAGAGTGTACTTAGCGAGGCCGCGGTAAAGCGTTTCCGTATGCCATTGAAAACTTTACTTGATAATCGAGATATGTAGGTGGAGTTAACGCCTGTCAATCAAACGTTCGGGGACGCTGAAGACACATTTCGCTACCATTTCTAGGCAAATATTACAACGATGATAACTATGTTCAGAATAAAGTAATTTGACTGAATTTTTCAATATATTCTTCTTTCATCATCTACTTTTGAACTGTTATAGCAAGAATGGCCAACTCTCTATAAATATCTCCCATAATGTATCTTTAATCTGGTATTATATAATAACCAGCTGCCTAATCGTTTTGACATAATCCCTTGTAAGCTTCGAACACACTGGTCAGCAGTTGGCTAAACTTTCTAGAGCATAGTAATTTCAGGGATTAGGCCCCTGTTCACTGGAAGGGATTATAAGCAGAGGTCTAATTGATAGAAAGCCCAGAGAACACTGCTTGCATCCCTGAACCTATAGGTCGGACAGGCGGCGGGCCCTGGGACCCGGCTGACAGTCAAACCTAAGTATACCTACATTGTACTACACCCAAGATCGTAGCATTTATGGCAAAGCGGGCCACACTGCGTACGATCACCATTCTTTCTTTTCTTACACTCGAAGCCTCTCGACCTTTGGATGAAATATGCCTTGGACGCTTCCCTGCAAAGACATTGTGTCTTACCCCAAAAAGCTAGATCAAGCCTATTTTGTGGCTTCCTCTGGTATGTTTTTAGGCAACACTAATATCACCCTGGGTTGAAGTGAACGTAAAACTTCAGGAACGAACGAAATGATAGAAAGTTAGTTAAGACCGGAGAGCGACCATGGCTCAATCAACACAAGCTAATATGGAGTCTTTAACTAAACGAATTTTGTACTTGATATGTTTGAAGTACAATAACAGTATCAAAAGTTAAACCATTGTTTTCATAAATTTAACCAATACTGTAACAGTACCCCAAACCCATATTTCTGATGTAAGCAACCAGTATGCTTATTTACAATGAATATATGATAAACTTTCAGTCCATTTCTATTAATTAGTGAATGAAGAAAGACGTGACAGCAGGGCCTAAAATAAGGTTAAATTCTCAGAGCACGGATTTAGAGTCGACCGCCCGCGAGCGCCGCAGGCGCGAAACGCACCGGCGGGTGGTCTGGGGGGCCTCCCCCAGAAAATTTTGAAAATTGAGAGCTTGAAACCGGCATCTGTGGACAATTCTGGTGGAGTTTACATAGGAATTTATTTTGTCGCGAGCAGCTTTTTTCGCATGAAAACTAAGCACTAGGAAGACAACACATCACTTTCGTTACGATAATACAGAACTGTAAATCAATTCGAGCTCCCGTTTCCCATATATTTCAATACTTAAAATCGCAGATAACACCGAAAATACGTGAAAATAAGTCAAAAACAAACTTTTTCAAAGTGAAAGTGAAATGACGGTCAAGGTCGCAGGGAGCGGACTGGATACCAAGCCTACTGAAAATTGAGAGCTTGAAACCGGCATCTATGTGGACTATTCTGGTGCAGTTTACATAGGAATTTATTTTGTCGCGAGCAGCTTTTTTCGCATGAAAACTAAGTACTAGGAAGACAACACATCACTTTCGTTACGATAATACAGAACTGTAAATCAATTCGAGCTCCCGTTTCCCATCCATATTTCAATACTTAAAATCGCAGATAACACCGAAAATACGTGAAAATAAGTCAAAAACAAACTTTTTCAAAGTGAAAGTGAAATGACGGTCAAGGTCGCAGGGAGCGGACTGGATACCAAGCCTACTGAAAATTGAGAGCTTGAAACCGGCATCTATGTGGACTATTCTGGTGCAGTTTACATAGGAATTTATTTTGTCGCGAGCAGCTTTTTTCGCATGAAAACTAAGTACTAGGAAGACAACACATCACTTTCGTTACGATAATACAGAACTGTAAATCAATTCGAGCTCCCGTTTCCCATCCATATTTCAATACTTAAAATCGCAGATAACACCGAAAATACGTGAAAATAAGTCAAAAACAAACTTTTTCAAAGTGAAAGTGAAATGACGGTCAAGGTCGCAGGGAGCGGACTGGATATCAAGCCTACTGAAAAACCTGACTCGTATGAGTCGAGTGAGCGCCAGGTGATCTGATCTGATCTGTGCAACTGACCACATCACAAGAACACAAGAAGAAACACCCAATTAGGGGTCAGGAGGCATCGCTGACTACACTTTTTTAGAGCACTACACCATTTTTCTGAGCACCGTTTTCTTATTTTCGAAGCACGGATTTTTCATTTCAAGGCACGTTCGTGCTCCAAGGCACGTTATTTTAGGCCCTGCGTGACAGTGTGAAACTTGTAAAACACTGAAGTAATTTAATCATTGAACTTCAGAAAATTATCTGCACCTATATTTGAATGTTTATATCTGCCATGTATTTTGAATGTGATAAGATGTGATCATAAGTATTTAACCAATCAAAAAACAAATAGCATTGTAAAGATTAAAGGGGGTGTGTCCGAACCTTCCCACAACCCGAACCATCCCCGCTCTCCCCTACACAAAAATTACCTCGTTTTATTGAAAATTCCAGCACCGAGTTGCGACTTTTGTATTAAGTTTATTCTTAAAGAAAAGGCTAAGATGGATAAAACCACCCGGGATTGTTTATGCATAATATTTCGATTTCCAATAGTGTTACTATAAAGATGCGAAATGTACGATGATTTTGGGGGCAATTTTCGAATTAATAATAACAACAGGTATTAGACATACTGCTACCCTTTGTAATTCAAGCCGTCATAACCATGTAGATTCAGACAATGTGAAAAATACGGCGAAATTAAAATAGAATTTATACTGGATAAATGGAAACAAAATTTGAAATTTTTATAAATATTCCTGTTATTTGGACATGATCTAACATCCTATACATTGTTCTGTTAGTCCGAATATTCCAGTGCTCATTAAGGACAGACTGAATTACAACAGAAATTTACATTGCTTATATGCCTGGGAGTTTCATAATATTATGTAGAAATGACATGGATAAAACATTAAATTCTGGGAAAGAGAATTACCAGTCTGACACCTTCTGAATAGTTGTCCCCCTTTAACCAAATTATTAGTTCGGGTATAATTTAGAAAATATCTAACAATCAATTGCCCCTTTTTTTCGTTGAGAATTTTAAAATGAACCCCGATATAACATATGAACGAAATGTTCAAATATAAGCTATAATATTAAATTAGTAAGCCATACCAGAGTTACTCCCCCTGCTGAAGACTTGATGTTAGGAGGTCGCCATGGTGTATTTCTAATTTTAATTTAGGAAATCCCTCTTTGGACTTTATATTATGAAAATTTTAACAGTCACTTTTGTATTATGTCATCAAGTTTCCTGGATCAATAGATTTCTGTAGAAATGGCTACTTCGTCCAAAACGCAGACGAGAATACATTTTGCTGTTGATAAAACTAAACTAGATCTTGTAAACAAATTAAAATCGAAAATAGAAGACATTTTTGATGTGGAACTTGGATGCGAAGAAAACACAAAGAACTTTGATAACCTGTGGATATTTGTGAAAGGAACCAATTGTGATTGTCAGAACACCAAGGTAAAATGTTTGTTAATTAATCTGAAAATAATATTGGCGTCGAATATAGCACAAGCCACAAGAAGACAATCACTCATTCGGTTGTCATTCAGATTAGTTAGTTCTGTACGTGTAAACCCCCCCAAAAAACATATTAAATGGCAATGTTTAATAAATAAAACATTTGGATCAACTGAATTTGGCGATCACAACACAATACTGGTATACAAACTGAAACAAAATTTTATTTGAATCTTCATTGTTTTTAGAAAAATTCTACCAGTGCTAGGACTGGTATTGTTAACCTTTTTATTATGACAATTATGACAACAAATGTAAGGAATCTTTCTTGTTTTTTTTATTAGCACATTTTCACATTAAAAGTAAAGCACAATATTGTGTACTTTTGAAATAAATGTTTTAAAGACAATTGTTCATCAATAATATGTTATAACAAATTAGCATATAGCATGGACAATTAAATGGGCAATTGTTCAACAATTTGCTGTATCAAAAGAATAACAATCTGGCTTGTTGTGAATATATTTAAGGGAGCTGTGGTGGGTCAGTGAGTAAGATGTTATCTCGCTAATTAAGGTCCCGTGCTTGATCCTAATGTTGGCAGAGAAAGTTCATTTGAATTTTCCGATGTTGCTCCCTCTTGTCAGTGGTACAGTACGGAGGGCCAGGCAAGTGACAATGTATAGTTGTTTGGATGAAATGAAAAACTGAGGTCTCGTGTACACATTGGCATGCACGTAAAAGAACCCTTGACAGTTGGAATTTGAAATAAGAGGATGAAAACTGTCTATAGTAATTCTCAGAATTAAAAGAGGAGGCCGTAGTACCACTGTTAGAACAAAATTTTCTTCATAATTCATAGCACACTGTATGGCGTAGTACCACAGTCGATGCAGAACAATAGGACGTTAAAACTCATTTTGATTATAAGGGACCTAAGCTTACATGGTGATTAATGCCTAGTTTTTGTGAAGTATGAGTATTGTTACCGTAACCATGATAATTATTTTTCATTTCTAGGAGTATGTAATTGGTTTATGTTCACCAGAAGATAAAGTGAAAGTAAAATGTCCATATGAAGATGAACGTCTGAGATTTGAAATCTTTATAGGAATAGAAAAAAACACCAGAGCAGTCATTCAGATTTGTGAGAATGATATCATAGAAATATCTGGTTCCGTTTTAGCCGTTACTCTGGCTGTATCGTCTCTTGAGGAGTTACTAGGACCAGAATCTGTCCAAGTCAAAGAGAGCGGAAAGACCGGTGGAAAGGACAGGCTTGATCATGTTCTTAGAGAAACGATATCCCATAACAAAGACTGTAATATTGACGACTATGAGGTAGAGTCTATACCAAGTAACGTAAAAAGGGCAATGATAGACAGCATGATACTCGACACTACATTGGATCAAATCCACGATTCAGATTTATTTGAAGATGGTGCAACTGGTGGTAAAACGAACGTAAAAACATCTTACGCAAAAGGTTTAAATCCAGCTGCAGAAAATGCTACTCCAGAAACATCCAATGAGGATCGACATGTCATTTTGTCGTCGAATGGTGAGCAAGTAATAAGAAAACAGGGTACTGGTGATAACTTTGCAGAGGTTTGTGAAATAGCGGCTTCAGTGGGATATTCGAGGATAGAAATAGAGGAAGGTTTACTCTATGTTAAAAATTCAACCAAACCAACAGAATTTCTGTCTATGTTAAAAGAAATAAGACAACAAAAAAAGAACCTCGGGTTGATCGTAGATGATAACAACCAACCTGATGATAGAGTAGAAGATATTCTAAATTATTCTTATGAACCTGGACAAGAATCTGTTATTGAATGTATGGAGAGTAGCGATGATAATGATGTTATATACGTAGGGGTAACTCCACCCAAACCAGCAGAGGAAAATGCTCAAGCTAAGCAAACAGTAGCGGCCAAGGCTGAAGACGATCAGCTTCAATTAAAATTACAATATGAAGAACAGCAAAAACAAGCATCCAAATGTGAAAGGAGCGAACGTAATGATGATAGTGAACAAACACATGTTATGAGTGTTTGGAATGGTGATCAATCTTCATCCAAAAAGTCCCATACATCAAATGAGACATCTTTTGTGAAAGAGTCCACTAGTACAAGAAATGAACCCAACAGAAGTCGGGTTTTAAATACCCATATTGAGAATCGTCAAAATGTTAGTAGACAAAAGCCAAATCGATTTGCTGTCGACACAAAATCTGTTCCCCAACCATCAAATGATAGAATTCCACAAAATTTTGCAGCAAAAGCTGTTCAGCCACCTAACATTCCACTTCCAGGGCCTTTAATAGAAACACTTGCAGAGAATCGACCAAAAAAATGCGGAGATCCACGCTATGTAGTGGTAGATGGCAGTAATGTAGCAAGAGGGTAAGTGTTGAACTGTACTTGTCTATATTTCAGCAGTCTCGTTAATTTTTGCGTGTTAATCAAAGTTTGGCTAAGGTAATTAAAGGAGCTAAATCGCTAATATATGGGACCTAGAAATTGACACAAATGGATCGCAATGCAACGCATATAATAATGTAATATGAATGTAAAAAATTATAAACTATAAACTGATTTACATTCAATCGTTTCCGTTTTTACTCTAATTTCAAATCAGTTATGTTTGGTGAAATTCCCCAGAAGTCTCAATCTAATGGGAATATATACAATGTAGCGTCTGGTTATTCCAGTCTACACCAATACTATTTAATCTCCAGATAAAAATATGACGTCACCGTTTGATATGACTTATGGAATATGTCTAGCCTCATTTTTCGAATCCCTTGTTACAAATGGCGCTGAAACACATTATGGTACACGATTCGTGTACCAATGATAAAATTTTATTTTGTCTTAAATATTGGATATCAGAGGCCCATCTTTTCCCGGTAAGATCACAACATCAGTGTTGATTTAAATTGACAAATAATTCGTGTTTTCAATGTTGAAGACTTTGGATGATGTTGAGTTAGAGACTTAGCCACTTTAATAGTCTAGAGGTCCTTATCAGCAGGAAAGTTACATGAATAGACCAGTAAGTGGCTCAGTGAGTAAGATGTTGGCTTGCTAACTTGGAGGTCCCGTGTTCGATCCCTCCGTTGGCCGAGAAAGTTCATCAGAGGTGCTGGACAGAGGGCCTGGCAAGGGACAGCGTATAGTCATTCGGATGGGATGAAAAACCAAGGTCCCGAGTACACATTGATGTATGCCCGATTTCATTAGCCTAGTCCAGAACAGAAGGATGTTAAACCCCATTTCATTTCATTTTTCTGCAATCCTTTGACAGGCCTCTTTTTAATCCAATTGACATTTCACTGTTAGAATTTGTCCAAAGAAAATCACACTCAGACCAAGTTATAGAGCCTGGCCCCGAGTTCGCAAAGCATTCTCAAAATTCAACCACAGTTTATGAGAAATATCTTTGATCCAGAAACACAAAACTCTGCACATAGTTTCTTATTGATGTATTTGATACATTAAAGCAACAAAAGTTTATGAAGGGCTATATTTTAGTTAAAAAAAAGACGAACAATTTTGATTAAAATCTTAACTGAAGTCTGAGAATGCTTTGTGAACTCATGCTGGGGCCTGGGATTTGAGAAAAAAAATTTCAGGGTCCTCGATTTTGGATACCGTTAAAAAAAAATAGAGTTGTCAGATAACTCTGTAAACACATGAATTCCATATTGTATTATTCAGGCATGGTAATGGAGTTATTTTCTCTTGTCTGGGCATAAAACTGTGTGTAGATTACTTTCTGAAGCGAGGTCATAAAAAGATAACAGTGTTTGTACCTGGTTGGAGACAGAAGAGGGGGACATACCAGAATCCGATTAAAGATCAAGAAATATTATTAGACTTGAAGAAAGATGGGTATTTGGCGTTTACACCTCACAGACAATTACCTAGTGGTCAAAAAGTTGCCAGTTATGACGACAGGTAAATCAGGAATTTGTCTGTTAGTTACATGTTGTTCTTCAGTATATTGTGGGCCTGGCAAGGACAGTGTCTAGTTGTTCGAATGGGACAAAAAAATGAGTTCCTGCGTACACATTGACAGTTTGAATTCGATATAAGTGTAGGCCATAGGGCTGCTGTCCGTGCCAAATTTCACTCATAGCACAAAGTAGGACGTTAGGGTTAAACCCCATATCATTTCTTTCATTTGTTTAGCCTAATAAAAAGAGAGAAAAGACTGTAATTGTTTTGTATTATTCAGGTTTATTTTAGAATTGGCTGATAAAGAAGATGGGGTTATTGTGTCTAATGACCAGTATCGAGATTTTTTTAATGACAAAGCAAGTTACAGAAAAATATTGGAAGAAAGGTAAATTGAATTTATTATTAGATAGTGATTTATTTACAAATTTTATATTAAATATGTAGAGAAGCAACCCCTTTAACCAGTGAAGATAGATGAACTCCTAGGTAGTAATCAACAAATTTATTCGTGTAGATGTTTCGGACTATAGGTGTCCTTCTTCACCTACATATTTCATCGTCTTCCTGAACCCCTTCTCTGGGGATCATGTGGCTAAGTGGATAAGACGCTAGCTCGCTAGCCTGGAGGTCGGGTGTTCGATCCCTGCATTGGCCGAGAAAGTTCACCCAGATTTTCCGGCGTGGTTCTCCCTTGTCAGTGATGCAGGACGGAGGGGCTGACAAGGAAAGCTGTCTAGTCGTTCAGATGGGACGAAAAACCGAGGTCCCGTGTACACATTGGCGTGCACGTAAAAGATCCCTTGGCAGTTGGAATTCGATATAAGAGTAGGCCGTAGTGCCGCTGTCCGGGCAAAATTTCCCTCATATCACACTGTATGGCGTATGCCCGTCTTCATTAGCCCAGGTTAGGAACAAAACAGTAGGACGTTAGATCCATTTCATTTCATTTCATTTTTGAACCCCTTCTGTATCACTGAGATCCCAGTTTAGATGTCCTCCTAGTACTAGTCTCCAGCTATATTAGACCTACTTTACGAGAGTTGTTGTGCTCTTCCACTGCTGATTTTATATCAAATGTTAAATCATGCCTTCTAAGATTTTACATGGGTCCAGATCAGCTGTGGTTTCCCCTTATCAGTGGTGCAAGACGGAGGGCCAGACAAGGACAGCTGTCTAGATGTTCGGATGGTACGGAAAACCGAGGTCCCATGTATACATTGGCATGCTGGCCCGCACGTAAAAGATCCCTTAGCAGTTGAAATTTGATATTAGTGTAGGACATAGTGCCACTGTCTGGGCAAAATGTCCATCATAGCACACAGTATGAAATATGTCTGCCTTCATTAGTCCAGTCGGAGCAGAACAGTAGGACGTTCAACCCCATTTCATTTCGTATTTTGTTAACCTATCAGTCATTTTAATATATAGATATGTTATCTACCTGTATTACCATAGATGACATAATTTCATATCTAATAAACCTTGTTTATGGATTTTAAACCAATATTATGCTAGGGCCATAATATTTGCAATACATAAACCAGGTCATTTCGGGAATAACATATGGTTCTTTAATAATATTTCCATATTTACCAAAATTGCTATACTTTTATTAGTTTTAATGGAAATAACTACACGTACCCTATAAATACTTTGGTGAAAATTATATGTTTCTCATTTTGTTTCTTTTCCAGATGCATACCTTTTGTATTTGTGGGTGATAATTTTATGCCACCAGAGGATCCTTATGGACAAAATGGCCCAATGCTAGATGATATTTTAATCAAACCAGAGAAACGTAGAGTAGATTATGCTCATCATCAGTCTCATCAACAACAGAATTATTATCAACAACAACAACAACGCCCAGAATATAACATGTATCCACAACAACAAAATTATCAGTTTGGACAAGATAATTATCAACAACACGCATTAGGAGGCTATTTTAGGTAAATTAACCCTATAAATGTTGTGGTAGTAGACAGTCTGCATGGATGGCGATTTAACAGAAGATATGATTAGATTTGTAGAACAGTAGAAAGAACGCTCAGCCTGTCGATCACCATTTCCGCCCATTACGATCAAAATAGAAGGAACCTTACATGAACATATAATATAATAACTATTTAACAAATAAACCAAGATGGCACCCACATATTCAAGAATAACTCAACATATTGACATTGACATCATCATCATCATCAATCAGCATCATCATCATTTATTATTTATCATCATCATCATCATCATTTATCAGATGAAGGTCAAGAGATAAACAATATGAAGTTCTAGTTCTGAGATTTCATTGATTTAAAAAATTGACAAATTTTGTCTTAAAAAAACTGAATTCAGATGCCAAACTTGCTTCTTTTTATATGCCCACATTTTCATGTGGACGTCGCCCCTGTCCGTCCGTCCGTCCGTCCACCCACAATTTGTTTGTGGACACTCTACAGGTCACAATTCTTATCCGATTTTAACGAAACTTGAAATATAGGTGAATCTCCAAAAGATCTCGGCTGCTTTCGATATTGGCATGTATCGGATCGAAACTTCATGGATTATGGCCCCTGTTTGTACGAAAAATCACGTTTTTGGCTTGTGGACCCTATAGAGGTCACAATTTTTATCCGATTTTGTTGAATCTTGAAATGTAAATTTATTACCCAAAGATCTCGGTTCCTTTCGATATTCGCACATATCGGACCATAACTTCCTGAATTATGGCCCCTGATTGTACGAAAAATCGCGTTTTTAGCTTGTGGACCCTATAGAGGTCATAATTTTTATCTGATTTAAAAAAACGTATTATTATATCACCGTTACACCCTAAGGACGACTGAGTTTGAATTTCGTGAAAATCGGCCCAAAATTGACAGACAAAATGGCTGCCCTTCGTTCTCAAATAGCGTAAAAATTGGGTATTTCAAGGTTGTGGACCCTATATAGGTCACAATTTTTATCCGATTTTGTTGAAACTTGAAATGTAAGTTTATTACCCAAAGATCTCGGTGCCTTTCGATATTTGCGGATATCGAATTGTAATTTCCTGAATTATGGCTCTTGATTGTAGGAAAAATCACTTTCTTTTTAGCTTGTTATCTATCCATCTCTCGAAAATGTGGGCGTATTCTGCCTAGAAGCCGCTGGTTTTTATTAGTTTTTATGTGTTCATGGTGGTGGTGATCTCTCAACCCTTAACCGGTCATTGTCGACTATAATCAACACAACGTTATACAGCTAATTGGTCACGGTTGACTAAAGTCGACCACAGCAAGAACCTTTTTTATAAGCTGCATTTGAGTATTTAGTTTCGTAATTTAATTGATATGGCCACGCATGCGTGTCTGTCAGAAACTTGTCTTGTCAAGGGCATTGAGAAAAACATGTCTTTGTTCAACATTTTTTAACGAAAAACGTAATTTAACGATGTTGGGAACGTTAAAGACCCTCGAAGTGGTTGAAATACTTATGAATTATTCCAACTCGGATTGTATCGATGACACCGATTCCGAAGACGATATTTCTGATGAAAAGGATTTAGAATGATTTGCAAATTATAGATCAACTTATCCCCTTCAACTTTTTTATTGGTGTCAAGAGTCTATCACTTATAATACAAAATATTTCACGTCATGATGTCAAAGAGATGTCGACCGGTTAAGGGTTAAACCATAATTTTGACAATTTGCTATTTCTTTGATATGTCTCTAAAAAAAAGATTTCTTTTGTCTTAAGCACTCTTAAAAGCTAAGGACTCCTTATTTCATATTTGTTCATGGTGGTAGTGGTTAATTAAACCATAATTTTGGCAATTATTAAATTTAACTCGTTAAAATATTTATACCATCCCAGTAGTGCTATTTAAATATTTTGATATGTTTATAAATATGTTTGTTTTTTTTGTTCGTCTATATTTTAGACGCGATAATGCTAGAAGTCAGACTGAAAGAATTCAAAGACCGGTTAACCATAACGCAGATCGAAGACCTAACTATTCAGCGCCTTTGTTCCGACAGAAAGCTGCAGATGTTACCGATGGTGTGAATAAACCATATTTGCGCTCCAATACGGAAACAACTGAACTTATTCTTCGGTTAAAAGATATTTTCTCAGAAAAAGAACAGGAAGAAAAGATAAATGACGTTTTAAAGAATCATCCAGCAGAAAAAGACTTTAATAAACTAACTAATTATTGTCTCAATGCCATGGTTATGTAGTTACAAACACCAGATTTTCTTGATTATTTTAGCTCAAAGGTTGCGGAAACCTCCAGATTTTTATAAAAATTATTTATAATTTTACAGCTGATTATAATATCCCTTCATAAATAAAGACTTATTATGCACAGCAATCATTTAGATACTTTGAGACTACATCAATCTAGTCGTTCGGATGCCCAGGTTAGGTGCAGAAGAGTAGGACGTTAAACCCCATTTCATTTCATTTCATTTCACTACATCAATCTAATTAAAACACACATCCTATTTCGTTTCGTTTTTTATAGTTCAAAATTTTGTTTTACTTGTGTTTACTACACTAGGATCTGGAAGAGCTGTTATATAATGCACGTTTTAGTTGAAGTTAGGGATTTGCCAATGAAACAGTCTGTTATGGCGAGTTCTTGGCTAAACCACTAGAAACTTCAATGCTGATTGTTTAATCAATGTCTGATGTCATATGGTGAAAAGTCACTCTTATGACACCTGACACGCGACTTCCACTCAACCGGTCAGATCTTCATGTAGTAGAGGCCATCGGAAGTATAAAAAAAACCCAAAAAACGAGACAAAATATATATCTGTATTTTAATCAGATTGAGACCGTTATCACTTGCATCAAAACGAATAACCAGCGACTCGCAGAACTAGGTTGGTGGATTGAACGACACCGCAGGTAGAAAATGATAAAATTAATTATCGATTATTTAATATAGATAGTTTCCCAGTTAACATTGATCATTAGATTTACGTAAAGTTTACGTCATTTTGCATCCAAACGAATAACCCGCAGAACTAGTTTGGTGGATTGAAAGACACCACAGTTGAAAATGATAAAATTAATTATCGGTTATTTTATGTCAACAATTTCTTACTACATTTGTGCAGATAGGGGCCCAGTTAACATTGATTGTTAGATTTAAGTAAAGTTTACGTCATTTTGCATCCAAACAAATAACCCGCAGAACTAGTTTGGTGGATTGAACGACACCACAGGTAGAAAATGATAAAATTAATTATCGGTTATTTTAAGTCAACAATTTCTTACTACATTTGTGCAGATAGGGGCCCAGTTAACATTGATTGTTAGATTTACGTAAAGTTTACGTCATTTTGCATCCAAACAAATAACCCGCAGAACTAGTTTGGTGGATTGAACGACACCACAGGAAGAAAATGATAAAATTAATTATCGGTTATTTTATGTCAACAATTTCTTACTACATTTGTGCAGATAGGGGCCCAGTTAACATTGATTGTTAGATTTAAGTAAAGTTTACGTCATTTTGCATCCAAACAAATAACCTGCAGAACTAGTTTGGTGGATTGAACGACACCACAGGTAGAAAATGATAAAATTAATTATCGGTTATTTAATGTCAACAATTTCTTACTACATTTGTGAAGATAGGGGCCAATTAACATTGATTGTTAGATTTACGTAAAGTTTACGTCATTTTGGTTAACGTCCAATAATGGTAGAATTTTACAGTTAAATTTACTTGCTGTTTCGTCAGAATGGTTATGGTTACTTTAACATCAGAAAATGACGTAAATGTAACGTAAATTTTATGATGGTTTTCTAACCAATTTTTTTCGCTTTGAATACTTCTGGATTAAGATTTATCTGCGCGGCCCTTGTTTGAAATTTTGAGACATTACCTTAATTCAATCCCTTAATTCTAAAATTTACCTTTCATAAGATGCTGCTCGTCAGTTGCACTTTTCAGACAATTTTTTTTACGGCTTAATCCAGTGTTGAGATTTCGCCCGTATATTCCAGACATGTCCTACACTATTTTCCAAACATCTCAAAACGTCTGACCCGGAATATGCTCAATTAGACATCAAGATACGGTGAATAATATTCAAAATTCCAAAATTAATATAGTGTACTGAGTGTATATCTACATCTCAACCGGATTATCGTTGATAATAGGCTGGATTTATTTATTAAGTGATCAATGTATTTACAGTGTTACTCCATCCATACACCTACCTTGGCTGTATCATTTGTGCCTAAAAAACTATGGCTGCAGCACACGAAAGATGAACCTTACATAACTTTACCACAAAATAACTATACAATCTTGAAAAAGTAACAGCTAGCGCCTAGCGAAGCAAATTTTCTGGGACTGCTGTGTTTGAATTTGAGAACTAGACACCCTGAATCAAAATCAGAATTATATGGTTTTAGGAAACTCTGAACTCTGGTTGGGAATTGCATCACCCCACACGATGGCCAGTTAAAAAGTCCTGGTTTTCAGCGCTTCATTTTGCGGGATGGATACTTTTTACATTTTCCCTTTTATATCCACTAAATTTCTATTTTTTTCATCATAGTGCCTGAAAAATTTGATCGCCGAAAAAAAATTGTTTTGCCCTACTCCAAGGGTTCTGTGCAATAATATTATATATATAATTATTCAATATTCACCAATTAATATGTCATCTGCAGGATTTCCGATGGTTAAAACATTTATATATTTTCACTAGAAATTACCATTGAAAGATTTCATTGGAATTTCTTGTAGATATCTTTGTATAAAGACTGGCTTTTTATTTGTGATAAAAAGAATTTGTTGTGGTGTTTTCATTACTTTTAATCACATTTTCTGAGGTAATATTTTGTAACTTGAATATCTGCTTGCCGTATTTTCATTCATGATTAAAATTGATTTTATATCACATTTTCTGAGATAATATATTGTAACTTGAATAACTTTTAATATAATTAACATATTTCAACGCCTTTCATCATAATCTACCCGTTATTCTAGTTTGTCCAATTTAAAAAAAAGGTGATGATGTTGATATAAGGTGATGATGTTGATATATAAGGGCTGTTCTGGACAGTTATTGGTATTTTATTCCACGCTTATGAACCAGTGTAAATAAATATATTCTTATCGATTGTGAATAGAATTCGTCATATGTTCATACATGTAAACTTATAACTAAGGATATAGTGCCACACTTATTTAATATAAAAAATTTTGAATAGAATTCGTTATGTGTCCATACATATAAACTTAAAAGGAGATATATAACCAAATTAGGCTCCATGTATGTATACATAAAACTCTAAAATTCTAATAGATTTCGCCATATGTCAAATGTTTGCGGTACTTTGTTTTCAGGTTATGCTTATTACTTGTTTGTATATATAAAACTCTAAACTTTGCTATCAATCTGATTAAAACATAGATCCTATTTCGTTTCATTTTCTTATAGTTCAAAATTTCGTTTTACTTGTCTTGGCTACAATAGGATCTGGAAGAGTTGCTATATAAATTGCGTTCTGGATGATGTGAGGGATTAGCCAATAAAACGATCTGTAACAGCGAGTTTTTGGTTAATCAAATGTCTGATGTCATAGGGTCAAAAGCCATCCGTGTGACCTCCTGCGTGACCTACCACTACAACCGGTCAGTGTAGGCCATCAAAAGTATAAAAAAAAAAACGAAACAAAATATAGGTCTGTATTTTAATCAGATTGGTTTGCGATAGTTTGTCGTCAGCAATTTCTCATAGTATTGTTATATCTTCAAAACTATTTTTATATATTCAAACTCTAACATGGAAGAAACATTACTGATATATTTTGGCAAAGTTTTGAATTGAGAGAATATCCTTCGAAATGGTGACAAATTAAATTAGTAATTTTTCTTCCATACAGTTTATTGCACTATCCACTTGATAAATGCTTCTAAAGTTTTTTTTATTTTTTGGTAAATATTTTAGTGCTTTATAATTTAATTTAAATTTGACATAAATTTGGTGCCATATGTTGATAAAGTGTACTGATTGCTGGTGAGTATACATTTGCCATTTGGCACAAAGGGCGACGAGTTTGATTACAAATGTAGGTTCTTTTTCCTTATTCAAATCAATAACAAAATGAAAAGCCCTGGGGAAGAACGATCTAAGTCACTTTTTCAACGGACTCCAGTTAATGCCGCCATCCGGAAGCTTATTGTATAAGCTTTCTGTGGAACAATCAATTTCTGTTAAGAACAATTGAAGTCACATCAAACCAAGGCCCTTCTGAAATGGCCTCCCGGACAAATACAAGTCCATCGTACCCTTTATTTAACCTTAATTTGTCTGAAAAGTTGAAGTCAGTTGTCCTGGTAATTATGGTTCGTATTAAACATCATTTTGAAGTTGTAATTAAATGCACTCGTTGTTCTGTTCGCGTGAAGCATTCTCGTCCAAAAGTCTGTTTTGGCTTTTATGCGAAAAGACAAAAATGTGACTTCGATCATTCTTTCCCTGGACTCTTCAAATAGATTCTGGATCTGGAAATAGTTGAGATTAGCCATTGTAACCCACAGAACTTAAACCGGCTGCTTCAATTGTAGAGGTAAAATGAAGGATAAACCAATTGATCTCTTAGATGTATATATTATGGTCAATATATTAGTGCTAAAAACAACATTTTCTTTGTTTTAAAAAGAATTTATATTAAATGATTTTTTAAAAAAAAATCAAAACTATATTTGTATTCAGGATATCTGAATGCGATTGGGGATCAGACTCAGTCTGTATTAAACCCCTCTCCCGAAAAATTGACTGATGGTGGTAGGATAAGCTTACGCTTGTATATATTTGTTGTAATAAATTAATAAGTCTGTAATTCCAATCAATCCATATAGTTAGAATAATTTATTGATTTAACCATGTTGAACCTGAATGTGACGGTTTTGTAATCACCAAATCTAATTAAAATGTTTGTAATGTCAATCCTTATTGATTCTACCACAATCTGGTTAAAACACAGATCCTATTTCGTTTTGTTTCTTGTAGTTCAAAATTTCGTTTTACTTGTCTTTACTGCACTAGAATCTAGAAGAGTTGTACTTGTTTTTACCCGTGTTCTGGATAATGTGAGGGATTAACCAAGGAAACGGTCTGTTACGGCGAATTCTTGCGGTCAGAACTGTGGGTAAACCACTAGAACTGTCTGATGTCATAGGGTTAAAAGCCACTGATATGATGTCTGATGCATCCTCCCACTACAACAGGTCAGATCTTCATGTTGTGTTGGCCATCAAAAGTATAAAGAAACGAAAGGAAATATAGATCTGTATTTTAATCAGATTGATTCTACCACACATAGGCGTACGAGCTGGGGGGGGGGGGGCACCAAATGCTGGTAAAATTTGGGCACACAATTGTACTTTGTAAAAGTTGTATAAAAAAAATATTGTATTCTTGAATGTGTCCAATTTAACAGCAAATTTATTATTATTATGTAACATACTAAGAACCAAACTACATTTTTTGGGCACCAACCACCACCGCCCCCCCCAGTCAAAAATTTCCCTGTACGCCTATGCTACCACATACTGCGGTTTGTAATCAAATCATATATTTACTTCACACTTTTGTAATTTTTTAGTTATTAAGTACCCTGTATTATTTTAGTCAAAAGACTTTTGTCATTAATATGTCATCGGCCTTCCACTTCTCTTTGCCAGGGTTAGATTTTAAAATAATTGTGGTATGAATGCTTCTTCGACCTGGTGCAGGGAGATATTTAGACATTTAGTTTTTCCACACTGCTTGGTGGCTTTCAACCAAATTAGTAGATATATTGACTGGGAGGTGCTTATTTAGACGATTCCATAGAGTTGGGTTAGGGCCAGGACAAAATTTAAACAATTTTTGATTGTCAACCTGTTAATGGATTCCAACTAAATTTTGTGGTTATGTTGCTTGATTGGTATTTATTTGGATATGTTCAAATCAAGTTACTTGAAGCGGCATCATTTAAGTTCGAGATAAAGAGCTGACTGTTCTCGCTTTAAAGATAATGAAAAAAGAATATGCTAAAATTTCAGTCAAATTACTTCACTCTGAGCTCAGGTATCAGCAATCTGATTTAGCCTCGATTGTCACTACTACCGTTGTTATGATAGTAAACAAACGCTTGATTATCCATTTTTATAGTAGACCACAAATCTACTTATATCAGAGCCATGATCTGGTGGCATCAAGAGTTGATTATGGTCTTTGGTAAGTTAATTAATAGTTTATATATAATTTCAGGCCTAAAGAAAGACCTGCTATATATGGAGATTTAGGTCTTGCATAATGCCTGTTTAATACTCATGGCCATAGTTTTAGGACAGAGTTACTCTACAAAGGGAAATTTAGATATACTCAACTTGCTGCTTGAAATATTTCAATGTTTGCCTCCATTGCAGGTGATATCGCAGACAAGTTGTCTGATTTTAGCATATCCATTGCAAGTGCAGGGTGGAAATCCGGAGTAAACTCGTGTGGTTGAGAAGGCGCCTTGATTTCCAAGCCGGGGAGCCACGGTGGCTAGGTGGTTAAGATGCTGGCTCGCTAGCCTCGAGGTTGGGTGTTTGATCCCTGCATTGGCCAAGAGGTGCAGAACGGAGGGTCTGACAAGGATACCTGTCTAGTCCTTCGGATGAGACAAAAAACCGAGGTCCTGTGTATACATTGGAATACACGTAAAAGATCCCTAGGCAGTTGGAATTCGATATAAGAGTAGACGATAGTGCCGCTGCCCGGGTAAAATTTCCCTCACAGCACACTGTATGGTGTATGCCCGTCTTCATTAGCCCAGTATAGGAGCAGAACAGTAGGACGTTAAACCCCATTTCATTTATCTCCAAGCCACATGAATTCACACCAAGGATTGAAACCATGACTGAAAGCCAGATCGGCCAGCTTGAGCACAAGGCGCGACGTTCTTGACCACTAAAACCCCCGTTTACATTACAAATTTTAAGTCTACCAGACTCGATATCAGGTATGGCATGTTTCGCTTTATTGTAGTGTAAACGGGTCAAATGTAAGCGTGCCGTGCCTGGTAATCTGGCCCACTGAAGTGAGGTGGTCTCAGAACGGTACCAGGACCGGCTCGCTTTAAATTTTCGTAGTGTAAACGCTAAACGGTCTGAGCACGGATTACTGCGCATGCGCCAAATGAACCTTGACCTTTTTCCCGCAAACTTTGACAGCTGTCATCAATTCTGTCAAATTGGCTGCTCAAACTAAATAAACCATCATAATTGTTTTCATCTGGGTAATTTGTATAGGGACTGAAATTAACTTTTCTGTGAAGAGTTCCACATATATCGTGCTTGGCACGGTTCTGAGACCTGTTATTTTAGAGTAATCTAAACGGGTCAATTTCTTGAAATTTATCGCGTCCTGGTACCGTGCCCAGAACGGCACGCTTATCGCGGCCATGTGTAAACGGGGCTTAAGCCATCCCTCTCCTCCTCTAGCACATTGAATGTTTCCTTTTATTGAGAACCCCATTTGCATATTGTCTCATGAAGCTACTTGTTAAACAGGTAATCATGTGCCGTTTTCACAAATTCATAAGGCAGCGCAAACATCGGAACTGATAGTTCACAAACAATATAAATGAAGGCCCACTATTTAGTTAATCCAAAGAATAGAGCCATCTGATGAGATCAAATTTATATGTATATATATTTCTATAACTTGTTTGTTGTTACCCAATATGTAATTAAAATTGTTTAAATAAAATTGATGTTAAATTTTGTATGTGTTGTTGGATTCATACTGATCAGCAGTGAATATTCGCTAGGTTGCTACAGTCACTGATAAGGATGACATCGATGCGACATAATGAGCCCCAAATTTTAACTTTTTTCCTCCGACAAATTAAATTCTAAAACATTTTTTTTTATGGATGAGAAAAATAAATAAAGACGTTTGACATATTTGTAGGTAAAAATTATTTCCTATTTAGTGTAAATGGGTATTAGAATGAGTAAAAAACAGCATTCTGCCCGAACCAGTCATGTCTTACGTAATCAATGCACGCGCCATTGAGCCAATGATTGACGCTGCGTGATGAGACGTCACATGTTGAAGGTAGTCAGTGGTGCAGGACGGAGTTCAGATGGTTCGAAAAACTGAGGTTCCATGTACACATTGGCATGCACATAAAAGATCCCTTGGTAGTTGGAATATAAGAATAGGCCGGAACGCTGCTGTCCGGGCAAAATTTTCCTCATAGCACACTGTATGGGGTGTGCCCGTCTTCATTAGCCCAGACGGAGCAGAACTGTAGGACGTTAAACCCCATTTCATTTTCCTTTCCATTCCCAGCGGAAAATAGTCCTCCACAGCAGTACTGAAACGACAACGGGGCCTAGTGGGGCCCAGGCCTCATAACAAATGTCAGTCACATAAAATGCAGTGAATGTAAGTTCGATCTAAGGTGTTCCATTTTATTCCGAGCACAGTTGATCAGCATACATCACGTTTCCCCAATGTACGGACAATCAGGCCTCGAGTTCACAAAGCAGTCTCAGACTGAAGTTGAGAATTTACTCAAGTTTCAAACACAGTTTATGAGAAATATCTTTGATCCAGAAACACAAAACTTTGCACATAGTCTCTTATTAATGTATTTCATACATTAAAACAACAAAAGTTTTATAACTGTCCATACTTTTGTTGAAATAAGGCAAACAATTTTAATTAAATTCTTAACTTAAGTCTGAGAATGCTTTGTGAACTTGAGGACTGGTGTTTGGAGCGGCTCTTTCTATTAGGCAAAATCACATCTCTTGGGTTGATTTTATTTCAATAATTCAATAGGGGTCTTTATTAGCTGTGGGAGGAAACCGGAGGACCCGGAGAAAAAACACATGGTTGGACAGGTGACACTACTCCTTGTCATGTACAAGGGTAGACTAGAATGCACGGCACTTGACTCAATGACAGACCTTATGATCTAAGGGCATGTCAGATCATTTGGCCATCCAATCCCCATCATCTACAATAAATACTGTAACAATTAAATATAATTTTAATATTTTTGACATAATCAATGGAATATATAAATACAATTAACATCCTTTATACATTTATCATACAGAGAAATATATACAGTAACGGCCAAGAAAAAAAATACCCCTGTTTACGTTGTTGTTGTTCTTAGTGTTTAACGCCCGCTTCCACTGAAGGTGATATCGCAGACACGTTTTTTTTTATTTTCATTATCTTAGCACAAGCGCAGGGGTCTTTCCTGTGGGAGGAAACCGGAGTACCCGGAGTAAAACCACAAGGTTGAGAAGGCGCCCCTATCTCCAAGCCACATACGCTCACACCAGGGATCGAAACCACAACCGCAAGCCAGAGGTGACCGGCCAGCTAGAGGTCGAAGCGTGACACTCTAGACCACAAAGCCATCCCAACCCCCCACCTCTGTTTACGGTTATATGGCCCCTAAAATAGGGTCAGATTTTTTTATTTTTTTTTGTGAGGTTTATAATATCTAAATTTTCCTAGCATTTCCAGATGGATTTCTGAGCATGGTTCTTGAAAATAATACCAACATTTGAGTGTTGGAATTTGTCTACAGAAAACCATGTCAAGACTGAATTATATAGTGCCTGGAAAATGCAGAGAATAATAGTTAAGGGTTGGTGAATTCGGCTAAACGAAAATTGGGTCAAAGAGATAGAGAAAGAAATGGGGTTTAACGTCCACTTGACACAAAGTAGGTCATTTCGGGACTAATATGGTTAAATTTTATTTCAATAATTTGTTTGCGCGTAGGGGTCTTTAGCAGTGAGAGGAAACCGGAGGACCCAGGAAAAACCCTGTGACTCCTTGTCATGTATAAGTGGGGAATTGAAATCACACCACTTGACTCAGTGACAGACCTTCTAATCCAAAGCACACACGCGCGTAAACAGTTTGGCCCCGCAACCCTGCAAACAGAGTCAGTCCGGTAACCGTAAACACAGATTATTATTGTTGGGGCCTAAAAATAAAAACATAAAGACAAAATGAATATATATTTTTGGAGCACTGTTGGAAGAGCTAAATCTATTTGTTAAGGCCAGTTGAATTTTTGTCAAGATCGCGGAGATGTAAACAAGGTTAGGCCACGTGATTGTTGGCTAGAATGTAGGTTAGCATTAGGGTAAGCATTGGGGCTAGGCCCAGGGTTAGGCTTTGGATTAGTGCTAGCACCATTTACATCTTCTGACCTATGACGAAAAATTAAGCTGGCCTTATCATTTAGCACTAATCCTATTGGAAGTCATACCATGGCCATATAATATATCTGAGGAAATTTCTAACTATATTTACCAAATCCATACACTGTTTTGAAAAAATATTGTTTTGGGAAGACAATTACTTTTAGTTACAGGAGCAACGTCTCTAACTCAATATCATCCATAAAATTCAAAATTTAAAACACGAATTAGAATTCAATATTGATCAATTTTTATCAATATTGATGTTGTTATCTTGCAGTGAAACTATAGAATCCTAATATCCAAGACACAATTAACATTTTATAATCAGTACACAAGTCGTGTACCCTATTGTTTCCGGTGCCATTTTGTAATGCACAAATAAAAACATATCCTACAACACTAATTGGAAGTAATTAGTAAAGGCTGATTCACAAACGACAAAAATCATAATTTAAAAAACGTATAGAATGGACTAAGCAGATGTAAATGACTGGCGTTCAATATCTCACCGAACATAATTGATTAGAAATTACAATATTTTTTTCGAAAATTGAATATAAATCACTTTACATACATTTATATTACATTGATATGTGCTTTTAGAACCATTTTTGTCAATTTCAAGGTTTCAAAAATTAGAGCCATACGCCCTTTAAAGGGGAAGATTAAATATACAACAACCTATACCTTTTGAGGTTAGGCCGAACCAATTTGACTTTCTGTTCTTTGATAATTAAATAGCCATTAAATTATTATTGCTCGATTTATATAGCACTTCATTACACATGAGTGTTTCTAAGTGCATTCACAACAAAACAGTTCAAAAACATTTTTGAAATAAGTATGTTTTTAAGTGAGACATAAAGCTCTGGATGGAAGAGGACTCTCATAATTTGGAAATAAAAGCCTTTGAACTGTACAACCAAGTCTTTTTCTTGATGAAATTTTAACCAATGTTCATAAAGAGATAAGTAAAATTTTAACAGGTGTTCATGAAGAACCAAAAATCAAATTCTTGTGGCCTTATAATTAGCTGCCCTTGATTAGGTTACAATCCTACCCAAATAATATCTCATTGCACTGATTTAAAACACCCTCAAATTTTCCAGAACGAATCATCAAAATGTGAATTCTTCCAAAACCATAATAATCAATTTGTAAACATTTATCTCTTTTTGTTTATAGAATGTATGATTATCCAGTATCATGTATCTCCTGTTGTTTATAGGAATGTATGATTATCCAGTATTATTTATCTCCTGTTGTTTATAGGAATGTATGATTATCCAGTATCATGTATCTCCTGTTGTTTATAGGAATGTATGATTATCCAGTATTATTTATCTCCTGTTGTTTATAGGATTATGATTATCCAGTATCAGTTATCTCCTGTTGTTTATAGGATGATTGATTATCTAGTATAATTTATCTCATGTTGTTTATAGAATGATTGACGTTAAACCCCATTTCATTTCATTTCATAGAATGATTGATTATCCAGTATCATTTATCTCTAGTGGTTTATAGAATTATGATTATCCAGTATCATTTTTTCTCCTGTTGTTTAAAGGATGTATAATTATCCAGTATCATTTATCTCCTGTTGTTTAAAGGATGTATAATTATCCAGTATCATTTATCTCTAGTGGTTTAAAGGATGTATAATTATCCAGTATCATTTATCTCTAGTGGTTTATAGGATTATGATTATCCAGTATCATTTATCTCCTGTTGTTTAAAGGATGTATAATTATCCAGTATCATTTATCTCCTGTTGTTTATAGAATGAATGATTATCCAGTATTATTTATCTCATGTTGTTTATAGAATGATTGATTATCCAGTATCATTTATCTTATGTTGTTTATAGAATATATGATTATCCAGTATTATTTATCTCATGTTGTTTATAGAATGAATGATTGTCCAGTAACAATTATAAGGGTTGTGTATTTAATAAATGAGCCTATGCATTCATTCAAATTATTTTATAGATTTATTTCCAGTAACCGGGGTAAAATATTTACATGCGATAATCAATGAAAATGTTTCTATGACCCTTCGATACTTGTAGATTATAGTCAAAATTAAATGCATTACTTTTAATCATTTGGAAGAAAGAGAATACAAATTGAATAATTAAACTATATGGTCATGTTATTTGATAATGCTGTAATATCATGAATATACATGAAATTTAAACAAAATGGCCTCTATAATTAATTATGGCTCAATATTCAATAAAAATCAAAACAAAAACTATGAACAATATTACATTTAAACATAGTGTATAAACTACGCCCAGTTACCACCTTTGTCAATACAATTGCTAATAGGTAAATTGGAGTCACTGAAGAAAATACACAAGATAATAGGTAAAATGTGAATCACTAGATAAATGCAAATAGGTAAATTGTGAGTCACTAGAGAAAAGAAAATAGGTAAAAGGCAAATTGTGAGTCACTAGAGAAAATACAAGAGGTAAATCACGAGTCACTCGAGGAAATATAATAGGTAAATTGTGAGTCACTAGTGAAAAGAAAATAGGTAATTAGGCAAATTGTGAGTCACTAGAGAAAATACAACAGGTAGATTGTGAGTCACTGGAGGAAATTGTGAGTCACTAGAGAAAAGAAAATAGGTAATTAGGCAAATTGTGAGTCACTGGAGTTAAATACAATAAATATAGCATGTGTAAGGCTTCAGTCACAGGTGAAAATCACTGATTAATCTATAGGGTTTTTACTTCATTATACTTTGACCACATTAAAATATTAGTGTAAAAAAAAAACTGTGTTGAGCATTTACATTGTAACAGGAGCAACAGCTCCACATAAAACTGATGTGTGATTCTTTCTTATGACTAGCAGAACAGTCCTAATACACTCCACAGAGCATTTACCAGGTTTCGATGATGTGACCAACAATTGTTTCACTGTGTAGATCTGACAGTATAAAAACTACTGGCTACCTTTAATAAGCACTAGTTCCCAAAGTAGCACTCGGCAAACCTCAGCAGATTCCAGTACCCTACATCTAGCCTCGGCTGTATGACGACGTCCGCCAAGTTCCCGGATTGCCATTGACGACGCCTTTGAAGAATTATTATCATACAAATATTTCAAAGTCTGAAGCTGTTTTACTTTCAAGTTTATCTGATTTTCCTCAAACAAGGACAACTTTGCACTGAAAATTCGACACACTTGGCGAACGACGCAACTTTGAGAACTCGGTTTTAGAATCGACAAGTTTTCCTAATAAGTAAACTGGTGCCGCATCGCAATTGTACAGGTGTAGGTACATATCACTTACCGCCATACAACCAAGGCTAGATGTAGAGTAACTGAATCAGCCGAGGTTTGCCGAGTGCATTGAACCCACCAACCGACTGGCCAAAGTAGTAATCTTTCGGAGTATTTAAAAGAACTTAGTGCAGGGGAGATAACCCTACAATAAAAAATACATTGTCCTAAATTTAAAATCACAACCACATGTCATCATCTTCTATCACGAGCAACATTAAATAAATCTTCTTCATCATCGTCAGTGTTAGCGTCGCCATCTCTTGTTAACATTTCTATTCTTTCTTCTGTAGCGTGTATTTTTTCTTTCTTATCAGTGCCTGAATAATAAACACATTTATCTCATCATTTTATCTATAAATGAGAGAGAGAGAGAGAGAGAGAGAAATGAGGTGTAACCTCCACTCATCACAAACTAGGTCATTTTGGGACTAACATATGGTTCAATATTATTACAATAATTCACTTATGTGTAGGGGTCTTTAGCAGTGGAAGGGAACCGGAGGACCCGGAGAAAACCCATGAGGTTAGTTAGGAGACTCTACTCCTTGTCACGTACAACTGGGGAATCAAAACCACGCCAGTTGACTGAACGTGACGAAAACCGATTTAAACAAGCCTACAGTGAGGCCGATGTCCCACGCCATTAATCCCAAAATAAATAGAAGACACATATTAATTAATTCTACATGTATCTTTTTGAAAAGTATCGAGCAATCAAACTGATCATCTATACTTATAAGCACAAAATGTTCACGATCAAACTCAGTCAAGGTTCTTAAGTACCTGGTAGTGAATCTCTACACTAAGTTTGACCACTCCATAAGTTAGAATCAAAGTTATCTTGTTCCAAAGCATCGAGCAATGAAATTGCTTAGCTCTAATTATATTCTGCAGAAAACGTTAATCATTGAAGTCAGTCAAGACATTCACCTAATGAACATCTACACTGCAATTCAAAGCAGATTTGTTATGTTCTAACTTCTTAGCCAATCAAATTGCTTTTTGCAACTTAGCCTCAGCAAAAATTCTCATCTTAGAACCAAAGTCTCAACAAATCAAATTGCTTATCTCTGCTTAGCCTAGGGGAAAATATGCATGATCGAACTCTGTCAAGCCGTTCACCTAATAGACACCTACACCAAGTTTGAACATTTAACCTCCATTAGAAGGAGAGTTATTGTCACGACCAATCAGATTTAAGTCTCTACTATTGGCCTAAGCAGAAAATGCTCATCATCAAACTTAGTCAAGGTATTGATTTAATGAAACTGTACTCAAAGTGTCACCACTCTCACTCATTTAGAATCAAAGTTATCGAGCTCCAATATCTTGACCAATCAAATTGCTATCGCTCTGCTTACCCCGAGCAGAAAATGCTCATTATGGAACTTAGTCAAGGTATTAGAACCAAAGTTATCGTGTCCCAAACAATTAACAAATTAAATTGCTTATCTCTGCTTAAGTGGTGGACACACTAGCCGAATGATTCGGCCAAATCGTTCTGCCGAATCAATCAGCGCTGACTGATTTGCCCAAATCAAACATGTTTGATATATTCGCCTAGTGTGTACGCTTCGCTGAAGCATTCGGACGATTGGAGAATTCATTAACCAATCACCACTCATCATCCACTCATATCGAGAAGTCACATGATTCTTTGAAGACATGGTCTGTGCCATGTTTAATCATGTAACATGAAAGGTGATGCAATCGACTGGTGAATATCGCGAAGGATTCGCCTAGTGTGTCCACTTATTCGGCCAAATGATTCGGCTAGTGTGTCCACGGCTTAAAGCCTAGCTCACAAATTTTAGTAAACGTTTTCTGCAGAATATAATTATAGCTAAGCAATTTCATTGCTCGATGCTTTGGAACAAGATAACTTTGATTCTAACTTATGGAGTGGTAAAACTTAGTAAACTTGTGTGTGTTTGGCAACGTAGCAGATCGCAGACTGGCCATAGAGACTTTTGATCCTGTTTCCCCTTGTACACACTGACACGCACGTAAAAAATCCCTTGGCAGTTGGAATTCGATATAGGAGTAGGCTGTAGCGCCACTGTAGGGGCAAAATTTCCCTCATAGCATACTGTGTCATTAGCCCAGTCGGAGGAGAACAGTAGGATGTTAAACCCCATTTCATTTTCTGTCAGAAGGGGGACAAATAATGGGTTAGTTAAAGCTTCATAAATCATTTAAATAATGCGAGTAATTATGGCAACATGTCCTTTCCATAAATCGTTTAAATAATGCGAGTAATTATGGCGACATATCCTTTCCATAAATCGTTTAAATAATGCAAGTAATTATGGCAACATATCTTTTCTATATATAAATCGTTTAAATAATGCAAGACAGAGAGAAATGGGGTTTAACGTCCACTCGTCACAAACTAGGTCATTTCGGGACTAACATATGGTTTAATTTTATTTCAATAATTCGCTTGCGCGTAGGGGTCTTTAGCAGTGGGAGGAAACCAGAGGTTTAAATAATGCAAGTAATTATGGCAACATATCCTTTCCATAAATATAACATGACTAGAGTAAGTACAGACTAGAATACGAGCCGAAGGATTAAAATTATGTCACAGCTTTTTTATAGGTGTAAAGTTACGACTACTCAAAAAAAAAAGGCAAAAATCGTTAATATTGAAAAATACCTGTGGCAGGTAACATTGACATTCGGGATTGTGTTATACTTATGGAAATATTGACATAATTACTTGCATTATGTTGACATAATTTCATGCATTATTTAAATGATTTAAGAAGCTATCTCAGTGAGCTTTAAAATGTTAGAAGCAAGCAAATAAGCAAATCATGCCAGGAGCTGATGAGGCTACATGCAGTGGGTAAACTGATTCACCTAATAATAGAATCCTGACACAATATATTAACACTATTATATATTATATGTAGTTATCAGTAGGTAAACAAAGATCTAATTGACCAGACTTATATAAGACCATATCAGATTAACCAGACATAAATAAGACCATATTTTGGGTGTCAGATTAACCAGACATAAATAAGACTATATTTTGGGTGTCAGATTAACCAGACATATTTATGGCCATATTCTGGTTCTCGGATTAACCAGACATATATGTGACCATATTTTAAAATATATTCTGGATCTCAGATAGGGGTTTAACATCCACTCGACACAAACTAGGTCATTTGGGGTCTAACATAATAATATGGTTAAATTTTTTTACAATAACTCCCTAGCATGTAAGGGTCTTAAGCAGTGAGAGGAAACCGCAGAACCCAGAGAAAACCCATGAGTTTTGAAATTAATGACTGAAATTAATTGGGTGATGTTTCAAAGAGTTTTCAACTAATTACAGTAACAAATGTGTAGGGCATAGATAAGAAATAACAGATAGGAGATGGACGATGAGAGGTGTTAGCAGACAAATCTGTGTTTTCATTGATAGATCAGACAATAATAAGCTACTTTTATAAACTTTAGCTTAGCATAGAGTAACAGTTACATTTAGCTATGTTATACGAGAATTAGTTATTGATAGATCAGACAATAAGCTACTTTTATAAACTTTAAACGTAACAGTAAAATTTAGCTATGTAATACGAGAATTAGTTATTGATAGATCATACAATAATAAGCTACTTTTTATATTAACTTAGCATAGAGTAACAGTAAAATTTAGCTATGTAATACGAGAATTAGTTATTGATAGATCTGACAATAATAAGCTACTTTTTAATATAAACTCTAGCTTAATAGGCTTAGCATAGAGTAATAGTAAAATTTAGCTATGCAATACAAGAATTAGTAATTTTTTCACTGATGGATCTGACAATAAGCTACTTTTTATATAAACTTTAACAGTAACAGTAAAATTTAACCATGTAATTTTTCATTGATAGAACTGACAATAATTAGCTAATTTTTTATATAAACTTTAGCTGAGCATACAGTAACAGTAAAATTTAACCATGTAATACAGGAATTAGTAATTAATTGATGATGAATAATATGTAGTCCAACAATAATTGAAATAGGATGTTTATGATGAGAAATTAGCCACACATTATTTAGAGGGGTGTTACGTACTACCAAAGACATGTTAACAAGTTGCAATCTTTTACAAAGTGAAAACATAAACCACCTCTGCCATCAGATTTGTTTTGAAAGATATTTTATTGGCATGGCCTAATAGAGATATAATTTGAATGGCCTAATAGCTACAAGTATATCGATAAAATAGATAACAAAAAACAAAGGCCTGCAGGGTTTTAACAATTTTTTGACTGCAGGGGAAAATTTTTTTTAATAAATCAACAAGCAAACGTGAAATTTTGTAGGCATTTGCTTGCACAGTTAAACCAAGTTAGCAAGTTAGATATAAAAAACTGAGAACAGACAAAATCAAGTACAATCACAAAATTTTATCTGACAACGTAAAAGTCTATTTAAAATGTTTTTTTTTACCATTTCAGTAATTTTATGAATTTAATAATTCCACCTATTTTATACCATACACACATACTTCAATTATGACCTACTTGTTATTTGCAGTTTTTGCCAAAATATCAAATTTCTCATGGTTTAATCCATTCTAATAGATAGAGAGAGAAATGGGGTTTAACGTCCACTCGACACAAACTAGGTCATTCCGGGACTAACATATGGTTTAATTTTATTTCAATAATTTGCTTGTGCGTAGGGGTCTTTAGCAGTGCGAGGAAACCGGAGGACCCGGAGAAAACCCACGAGGTTGGACAGGCGACCCTACTACTTGTCACCTACAACCGGGGATTCGAATCCACGACAGTTGACTCAATGACAGGTTTTATGATACAGCGCGCACGTGCTAACCATTCGGCCATCCAACCCCCCTCCACGCTGATATGTTCTCGGATTATTTAACATTTAACTGAGACAACAAAATCAAATTACCAACAGAGATTCCAATTCCACATATCTTTGTAAATAGTGAATGGAATTAAACAATTTTGGACTGATATTCCTATTAGAGATATATACCAACATGAGATTCCAATTCCACATATCTTTGTAAATAGTGAATGGAATTAAACAATTTTGGACTGATATTCCTATTAGAGATATATACCAACATGAGACTTCAATTCCACATATCTTTGTAAATATTAAACGGAATTAAAACATTTTTTGGACTAATATTCCTATTAGAGATTAAATGTTCACAATATTGTCGTTTGTAAGGGATTCTTATAGAGCTAAATATATCATTGAGATTTCAATTCCACATATCTTTGTAAATACTGAATGGAATGAAAACATTTTTCGGTCTAATATTCCTATTCGAGATTAAATGTTCACTATATTGTCGTTCGAAAGGGATTCTTATAGAGCTAAATATATCATTGAGATTTCAATTCCACATATCTTTGTATATACTGTATGGAATTGAGACATTTTTGGACTGCTATTTCTATTTGAGATTAAATGTTCACAACATTATAGTTTGGAAGGGATTCATATTGCACTTCAATGATGCAGTTGAAGATTCAATATTTTACGTTTGTCACTTTCAATTAATACTATTAGTGATTAACCATTCACATTTTTTTTTGTTTGCGTGGGATTCATATTGCGCTTCAACGAACAAACTGAAGATTCAATATTTTACGTTTTACACTTTCAATGTCGTTTGTTAATCTTTTCAATTTAATTGTTTGATCTTTTGAATACATACTGATTCAACTACGAAATACAAATAGTGTTAACACATCTATAAAATCAAGACTTACTATCAGGAACTTTGAGAATTTCCAAGACTTACTAGATACAGCCCTTAGTAAAACATGTAATGATATTCCAAAAAGGCATACAACTAATCCTAAAAGATTTACTGAGTTCATCGTATCCCCATTAATCTGTGTAGCCAGGTACAGGGTACAAATTTCCTGAAAAATAAAAAAAAAATAAAGATATTTCTTAACTAAAATTATGTACCTTGTTTTCCTGTTATTCAAATTAATTAAATCACTGCTGTTCCTATTTTACAGAGAGAGAGAGAGCAAAATGGGGTTTAATGTCCACTCGACACTCGAGATCCCCGTGCCTACCATATTCACAGTCCATTCATGTAGGGAGAGAGAGAGAGAAATGGGGTTTAACATCCACTCGACACAAACTAGGTTATTTTGGGACTAACGCATGGTTCAAATCTTATTTCAATAATTCGTTTGAAAGGTAGGGGTCTTTAGCAGAGGGAGGAAACCGGAGGACCCAGAGAAAACCCACAAGGTTGGACAGGCAATCCTACTCCTTGTCACGTACAAATGGAGATTTGAAACCATGCCAGTTGAGTCAATGACAGACCTTATGTTACAGCGCGCTGCTAACCATTCAGCCATCCACGCCCACCACACCCCACCCCCCCCTACCCTATTTTACACAAAACAAATATATTTCATACTAATTAAATTTATGTACCTGATTTCTTAATTGATTTTTAACTAGATTTTCATACATCAAGTAAATCAAATCAAGACAGAAAATCTCTGTTTATCCAACATCAAATTGTAATTTACCCAAACCAACAATCTGATTAAAACACAGACCCTAATTTCGATTCGTTTTTGTAGTTCAAAATTTCGTTTTATTTGTCTGTACAACACTAGGATCTGGAAGAGTTGTTATATAAACTGCGTTCTTGATGGCGTGAGGAATTAGCTAATGAAACCATCTGTTACGGCGACTTCTTGGCATGTCATGCACGGAACTGTAGGTAAACCACTAGAAATGTCAACGCTGATTGATTAATCAATGTCTGACGTCATAGGGTCAAAAACCACTTGTACGACCCCTGACGCGTAGTCTAGGCCAGTATTTTAATCAGATTGCCAAACCAATAGGTATTTCTAAACAAATCACTCAGATTCTATATTTTCTTTCAAGTGGAGGATCCAAGTAGGGGCTGTAGAGCCCTCCCCGCCCCCTCAAATGAAAATTTGAGCTTTTTGTTGGTTGGGGTAATTGAGCAGATGAATTGAAAGTTATATTCAGGTCCCGATAATATGGACAATTGACACCCCAATTTTTCTAAATTGTATCGAAGGAGGACCCCAGAGTCCCCCCCCCCCTCCACCAACCATTTGTGTGCTGTCATGCCCTTCGGATTTAGGTCACATCCGAACAACTGGACACTTTTACATGTCAGGCATCCCGTTTCGCACCACTGACAAGGGGAAACCAGTAGACTGGACAATCTGGAGTCACTTACTCGACCATTACTGAGATTGAACCCATGAACTCCTTGTTAGTGAGCCAGCAAAAGAAAGAGAGAGAGCGAAATGGGGTTTAACGTCCATTCGACACAAACTAGGTCATTTTTGGACTAACATATTATTCAATTTTATTTCAATAATTCACTTGCGCATAGGGGTCTTTAGCAATGGGAGGAAACAGGAGGACCCAGAGAAAACCCACAAGGTTGGACAGGCGACCCCACCAGTTGACTCAATGACAGACTTTATGATACAGCGCACACGTGCTAACCATTTGGCTATCCACCTCCCCCTGTTGAAGAGAAACCATGTGAATAAATCAAAGTTGATAAATTTCAATGTGCAGGGAATATAGAATTAGTATGTTTATCTCACACTATAAGAGTTAAAATGTTAAGAGAGAGAGAGAAAAGATGTGGGGTTTAATATTCACTAGACACAAACTTGGTCATTTCGGGACTAACATATGGGTCAATTTCATTTCAATAATTTGTTTATGCATAGGGAGGGGTCTTTAGTTGTGGGAGGAAACCATAGGACCCACAAGGTGCAGGGAATAGCATTAGTACATTTACTAGGGGTCTTTAGCAGTGGGAGTAAACCGGAGGACCCGGAGAAAACCCACGCGGTTAGACAGGTGATCCTTCATCTTGTCACGAACAAGCAGTGAATTGAAAACCATCGCCGTTGACTCAATGACAGACCTTATGATACAACATGCACGCGCTAACCATTCGGCCATCCCCCCCCCCCTTACACGATAGAGTTAAAATGTTAAAACAATTACCTTAAATATTCCCGATATAGATAGAGTTAGACTAGAGGTGCGAGACAGCAAGAGAAATTCACTGAATTCTAGTAAGAAAGCCAAACAAGCACCAATTAATATAAGGCCTATTGATGTCAATAAAACCGTTGTATCTTCATAACGAAACAATCTGTTAGTTGTTGATATTTCTATACCTGTAGTAACCATAGCAACATTAATATATGTTTATTAAAGAGAAACTCTCACTATGTCAATCATTAAACAGACCTAAATCTGCCTATTGCAGGTCTTTCTTTAGGCCTTAAATGTTATATAAATTATTAATTACACATTTATTAACCCGTTAAGTCCATAAGTCGTTATATAACGTCTTGGACAACTGCCACTCACTGTGTGGAGGGCGTAATATAACACCTTGGAGGTATTTTCCCCAACCTATTCTTAGAACATAGTACATAGTTCTTCATCACATTAATTACACAATAGGGGGTAGTTAACGTTTTAAAAACATCACGCTTAACGGGTTAACATGACAAGATCATAATCAACTCTCAATGCCATTGGATTGCTCCAATTTTAAGTAGATTAGAATGGTTTGTCCATTTAATGATTTAATTTAAAAAAGGTGAAGGGAGTCTAAGACTCGAATGACCAGTACAGTGGTTAAGATCAATGTACACATCTTGTCAAGACTACAAACAGTGATAACTTGGCTCAGAATAAAATAATTTAGACTCAGTGCGGGGGAGTGTTCATCAAATGACACAAACAAAACCAGACCCAACTTTTCTATAGTAAAATTTTGCCTAGAATACGTTGCCAAGTGGTAATCAGTCCGCCGTTGGGGCGTTTTCGAAATATTTGGGGTCAAAGGTCAAATGAGGTCAACGTATTCTATGCAAAATTTTACTATAGAAAAGTTGGGTCTGGTTTTGTTTGCGTCATTTTACTATAAGTGATGACCATAGTGATTAGTGAACACATAGGCTTACAGGGAAATTTTTGACTGGGGGGGCGGAGGTGGTTGGTGCCCAGAAAATGTAGTTAGGTTCTTAGTATGTTACATAATACGCCTCGTACGCCTATGAGTGAACATCAACAAAAGAGTTAATATAAGATTATGTGCAAAATTAAAGGTCAATATACAATCGGATTAAAATACAGATCTATATTTCGTTTCGTTTTTTTATACTTTCGATGGCCTACACTACATGAAGATCTGACTAGTTATAGCCATAGGTCACGTCAGGGGTCAAAAGACCGACTTATGACCCTATGATGTCAGACATTTGATTAACCAATCAGCATTGATGTTACTAGTGGATTACCCACAGTTCAGTGCAAAACACGCCTAAAGCTCGCTGTAACAGACCGTTTCATTGGCTTATCCCTGACACCATTCAGAACACGAGTTAAATAACAACTCTTCCAGATCCTAGTGTGGTAAAGACAAGTAAAATGAAATTTTGAACTATAAAAACGAAACGAATAGGATCTTTGTTTTAACCAGATTGGGTCAATAATATATGACATGTGCTGGGATTTTCAATAATTAGGTAACTCTAGTTTATTTTTCAGTTAGGGCACTGTTACAGAATCATTCACTTTTTGACAAAAGCATGAAAATTGGCATATAGGTAGTATTTTGTTTTCGACAAATGGCAGTTGAAAATGAGGTCATATCGTACATGTCCCGCTCTTATTCAAAAGAGGAATTCAAAAACCACTTTTATGCCAATTTTCATGCTTTTATCATGGTAAGACCAGTAGATCTAGATTTCAACGGGAATAGATTTCAGAAAGCTGGATTTAATTGTTTTTGTATCTAGGGTACTTGCTTATCAACAAACTAAAAGTCTTCCAAAATCAGATATGTGGATGTGGGTGAGAGATAGAGAAATGGGTTTAACGTCCACTCAACACAAACTATCCCATTTCGGGACTAACACATGGTTCAATTTTATTTAAATAAATCGCTTGTGTGTAGGGGTCTTTTAGCTCCGACTGGGCTAATGAAAACTGACATACGCTATACAGTGTGCTATGAGGGAAATTTTGCCCGGGCAGTGGCGCTACAGCCTACTCTTATATTGAATTCCAACTGCCGAGGGATCTTTTACATGCACGTCAATGGTACCTGTTTTTTGTCCCATCTGAACAACTATGCGCTGTCCCTTGCCAGGCCCCCAGTCCTGCACCACTGACAAGGAGGAACCATGCTGGGAAATCCCAATGAAGGTTCTCGGCCAACGCCGGGATCAAACACGCAACCTCCAGGCTAGTGAGCCATCATTTTACCCACTACCATAACCTGCACAGCTATAATATGGAGGTTATCAACAAAAATTAAAGGGTAAAAAATCAAAGTGAAAGTAAAGTCTGATAGCGTGACTGGTCTGATCCCAAATTTAGATAAGGGACTGTCACAGAATTTCAACACTTGCCTCCAAATGAATAACCTGCAGATAGAAAATGGTAAATTAAATGTAGATTATAGTCTTAATTTCGCATCAAACTCCATCTGTGTCAACATTTTCTCACTCTATTCCCAGGTTGTTTATATTTTGCCACAGTCCCTACGATAAAGTACAGTATTAAGTGTATTTACAAACCTTCAAATGTTGTTGATAAAGGTAATAATCCTAACATCATCCATGGTTGAACATGATACATCATATCTAATGGATTACTTAAACCTGAAAAAGACAGAGAAATGGGGCTTAACGTCAACTCGACACATAATAGTTCATTTCGGGACTAACATATTGTTCAATATTATTCTGTCCTTATCAGCCCAGTCGGTGCAGATAAGTAGGAGGTTAAACCCCATTTTATTTCATTTCATTTTTATTTCTTAAATTCGCTAGCGAGTTGGGTTTTTTGACAGTGCAAGGGAACTGGAGGACCCAGGCATGCCGTCATACCAAAAAATTAAATTCACATTTATGGGTTCCCTGAGTCTCCGAGAACTACCCTAGCTTTCGGTCTGAATGAAGTCCCTGCAAGGTGCTTTTTATTTTTCTAAAACTGATCAAGTGACTTTTCTAAAGCTGATCAAGTGACTTTTCTAAAACTGATTACCGGTAAGTGAATTTCTAAAGCTGATCAAGTGACTTTTCTAAAACTGATTAAGTGACTTTTCTAAAACTGATCAAGTGACTTTTCTAAAAACTGATCAAGTGACTTTTCTAAAGCTGATCAAGTGACTTTTCTAAAAACTGATCAAGTGACTTTTCTAAATCGTCTAGTGAGAGAGAGAGAAATTGAGTTTTACATCCACTCAACACAAACCAAGTCATTTCCGGACTAACATGCGGTTCAATTTTATTTCAATAATTGGCTTACACTTAGGGGTCTTTAGCAGTGGGGGAAACCTGGGGACCTGGAGAAAACCCACGAGGTTGGAAAATCTTTTAGTGACTATAAATGTAATAAAATGAGGGCGTATAAAAATGTTACTTTAACGTACCTAATTCTTTTTTCTGAAGTATAAACTGAGACAACGTCCAGCGTATACCAGAGAGGAAGGATGCTATCATAACCATTATAAAACCTTCTAGATTGAACTGTGTAGAATGATAGGTGAACATAAATAATCCACCAGATATAAATAACACAACAAAAACTAAACTACATCGCTGGAAATATAGAAAATAGTTCTATTATAAACAACACAACAAATACTAAACCACACAGCTGGAAATATATAAAACAGTCCTATTATAACAAAACAACAAACACTAAACATCATCACTGAAATTATATAAAACACAACAACTAAACCACATTGTTGGAAAAACATAAAACAGTTCTATGATAACAACACAAAATCCACTAAACCACATTGCTGTAATTATATAAACCAGTTCTATGATTAACAAGAGAGAGAGAGAGAGAAAGAGAGAGAGAGAGAGAGAGAGAGAGTTTAACATCCACTGGACACAAACTAGGTCATTTCGGGACTAACATACGGTTCAATTTTATTACAATAAATTGCTTGTTCTTTATCAGTGGAAGGAAACCGGACGACCCAGAAAAAACCCATGAGGTTGGACAGGCTACTCCTTGTTACGTACAAGTGGAGAATTGAAACCACTGTGCTTAGCTCAATGACAGACCTAATAAATGACGCAATGCGCACATGTTAACCATTCCACCACCACCCAACCCCCCATTTTATTGAAGAATGATGAGCTGTCCTATGAAACATCAAATTTACAAATACATGAACTGATATGTTACATGTATATATTAGAATTTCTGAATTTTTTTCTTGTTTTTTTAGAAAACAGTCAATGCTTCTACTTACCATTTTTTCTAATCTAAAAATTATGCTAAAAATAAGAATAAAAATCACAGACGTTGATTTACACATTGTATATCTGAAAGATAAAAAAACCTTCAATTACCTTAAAATCTCTCTATGTGACATGTGTCATTTGGTTACGGCGTGGTTCCCCCTTGTCAGTGATGAAGGAGTGAGGGCCTGACAAGGACAGCTGTCAAGTCGTTCGGATAGCACGAAAAACTGAGGTCCTGTGTACACATTGGTTTGCACGTAAAAGATCCCTTGACAGTTGGAATTCGATATAAGAGTAGGCCGTAGTGCCGCTGTCCAGGCAAAAATTCCCCCATAGCACACTGTATGGTGTATTGTATGCCTATCTTCATTAGCCCAGTTCAGAGCAGAAGAGTAGGACGTTAAACCCCATTTCATTTCTTTCATTTCTGTGTCATTTGGAGTGTGTTACATTCATTGTTAAATTGTTAAATTGAATGCATTTATTTCAATCTGGATAATCAGTAAACAATCTATGGCAGTAAACAAGGTCAATGAGTAAATTAAAGGGACAGTACCCAAATCTATAAAGGGGCAATACCTCACTATGATTTAGTGACAGAGTGAGAAATTTGATATTTTAGCAAAAAATGCAATTGATGCATTGTTACTTTAAACTTTTTGAGTAATATATTACATAAATATTATAATCCCAGTAATCATAAAAATATCGAGCCAATCTCGTCAAAAGGAGCTACTTAAATAACAAAAACATATAACTAAAGGGGCTCTAGGACAATTCCTCCCCGGAGAATTCATCCCCAGATAACTCGTCCTTAAGTACAATTCGTCCCATATGACTATTGGCCCCCTAAGGCTCAATTGTCCCTGGAGAACTCGTCCCCTTATGAAACAACTTTTAGAAAATTATTGTTATTGTTCCATTCTTGTGGCTTCATCACTTTTTGTGACTTAAACTCCCATTTGTTTAAATGGTTTTCCACTGTGAATTAAATTGATTTATGACTGAAAATTGAAAGGACGAATTGTCTGGGGTCGTATTGTTCGGGCCGAATTATATGCAGACGAATAGTCTCAGGGTATGAATTGTCCAGGAATGAATTGTCAGACGACAAGTCGTCCGGGGACAAATTGTCCCTTACCCACTGAAGGATGACAGGCCCACTCCTCCAGTTAATGTAACAAACAACCATTTCACCTCAGCCCAAAAAGGAGAGACAAATACCAGTTGCCTCTTACTTCTGATTTTCATGACATTTTAGTCCAAATCTTGACTGTCACATAAATAAACTGTTTGGTACTATCCCGTACCTAGATATTAACCCTTTCGAAAAACCTTACTACATTATGGAATCAATGACAAATCTAATCGTTTCTTTTGCTTTGTCATAAATATATTTACCTATATACTTACAAAGAAACTGTGATAAATTCGAAACTCCAATTAGAAAAACCTATATCTAAAACACTGGTTATACCTGTAAAAAATAAATATATATCTTAAACACTGGTTACACCTGTAAAAAATATATATATATCAAAAACACTGGTTATACCTGTAAAAAATAAATACCTGTAAGACTTTCTCAAAGAATTAAGTTTAAAGGCTCAATACCACTCTTGTTGTAACAGAATAATATGTCCCAATCTTTATTCTGGTCAACAAATTGTACTATTTTACAATATTTCAATTAATTGATGATACAAATTTCATCTTAACACACATTATTTAAAAATTTTGAAAAATTCAACATAACGTAAACCTTTTCAAATGAAACTTCGATTTAAAAATATTTTCGAACCCTCTGGACAAGTAAAATAGGATGCAATGGATAATTTATACAACAGGTAAGACACTTAAACATCTAGTACTTAGATAGAGATATCATTTATTTTCTGGAGCTTTCAAGCCAGCAAGAGTGTTATTGTCCATTTAACATTAATGAAGATGGGCATACTTCATACAGTATGCTATGGGGGAAATTTGGCCTGGACAGAGGCGCTACAGCCTATTCTTATATTGAATTGCAACTGTCAAGGTATCTTTCATGTGAATGCCAATGTGTACACCGGACCTTGGTTTTTCACAAAACAGACAAGGAGTTTAAACGTCCACTTAATGTAACTAGCCATTTTGGTATAAGATATCTTTCCAAGTTTGAAATGAAATGAAATGGGGTTTAATGTCCTACTGTTCTGCTCCGAACTGGGCAAATGAAGACGGGCATACACCATACAGTGTGCTATGAGGAAAATTTTGCCCGGGCAGTGGCACTATCGCCTCCTCTTATATCGAATTCCAACTACCAAGGGATCTTTTACGTGCATTCCAATGTATACACGGGACCTGGTTTTTCCATCTCATCAGAAGGACTAGACAGCTGTCCTTGTCAGGCCCTCCCGTCCTGTATCACTGACAAGGGGGGAACCACGCCGGAAAATCTGGATGAACTTTCTCGGCCAATGCAGGGATCGAACACCTGACCTCCAGGCTAGCGAGCCAGCGTCTTACCCACTTAGCCACGTGATCCCCTTCCAAGTTTGAGGAAGATTATTTCAACCCAATGAACATTATAAAAGCTGGGGGACTGCACCACACATAAAAAATTACTCAAGATAAACCTACAGACAGGATAAAATATAAACAGACAACTCAAATAACCAACGTATCAATGATTAAATTTACAGTACATTATACAAGAGCTAAATCTGCCTATTGCAGGTCTTTCTTAAGGGCTGAAATTATTAATCAACCCTTAATCAACCCTCAATGCCATCTTAAGTGTCGGATTTTCACTGGATTTGAATCCGATCTGCTGCTCGACTCTCATTGATGATTAAATCCAAAAATGGACAATGGAAATTATGTTTTATCGTACCGACTTTAGTAATGATGATCGAGGCTAGGTCTAAAATTTAATCGCTAATATCTCAGTTCAGAGTGGAGCAATTTTATTGAAATGTTCAGCATATTCACTTTTCATTATCTATCATAGTGAGAACTGCCCGCTCTTTATCTAATCTTCCATAATGTATCTTTAAGTGAATGGATAGAGATATTTACCTGTAGGTCCTAATTTTCTGATATACTGTCCCCAATCTAAAGTTATTCGTGGAGTTTTGGATCTAGATTGTAGACAGGAACGTATAAGACCAGCTAATACAAATTTAACAATAAGATGACACATGGTAACGGATAACGGGTACGTATAGGACTGAAAAATACAAGAATATCTAACACTACTATAAATAATTTCTCTTTGTAATAAAAAATTATATAAAAAGATAAAAAAGAAAAAAAAATCAACAAAAACTAAATCTTTGGTAAACAAGCATAAAGCTTATTTAGTGTGTGGCAATCTTACAAATTCATCGAAATGATGTAAATTTAAGCCTAAAAAAGGTGAGCACAATTTTCGAAGGGCCCAGTAAATATGTGAGAACATAAACTTCTTCAGAGATCTCCGCGACTACCATACTAACAGGCTCCTGTCAGTCCATCCATGGGGAGAGAGAGAGAGAGAGAGAGAGAGAGAGAGAGATGGGGTTTAACGCCCACTTGACAAAAACTAGGTAATTTCAGAATCTGGACTAACATCTGGTTCAATTTTATTTCAATAATTCGCTTGCATGTAGGGGTCTTTAGCAGTGGGAGGAAACTGGAGGACCCGGAGAAAACCCATGATGTTGGACAGAAATAACAAACAGATCAATTCACAATATTGAACTGACCTATGGCTATCATTATTGAAAACATTACAAATACATATAAGACAACAAGTGATGCTATGCAAGATGCGCCATATTGCAATAGGTGGATGTAGAACAGTGAAATCAATAGGATTCATCATGGCATTATCTCAATGTTTCACCACAAATTCACAAGTTTTTCAGAAAAGGGTGGTAACGGAATGTCATAAACTGCTCAATATTGATAAGGTATGTCCTCTTGTGACCCCAATGCTGCACACCAAATTTGAAATAAATCCATTAAAAACAACAGTCTCTATCGCATTCAAAAGGTTTGTGACAAATGTGGTAAATCCGGAATGGAAAGTCGAAGAATGCCTATTTAATTAAAATACAGATCTATATTTCGTTTCGTTTTTTTATACTTTTGATGGTCTCTACTACATGAAAGTCTGACTGGTTGTAGTGAGATGGCGTGTCAGGTCATATGAGCTGCTTTTTACCCTATAACATCAGACATTGATTAATCAATCAGGGTTGACATTTATAGTGGTTTACCCACAGTTCCGTGCATCGCACACCAAGAACTTGCTGTAACAGATTGTTTCATTGGCTAATCCCTCACATATAACAACTCTTCCAGATCCTAGTGTAGTGAAGACAAGTAAAAAGAGATTTTGAACTATAAAAAACGAAACGAAATAGGATCTGTCTTTTAATCAGATTGGACGGACATGAAAATGTGGGCGTATAAAAAAGTTGAACATACATGTATAAATCTTTGATTGTAGAACGTTAAACTGATAGAAAACGTATAATACACAAGAACAAGAACACCAGTTGACAAAAGGTTTCCGAGGAATGATCTGGAACATATTGATTTCTTCACTAATTTGGCTTTAGGTTCCACGACATCTTCCAGGATATGTTTTCCGAGTGACGTTTCTTTCTTATTTTTAACCATATTGCCCTCCTCTTATCTCCACTAAAAGATGATAATCAACAACCACAGGAGCTACATTTTATTCCATTTCCTTAAAAATAAGATGAACATATAATTAGCATCATATAGTTACATCACTCTTGATTTTGGGGGATCACAGTGGCTAAGTGGGTAAGACGCTGGCTCTCTAGCCTAGAGGTCGGGTGTTCCATCCCTGCATTGGCCGAGAAAGTTCATCCAAATTTTCAGGCGTGGTTCCCCCTTGTCAGTGATGCAGGACGGAGGGCTTGACAAGGACAGCTGTCTAGTCATTTGGATGGGACGAAAAACCGAGGTCCTGTGTACATATTGGTGTGCACGCAAAAGATCCCTTGACAGTTGGAATTCGATATATGTAGGCCATAGTGCCGCTGCCCGGGCAAAATTTCCCTCATAGCACACTGTATGGCGTATGCCCATCTTCATTAACCAAGTTTGGAGCAGAACAGTAGGACGTTAAATCCCATTTCATTTCATTTCTCTTGATTTGGTTGGGGGGAGATGGCTGAATAGTTTACGAGATCAGTCATTGAGACAAGTGGTATTGTTTCAAGCCCAAGCTTGTAGTGACTAGGAGTATGTTTGCCTGTCCAAAATGAAATGGGGTTTAATGTCCTACTCTGACTGGGATAATGAAGACAGGCATACGCCATACAGTGAGTGTGCTATGAGGGATAATTTTCCCGGGCAGCGGCACTATGGCCTACTCTTATATCGAATTCCAACTGCCAAGAGATCTTTTATGTGCACGCCAATGTGTACATGGGGACCTCATTTTTCTGCCCATCCAAATGACTAGACAGCTGTCCTTGTCAGGCCCTCCATCTTTCACCACTGACAAGGGGAAACCGCACTGGAAAATCATGATGAGCTTTCTTCTTGGCCAATGCAGGGATTGAACATGTGACCTCTGGGTTAGCAAGTCAGCGTCATACTATCTTAGCCACCGTGGCTCCTTGCGTGTCCAACCTCCGTGAGTTTTCTCCAGTTCCCCCCCTACTGCTACAGATACACCCCACCCCCAGCATAAGCGAATTATTAAATTATTAAAAAACTGGTTTATGCACTTACAAACATATCGCACAACGTTGTAACACATGTTCTTTTATCGTTATCAAGCACAAATGATGAATATATGTGTATAAAAAAACAACTGACTATTGTTCATATGATATAAAAAAACAACTGACTATTGTTCATATGATATGTTTTTGAAAGAACTATAGAATTAGTCAATAAAATTGCATCCAAGCTGAACTGTAACATGCTGTAAAGTCAGTATATAAAATTTGATCAACCGGAACTAGTGGTATTGGTATTGTTAACTGTATATCACTCTATGATAACATTACACAGCATTAGCTGTATTAACATACAAATTATCACACAACATTTATGAATGGTTAATTGGTCGAGAGTGAGCCATTAAGTAATATATTCATACTGCACGAGGCGTTAGCCGAGTGTTGTTTCAATATATTACGCAATGTCTTTAGCTCGAGACCATTAAACAACTTAAAATACAGACACTATCCCGCACATGCTTTTCACTGAAATATGTCACGCGAGTCCAATATTTCATCTAGTATAGATAATGTACGATTGACAAGTTGCTCGTACAATATTGGAAATAATGATACACCAACATCAAAAGATGACAACAAATCTGTATTTTATATTCTAATAAAAAACATTGTGTGATAATTTATGTCTGATATTTTGTACTTGACAAGGTCAGTGACAGGTGTGCGCATCCATGCTTGGAAATGAAATGAAATGGGTTTTTTAACGTCCTACTGTTCTGCTCCTACTGGACTAATGAAGATGGGCATACACCATACTGTCTGCTATGACTACTATGAGGGAACTTTTACCCGGGCAGCGGCACTATGGCCTACTCTTATATCGAATTCCAAATGCCAAGGGATCTTTTACGTGCACGTCAATCTATACACGGTTTTCCGTACCATCTGAATGACTAGACAGCTGTCCTTGTTAGGCCCTCCGTTCTGCACCACTGACAAGGGGGGAATCACGCCGGAAAATCTTGATGAACTTTCTCGGTCAATGCAGGGATCAAACACGTGACGTCTTACCCACTTGGCTCCCGCAGTCAAGGATGGGGGAGAGAGAGAGAGAAATGGGGTTTAACGTCCACTCGACACAAACTAGGTCATTTTGGGACTAAAACATGGTTCAATTTTATTTTAATAATTCACTTGCACTTAGGGGTCTTTAGCAGTGGGTGGAAAATGGAGGACCTGGAGAAAACCCACGAGGTTGGACAGGCGACCCTACTCACATACAACTGGGGAATCAAACCACACAACTTGACTGAGCTTGAATCAATGACAGACCTTATGATATACACTCACGTTCGTATCAGTTGTATGTGCTAAAGGGGGGTTGGATGGCCGAATGGTTAGCATGTGCGCGCTGTATCATAAAGTCTGCCATTGAGTCAACTGGTGTGGTTTTAAATCCCTGGTTGTACGTGACAAGGAGTAGGGTCGTCTGTCCAACCTCGTGGGTTTTCTCCAGGTCCTCCCACTGCTAAAGACCCCTACGCACAAGCGAATTATTGATATAAAAAAATAAACCATATGTTAGTCCCGAAATGACCTAGTTTGTGTCGAGTGGACATTAAATCCCATTTCTCTTTCTCTATATGTGCTAAAATGATCTTTATTTTAAAATAATATATCCTATAAATAGAATTGTATAAATGTCAAACACATTTGTTGTTTGTATTTTGTATATATCTTATTGTTATTTAATAAAAGCCATATTTGTTAGGATCTGCATGCAGTTGTGAAACTAACAATCTAAAGCTTTCTGCTTTTCAAAAAATAAACTATAAATAAAACCATTGTTCTCGGATCAAGTCTGGACAAAATACAACATCAAAGAGATGTGGCCCTGCAAGAGCATGCACCATATTCAATCATGAGTAGATTTTGTGCAGTTCACATTGAAAAATATTTGTGTCCATGGTCCATGGTTTGATCTACATGTATAAATAAGCAGCTGACCAGATTTGTATTGACACATACATGTACATCGTCTTTCAGACCACCGACGTTGAAGAATAAATTTATTTGAAACCTGAATTAGGGTCTTTAGCAGTGGGAGGAAAACTGGGGGAATCGGAGAAAACCCACGAGGTTGGACCACCGACCCTACTGCTTGTCACCAGGCCTACTAGTTCCTTTAGGAACTGTCTCTGATCGGATGATGTCCTCTGACAGTTCCGATCTGTTCCTATATAGCTGCAATATGAATATACAGTAAAATACCGTTCTTCCCCACCTCTGTTCTTAGGCTATTTTGGAACCTTTATACCTGCTATTTTTCACCGGGATACTTATTTTTCACAAAAGTAATTATTTCTCACTATATGATCTAACACAAATTTACAATAATTCAACACTATTTTCAAGTAGATTAAATAAACACGCGATTCACGTAATGGCTGATCAGTTCAAACTATTTTGTGTTATGTTTTTAATCGCAAAATTCCACTTGAAAATAGTGTTGAATTATCGTAAATGTGTGTCAGCTGTGACAAGAAATGATTCCTTTGGCAAACAAAGAAGAATAGTCGGTAAGGCTCCAAAATAGCCCTAGACAAGGGAGAGAGAGAAGAAACTGGAGAATCCGGAGAAAACCGACAAGGTTGGAAAGGCGACCCTACTCCTTGTCACATACAACCGGGGATTAGAAACCACACCAGTTAACTCAATGACAGACCTTTTATGATACAGCGTGCACAGGCTAAACATTCGGCCATCCACCCCCCCGCCTTAGATCAGAGGTGGGGATGAGAGGTATTTTCATATTGCAGCTATATAGGAAGGAGTAGGAACTGTCAGCGGACATCGTCTGTCAGAGACAGTTCCTCGGGCTAAAGAAACTATAATAACTACAGGCCTACTTATCCGGGAAATCGCAAAAATTCCATGAAAGACAATTCATAATAAGTAAAGTAAATATGGCATAATAATATATTATAAATTTTTTTTTTTTTCATAAACTAAAATAATTTTAACCTGTTGAACTTTCCAATCTTAATCTTACGTTACAATTTACAATGAATAAAGTCCAGTGCTCCAAACATACGGTACATCATTCATAATCATAGTTACATAGTAATAAAAAACGGCTTAAATTAAAACGAATATGTCACTGTCATGCATTAATTTTCACGGCTAATTCGGGTTTCTTCTTTGCAGACCTGTTTCTTACGAAACTTCTCTTTATAAATTATTTGAAAAGTTTACAATATTTGCCTCATCAATCATTCAATATTATTTACACCACTTCTATCCGTAACTTCATAGGAAATTATTGACGTGTTGTTAATTTCGTACACTTCGTTGTCCAGACATAAATTACAATGTTATTACACACAAAGGTACTGGTTAATCACGGTTAAACGCCGGACAAAATTTTAATCAACCGGTTTCTTGTAAATTTATGAACCTATTATATAAAACGAAATTTGATCTACCCTCTGTTCAACTTTTACAAACTCCTTTTCATTATCATAACTTTTGACACTGCGACGCAAAAGTATTTTAGGTTTGCCTGCAGCTAGTCACAGTTGGTGTTTAGCTAGCTATGTGGAGGTTGTTGGGGTTTTTTTTTGTGTTGGCACAGAGACAACTGGTTTAACCTGTTAGCACTCGCTGCATTTAAACATTGACTACCCTATGTGCCAGTTAGGAGATGTACTTAAAAGGGACAATAACACTCTTGCTGGCTTGACAGCTCCAGAAAATAAATAATAGCCTTATTCTAAGTACTAGATGTGTTAGTGTCCTACCTGTGTAAATTATCCATTACATCCTATTTTACTTGTCCAGAGGGTTCAAAAATATTTTTAAATCCAAGTCACATTTGAAAAGGTTTACGTTAGGCTTTTCAAATCATTTAGTTGAATTTTTCCAATTTTTTAAATTAGGTGTGTTAAGATGAAATTTGTATCATCAATTAATTGGAATATTGTAAACTAGTGCAATTTGTTGACCAGAATAAAGATTGGGACATATTATTCAGTTACAAGAAGAGTGGTATTGAGCCTGTGTTCTAAGTGTTAAAAGGTTAACAATAAATATTCATACTCATGCCAACCAATATTGTTAACACATATAGAAAGATCCATTCTGGACTAATTTGCTACTTGTAGGAATCGCTGTGGCTCAGTGCGTGGACTCACTAAACTGAGGTCCCGGCATTGGCTTAGAAAGCTTCTCAGCATCTTCACGCGTGGTTTCTCCTTGTCTGTGGTGCAGGACGGAGAGTCTGACAAGGAACATTATCTAGTTGTTTGGAGGGTACGGAAAATCCTGGTTCTATGTACATATTGGTGTGCACTTAAAAGAACCTTTGACAGTTTGAATCTGAAATGAGAGTAGGCCTAGCCTAGGCCGTAGTGCCCTGAATAGGGCGCAAAACCTTGGTTGCATGTAGGGCCTACACATTGACGTGCACATAACAGAACCCTTGACAATTGGAATTTGATGTAAGATTGGCTGTAGTGGCGCTGTCAGGGCAAAATTTTCCTCAAAACACACTTCATTAACCCTGTTGGTGCTGATAAGTAGGACGTTAACCCCATTTCATTTCACTTTAGCCATTTTAGATTGCTATTTTAGTTCCGCTGATACACTATTGCATTGAGATGGGTTTTAGGGAGAGAGAGAGAAATGGGGTTTAACGTCCACTCGACACAAACTTGGTCATTTCGGGACTCACACATGGTTCAATTTTATTTCCATAATTCACTTGCGCGTAGGGGTCTTTAGCTGTGGGAGGAAACTGGAGGACCCGGAGAAAACCCACGTGGTTGGACAGGCGACCCTACTCCTTGTCACGTACAACCAGGGAATCGAAACCCCGCCAGTTCACTCAATGACAGACCGTATGATACAGCGCGCGCTAACCATTCGGTCATCCAACCCCCCATGGGTTTTAGGATGAAAAGATTATTTATTAGAAACTGAGCACTTTCATCAGCAACAGAAGAAAATGCCATCAAATATCTTTTAATCCTCTTATGTAGGTTATTGGTTGAAAATGCCCCTTGACACGAATGATACTACTGGAGGGATCATTTCTTCACATCTTATTACCGGTACCACAACTTTGATATATATAAAAAAACACTTTTAAACTAAATACATTGTCATTTAAATTTAATAAAACATAAAAAAGGTACAAACTTTAGACCGATGAAAGACAAAATAAAAGAATGATAACCCTGATTATAAAATGTTTAAATTTGTTTCCTTAAAAGATCATGTAAAGTTATTTTCTTTATAAATAGGATGATGGGATTAAAATGGGATAAAGCATGATGGATGATCTTAAAAAATGGATTAGATTTAACGGCTTTTAGGCCGAACCAATTTGATTTTCTGTTCTCTGGGGTCTTGATAAATAATAAGCCACTTAAATCAAGTGAAAGAGGTTTTGTTTAAAATTTCAGAAATTAAAAATTTGGAACTAAAAGCTTTTGAACAGAACAACCAAATAATTTTGGTTTTAAATTAGTCTTTTCCCCTAAGAAATAAGAAGAACAATAACAGAATATTAACATGTTCAATTTAACATATATATTAGTAGCCTAGGCCTAAAGTGGGTCTACTACATACACATGTATGCCACAGAAAAAAACAAAGTTGTTAGGCCTATAATAAGGACCGGCAGGTGGACAATTCATAAAAACATAGAACTTTTAAAATTTAAAATCATTTAAAATGTTTTGGTCTCATTTCAGTCAGACATTTATATTGCAACTGATAACAAGTATAAATCAATTACCGGTATTCAAAAACAATTGTACTGTTAGCAAACCGAGAGCAGTTTCTATTAAAATATATCAGTTATTATTGGAATTATTCTAATCAGAGTTCTTGCACATCAATTTTAATTTACCTTTTAATGCCTTTAAAAGGCCAACAACACTCCCTTTTATATTCAAATCTTAGGCCAGACCAATTTAAATTTTATTTCTCTGGGGTATTGATCAATAAATAAACCACCCAATCTTGTGTGCGATGTTTTGTTAAAATTTCAAAACCTAAATATTTGGAACTCAAAGATAATTTTTGTTTGTTTTTATAACATTATTTTTGCGCATGGGGGGTCTTTAACAGTGGGAGGAAACCCGTGGACCCGGAGAAAACCCTTGAGGCTGGACAGGTGACCCTACTCCTTGTCACATACAACCGGGGAATCGAAACCACGCCGGCTGACTCAATGACAGACCTTATGATGCAGCGCTCTCACGCTAACCATTCAGCCATCCAATCCCCCTCAAATTTCTTCAGAATAGAAAACCTATTTAAAAACAAAACTTACTTAGTTGCTTTCCTCAAAAACTTTTAGTTATAAAATTTTAACAAAAAAACATCACACACAACAATTGAGTGGGATAAAAAATTAAACTGGTATGGCCATATAATAAATGGCAGAAAGCATGATACAGGAAACAAGAGAAAAACAAAGGAAGGGATTTCATGAAAAACTTTGGGAAAAAAGCTAAAAAAAATATGTTCAACTAAAATAAACCCTGCAATAAATTACACACGAAAACAAAGATCAGAGAAAATAAAATGACAAAAACATCTACAATGAACAATAAACTATAAACCATACTTATGGAAAAACAGCGACTTGTTTTTTATTTGGGTGACATTTCGAAGAGTATTGATAACGTTGAGAGAATAGTCTTCAAAACATCGCCAAATAAATAAGTCGTTGTTTTTCTATAAGTATGTGTTATGGTTTATCGCTTTATCCAGTTACTATAAAAGGTTATCTACAATGAAATATAGGGAAAAGATGAGAAAAACATGTTTGATAATAAAACAGAAAATATATAAACAATAGATGATATAATATACGACATCGTTTCAAACTAAAACTTAACAAAAGATATCTTCTTCACGCTAACATGGATTAGACCCCCCCCCCATCCCCCTGACTCAATGACAGACCTTATTATCCAACGTTCACGTGTTAACCATTTGGCCAACTAACTCCTGCGAATCAAACTAAAAAAGATGGACTTTTGTTCTGCTATCGCCCCGTAACAATTCAATACGTGTTGGCGTTTTTGAACAACTTGGTGCATGGTATGTAAAGGGTTGACCACCTCTGGTCTAAATATGGGCATATAAAAACACCAGGGTTTCACGGTTGTTGGTGTCCTACATAATGGCAAGTCCCCTTTAATATACCCTACATGATGGCAAGTCCCCTTTAATATAACCTACATAATGGCAAGTCCCCTTTAATATACCCTACATAATGGCAAGTCCCCTTTAATATAACCTACATGATGGCAAGTCCCCTTTAATATAACCTACATGATGGCAAGTCCCCTTTAATATAACCTACATGATGGCAAGTCCCCTTTACTATAACCTACATGATGGCAAGTCCCCTTTACTATAAGCTACATAATGGCAAGTCCCCTTTACTATAACCTACATAATGGCAAGTCCCCTTTAATATACCCTACATGATGGCAAGTCCCCTTTACTATACCCTACATGATGGCAAGTCCCCTTTAATATACCCTACATGATGGCAAGTCCCCTTTAATATACCCTACATAATGGCAAGTCCCCTTTAATATAACCTACATAATGGCAAGTCCCCTTTTAATATAACTTATATTGGACTTATAGCGAACCATAAAACGTCATTCCTATATAAATATAATATAATATGTAATCCGTAATCTTTGACTATATGAACAAAAATGTTAAAATATGGTAAAAGTTTAGATTTAAGAAATAAAGCAAACTAATTATTTTTTTTTATATATTTTTATCCTATTTCGACATTTTTGTTCATATATGGTAAACGATGACTTGGGACTTCCGGCTCATTTTGCTGTCACAGGTCACCCATATTATCCATTTAACAAATTAACACTGATTTAACATCCCATGTAACACTCAAATAACATCATATACTTAACAAAATCACAAACATTTTTATCCGTAAAATATTTAACAACTTTAAACATACAAAACTTATAACACACAAAATATATTCACCACATAATATAAAATAAATCTCTGTATTTGCCCTCCATAAATATTTCCATTCATCCAATAATTTTCACTAATCCACTAAATCTTCATCATAACCCATTACTGCTGGCTCAAATAAGGTACATGCACGACCCAGGGCTTTATTTAAAAAATCTTTACCATATTTTAAGGTTGCAGGTTTTTCATTGGTAATGCTAGCTTCCCACTATCATGATTGTGCTACGATTGAGAGAGAGAGAAATGGGGTTTAATGTCCACTCGACACAAACAAGGTCATTTCGGGACTAACATATGGTTTAATTTTATTTCAATAATTCGCTTGCGCGTAGGGGTCTTTAGCAGTGGGAGGAAACTGGAGGACTCGGAGAAAACCCACGGGGTTGGACAGGCAACCCTACTCATTGTCACGTTGCTACGATTGAAATCGTACTTTTAATTGTGGTTTTAATTGTGGAGTAATTGTGGTGATCCTATCAAGGTCAGTCGTAGCATGTGCATGTGCATGCACCAGATCGTGGACTCAATAGGAACAACCTATCGTAAAGCATCGTATGACAGTGGGAATCTAGCATTAAGAGTTAAAATTTGTACTAGGATTTTAACCATTTTTCAAGGATGCAGGTTTTTCATTGGTTAAGAGTTAAAATTTGTACTATGATTTAAACCAATGATAAGTCAGCTTCTTAAAATATTTTAGCTTAAATATTTTTGTTAATAAACCCCCAGTACTTTAGTGCGGGTGTAATTACATAGTTTGAATTAGTCTAGCCCTGAGTTCACAAAACATTCTCAGACTTAAGTTAAGAATTTACTAAAAATTCTTTGCATTATTCTAACTGAAATATAGCCCTTTATAAAACTTTTGTTGTTTTAATGTATCAAATTCATCAATAAGAAACTATGTGCAAAGTTGCGTGTTTCTTGATCAAAGATATTTCTCATAAACAGTGATTGAAAGTTGGGTAAACTCTTAACTTAAGTCTGAAAATGCTTTGTGAACTCGGGGCCTGGCCATGGTCAGTTATTCATCATAACAATCTGAGCAGAGTGAATTACCAACAGGTTATAAAGTAAAATGTACTTGTGTCGAATGCCATTTTCATATACACGTTATAATACAATTGTTCATAACACATGAGAATATGATACAATTGTTCATTACACACAAGGTTCATAACACATGAGAATATGATACAATTGTTCATTACACACAAGGTTCATAACACATGAGAATATGATACAATTGTTCATTACACACAAGGTTCATAACACATGAGAATATGATACAATTGTTCATTACGCACAAGGTTCATAACACATGAGAATATGATACAATTGTTCATTACGCACAAGGTTCATAACACATGAGAATATGATACAATTGTTCATTACGCACAAGGTTTATAACACATGAGAATATGATACAATTGTTCATTATGCACACTGTTAATAACCCATAAGTTATAATACAATTGTTCATTACATACGTGTTATAATACAATTGTTCATTACATACGTGTTATAATACAATTGTATCATTAAACAATTACACATGAGTTATAATACAATTGTTCATTACACACATGTTATAATACAATTGTTCATTAAACAATTACACATGAGAATATGAGTATATCACCATAAATGTGTTTAGATTTTCTTCACGCTACGTTTTTTACCAGGTGTATTGCCACCAGCGTCAATTAATCTTTTTCTCGTATTTTCCACCAAAGTTTTCAACTCATTCTGAAACAATAAAACAGCGACAACGCTAGATATGTGAACGACACAAATTAATCTTGAATTCCCATTGTTACTATTACGATGAGACTTTGGATGTGCATCCCTTCTGAATAACTAGACACTTTTGTAGCTTTTTGTTCTGCACCAGCGAGGCGGAAGTCAGGCTGACAAATCGTGAGGAAGTTTCTAAGCGAACACCAAGCTAGTACCCAGGCACAACGGCACCACAGAGTTAACACAACTTTATACCACTGACAAGGGGAAACTATGCCAGAAAGTCCAGAGAACTTTCTTGGCCAACAGGAGTCCTCCATGCTAGTGAGCCAATGTCTTACTCACTAGTCCATCGCTGCTCTTAAGCTTTGATTTCTCAAACAGGCACTAGAATGTTGCAGTTTCCAAGCTAGCATGTGAGAGAAATAGGGTTTTATTACCACTTGACACAAACTAAGTAATTTTGGGACTAACATATGGTTCAATTTTATTCAGTAACTTGCTTGCCCATGGGGATCTTTAGCAGTGGAAATCAGAGGACCCAGAGAAAACCGTTGAGGATGGATAGGCGACCCTACTCCTAGTCACGTACAAGCGGGGAATAGATACCACACCAGTTGACTGAATGACAGACCTTATGATCTATTGCTTACCCCCCCGCCGGAGATAATATAATAAAAACCTACATCTGTATATCTGTACAGTAATCGCCACGACTTTAAACTCTTCTTTTTATGAAGATATTTTAAAGCCTCTTTTGGACATAGAGTTGTCTTCTCAGCATCATTGGTTACCTGTTAATAAGAAAGAAGATGTCATTACACATAAATTGATTTAAACTGTTTTAAAGGCTTGAGGAGTCATTTGGATTTTCGTTAAAATATCACGGCTTAATCCATGCTAAAAGGTCTACATGTACCCAGATTGCAATTGATTATTTAACATTTAATTAAGAAACAAATCAAAATACTAATTCTAGATAATATCCCGGCTTGGATTGAATCGGATTTAAACTAGGCTCATCAGGTCTCTCTCCGCTACCAATAAAATATGGCAGAGTTACACTCGAGCAGCATAGACCGATGGAATTTCAATTTCAGTACAGCGTGTGCGCGTTGTATCATAAAGGCCTGGCATTGAGTCAACTGGCATGGTTTCGATTCGCCATTCACCGGTCGTACGTGACAAGGAGTAGGGGCGCCTGTCCTACCTCATGGGTTTTCTCCAGGTCCTCCAGTTTCCTCCCACTACTAAAGATCCCTACGTGCAAGCGAATTATTGAAATAAAATTGAACCATGTGTTAGTCACGAAATGACCTAGTTTGGTGAGTTGACTTTAATTCTCTCTCTCTCTCTCTCTCTCTCTCTCTCTCTCTCTCTCTCTCTCTCTCTCCTTCTTCATTAGCCCTGCAGGTGTAGAAAAATAAGGCGCTGTAATCTTACCATTGATAAGTAACAGATTTTTTTAGAAATATCACAGACATTATCATCAGCATCTAATAAATCTTGGGCTCGTTTTCTTGGATACGCAGACATCATCACATCATCTGTCACGGCCATTCTCTCAAATATCTTTAAACCTGCATCATATAGTTGTCTTCTTAATGATATCTCTTCCGTTCTACAATAAAAACAAACCATACTAATCAACCAATCAATCAATCAATCGATACAATTAATCGACATAATCAATCAATCAACACAATCGACATAATCAATCAATCAATCAATCAATACAATACAGAATAGGTATATATATATATATATATATTATGTTAGTTTCTAATAATCATAGAGGGTTGCGATGGCTGAGTGGTCTAAGTGTCGCACTTTGAGCTCTAGCTGGCCGGTGACTTCTGGCTTGCGGTTGTGGTTTCGATCCCTGGTGTGAGCGTACGTGGCTTGGAGATAGGGGCGCCTTCTCAACCTCATGGGTTTACTCCGGGAACAATGGTTTCCTACAACAAGAAAGACCCCTGCGGTAGTATCACCCTCATGAACAACACCAATAATAATTATGTTTAAATTAATTGAGCCACCATGGCTCAGTGAGGAAGACACTGGCTCACTAACTAGGAAGGCTCGCGGTCGTACATACACACTGGTGTGCTTGTAAAACAACTCATGAAAGCCGAATTAACGGAATTCGATATAAGATAAGTCCATAGTGCCACTGTCCTGGGGAAATTTCATTCACGTATGGCGTATGCCGATCTTTATTAGCCTGACCCATTTCATTTCATGTGAATTCTTATTCATCAGGGGAATGTTTTAAGTGAGCAGTGGAAAGAAAGAAAGAAATGGGCTTTAATGTCCACTCGGCACAAACTAGGTAATTTCGGGACTAATAAATGGTTCAATTTTATTTCAATAATTCAACATCGCATAGGGGTCTTTAGCAGTGGGAGAAAAACGGAGGAGCTGCCAGTTGATTCAATGACAGATCTTATGATGCAACGCCACCTACCCACCAGCAGTGAAGAGTAAGTAGCCTACTTACACAACATTCTCTAGGTAACCAAGTGTAAGAGACAGGGTTTCTTTATCTAGAGACTGATTGGTTGATAGCAAATACAACAACGCATCCATTGAAAATAATTCTCTTTCACAACTCTCATTTAATATCTGAAGTAAAAATACAGAAAACAAAGATAAATGATAATCTACCAGTAACTTTATTAAACATACATTACGCAATAGCTAAATCTGCCTATTGCAGGTCTTTCTTTAGGGCAGAAATGTTATCTAAATTATTAATTAGACATTATTTCACTTATCCAGACCATAATCGACTCTCAATGTCATCGCTAGCCTTGATATTTAATGGATTTGAATCCGATCTGCTGCTCATGTCTGTAACAGGTGCCTGTATATGTCCAGGCTTGTGTATATACATTGTCTGATAATTTGTACTGGACAAAACCTGCGACAGGTGTCTTATATCCAGGATTTTATATATGTGACAGGTGCCATAAATCCAGGGTTGATGACATTAAATACCTGAGCAGCTTGCATTCCTAAAGGTAACCATTCTGGTGTAGCATAGTGTGCTGACTCCGACACATTATAGCCACAGCTAACGGTTGCTGTATAGGATTTATCAAATATAACTATAAACTGTCTAGCTCTCTGTATACATCTACCAACCGATACACCATTCTCTGTTAATAACTCAGGATTTACCTGTAAAATAATAGGTAAAAACTATTAAAATGACATGAAATGGGGTTTAATATTCCATGGTTACACACCGACTGGGCTAATAAAGACGGGTATAAGCCACACAGTGTGCTATGAGCAAAATTTTGAGCGGACAGCGGTACTCTGGCCTACTCATATTGCAAATTCCAGCTGTAAAGGGATCTTTTATGTGTATGGCAATATGTACACAAAACCTCAGTTTTTCGTATACAGTCCTTACCAGGCACCCTGTTCTGCACCACTGTCCTTACCAGGTCTTCCCCATCCTGCACCACTGTCCTTACCAGGCCCTCACCATCCTGTACCACTGTCTTTACCAGGCAATTCCCATCCTACACCACTGTCATTACCAGGCCCTCCGGCCTGCACCACTGAAAAGGGGGAACCCACCCAGAAAGCCAGAGGCCAACAAAGGGAGCAAATGAGGATCAGTGGCTTTAACGGAGAGAGAGAGAGAAATGAGGTTTAACGTCCACTCGACATAAACCAGGTCATTTCGGGACTAACATATGGTTTAATTTTATTTCAATATTTCGCTTGCGCGTAGGGGTCTTTAGCAGTGGGAGAAAACCTGAGGACCCAGAGAAAACCCATGAGGGTGGACAGGCGACCCTGCTCCTTGTCACGTACAACTGGGGAATCGAAACCACGGCAGTTGACTCAATGACAGACTTTATGATACAGCGAGCACACGCTAACCATTCAGCCATCCAACCCCCCCGTACACCCGGGGAATCGAAACCACGCCAGTTGACCTAATGACAGACTTTATGATACAGCGCGCGCACGCTAACCATTCAGCCATCCAACCCCCCCCCCCCCCGTACAACCGAGGAATCGAAACCACGCCAGTCGACTCAATGACAGACTTTATGATACAGCGCGCGCACGCTAACCATTCAGCCATCCACCCCCCCCGTACAACCGGGGAATCGAAACCACGCCAGTCGACTCAATGACAGACTTTATGATACAGCGAGCACACGCTCACCATTCAGCCATCCAACCCCCCAGATCAGATAGGGATACCTACCATAACGACATCTTCTTTCAACCATTGAGGATCATCGCTAATTAGATTTGGTGTAAGATCTATCATAGCCTCTTTAAACTTATCTTCTAACTGTTTCGGGACAGAATACCTGAAAAATATTAAATATTTTCACCTACACAAACTCAAAAATCTGGCACCTGTATGTTGAGAAAGACTGACATCCTTTAAAAGAAAGAGAATGATAAAGAGCAAGAGAGATAGGGAGATAGAAATACGGTTTGACATCCATTTGACACAAACTAGGTCATTTTCGAACTAAGATGTGGTTCAATTTAATTTCTATAATTCGCTTACATATATATATATATATAGAGAAATGGGGTTTAACGTCCACTCGGTACAGACTAGGTCATTTTGGGACTAACATATTGTTCAATTTTATTTTAATAATTTGCTTGCGCATATGGGTCTTTAGCAGTGGGATGAAACCAGAGGACCCAGAGAAAACCCACGATGTTGGAGGTCACATTTAACTATTGGACTATTAAAAGAGAGAGAGAAATGGGGTTTAATGTCCACTGACACAAACTAGGTTATTTCGGGACTAACATATGGTTCAATTTCATTCCATAACTTGCTTGGGCGTAGGGGTCTTTAGCAGTGGGAGGAAACTGGAGAACCCGGAGAAAACCCACGAGGTTGGAGGTCACATTTAACTATTGGACTATTAAAAGAAATTGAAATGATTAAATACCATAAAACAGCAGTGGGAGAAACCGGAGGACCCGGAGAAAACCCACGAAGTTGGAGGTCACATTTAACTATTGGACTATTAAAAGAAATTGAAATGATTAAATACCATAAAATATCAGCACCAGAATGTAGATATTGTATATAAGGCAGGTTATGTGGGTTACAGCTCCAACAAGATGTAGCATATAACATTCCAATATGGAGGGTAGGAATAGTAGTTCCTGAAACACAAATAAAATTAAATATATTTGAGTATCTACAATTAATTGTATGTCAAACAATTCAATTGTGTTTAGTGAATATTATTAAACCCTGAGTACCCAATCTATGGGGCGTGTCCCAAGCTTTTCGTGGGGTTTGTGGTTTACTACTCTGCACGTTTTGAATAAATGCTGTGTTTTCATGAAATGAGTATAAACCTCTTGCCACATTGCCAATTGTCTTTCTCTCTCTCACGACCATGATTAGTTTCCTCAGTCTCTCATTACAACAGTTTGATCTGGAAAGTTAAACTAGTTTTAGTGGATTTCCCACTCTATCTATGAGGGTATGTGTATATGACATGCTTGTTAGATGAGCCAGCAGCCTAATAACTGCATCACCGTGGTTACCTATATAGGTAATAAACAATGATAAATCATAATACAGTGCATTACTTAATAAATCTATTGTAATAATAATAATGCACATTTGTGTAGCGCCTGAGTTCCCAACTTTTTGTGGGTCGTGGCGGACTACTCTAAACAGCATATAAATCTCTGATATCTATACACCTCTTGCCACATTGCCAATTGTCTTCCTCTCTCACTCTGGACATGTCTAGAGGACTACTGCTTGTATTATTCAATTTACATCGCATTGTGTTTGACATTACGTTTGTCTTCAATTTAAAGTAGTTACTTGTTGTGAAAGGAGATGGCTGGAAAGGTGTGCGAAAGGAGATGGCTGGAATGACGTGCGAAGACCTTATCAAAAGGTGACTTGTGCGTAAGGGTCTTTACCAGTGGGAAGAAACCGGAGGACTGGGAGAAAGCCCACGAGGTTGGATAGTCGGCCCTACCCCTTGTCATGTACAACCAGGGAATTTAAACCACACCAGCTGACTTAATGACAGACCTTATGATCCAGCATGCACGCGCTAACCATTCGGCCATCCAACCCCCCTAGATAAGAAGAGAATAGTTTTACCTGTAATAGGACCAAGCACCTTTAATAAAGACTGAGAATTTTGTGGCAGGTTATTCAAGTTCCAGCTGTGTCTGAAAATAAGAATTAAATGAAATGAAATAGGGTTTAACGTCTTACTATACTACACTAATGAAGATGGGCATATGCCATAGAGTGTGCTATGAGGGAAATTTTGCCAGGACATTGGTGCTGGAGCGATCCTCGAGGCCTGGTTAGTAAGCCATTGTCCCACCTACTGAGCCACTTACCTAAAATATGGGTTATCTCGTTTAGCAGGGAAAGCTGTACCCTGTGTTCTAGTATTAACGTGTCCACATTGTACAGCTACATGTTGTTTACCATCTTCTACTATCTTCCAATATTCTTCCTATAACAAAATATAATCTACATTTATTACAATATTCTTCCTATAACAAACTATTTATTACAATATTCTTCCTATAACAAAATATAATCTACATTTATTAAAACATTCTTCCTATAACAAACTATTACAATATTCTTCCTATAACAAAATATAATCTACATTTCTAACAATATTCTTTCTATAACAAAATATAATCTGTATTTATTACAATATTCTTCCTATAACAAAATATTATCCATATTTATTATGTTATTCAGCTCCTTCATAACACATTCACTTAAAAGAGTTCTCTCAATTGACTTCAACAGAACAATTTCATGAGCAATTCCCAAACCCTCTAGGCGGAAGTGTCTCCTCCCGTCCTGAACACTGCGCATGCACAAATACATATTTATATATGGTAAGTAGAAGCAAATATTATGATTACGATTACAATAAAGGCTAACAACTGTTATTATGATTACGATTACAATAAAGGCTAACAACTGTTATTATGATTACGATTACAATAAAGGCTAACAACTGTTATTTAAATTTAACTTAGCACTGATCAAAAAAGAGCATCCTTAAATATTTTAGATCTTAAAAAAATGTAGATTTAAAGAATATCTTAAATACATATATATATATATATGTAGAGAGAGAAATGGGGCTTAACGTCATAAAGTCTGTCATTGAGTCAACTGGCATGGTTTCGATTCCCTGGTTGTACGTGACAAGGAGTGGGGTCGTTTGTTCAACCTCGTGGGTTTCCTCCAGGTCCTCCTGGTATACTCACTCTCTCATATTCAGGACTAACATGGTTCAATCTTATGTCAATCATCCACTTTAGCAGTAGGATCAAACCAGAGGACTGGTAATCAAAACCACATCATTTGACTCAATGACAGACCTTACGATCTAAAGTGCACCCCCCTCTATAGTAAAATCCATGTAAAATAATACCTCGACTTGTTCAGCTGTAGGTTCATCTTTATACCACATGGATTGAACATTTCTAGCTACACGTATAAATGTACTTAATGGATTAGATTTACCCTGAAAAATACAGTCAAATAAATATGCAATTAAAAATACTATGAATTTCAATAGGGGTCTTCCTGCGAATTTGAAAATAGTCTGTAAAGGACTCTGAATTTTAGAGTAGTCTAGGACTACAGATGAGAGAGAGAGAAATGGGGTTTAACGTCCACTCAACACAAACTAGGTCATTTCGGGACTAACATATGGTTTAATTTTATTTTAATTATTCGCTTGCGCATAGGGGTCTTTAGCAGTGGGAGGAGACCGGATGTTCCGGAGAAAATCCACAAGGTTGGACAGACGACCCTACTCCTTGTCACGTACAACCAGGGATTCGAAACCACGCCAGTTGACTCAATAACAGGCCTTATGATATAGCGCGCACATGCTAACCACTTGGCCATCCAACCCTGGACTACAGATGAAGGAAGCACTAATTTATGTTCACATTAAATGTGTTCGTATGCGGATAATTTTCAAAAAATGTCTGGACTTCCATTTTGATAACCTTTGCACGGCTAATCAACAGATGATTGCTTTAACGGAGTTAAATCGCTAATATTTGGGACCTAGAAATTGACACAAATGGGCCGCAACGCATATAATAATGTAATATGAATGTATATAAACTGATATGCATTCAATTGTTTCCGTTTTGACTCTTAATTTCAAATCAGTTACTTCCAGCGAAATACGGCATGAGTCTCAACCGAATGCCAATTTCTAGCATCTGGTTATTCCAGTCTATTGCGCATGCTCTCCAGAAAAGATTTGACATGAGTTGTTGAATATGTCTAGCCTCGTTCTTTCTGGCCACTTGTTACAAATGACGATGAAGCGCACTATGGTACACGAATGGTAAAATGTTTATTTTGTCTTATATATTGGATATCAGAAGCCTACCTTTTCCCGGTAAGATCACAACACAAATGTTGATTTGAATTGACAAATAATTCGTGTTTTCAACGTGTAAGACTTTGGATGATATTGAGTTAGAGACTTAGGCAACACAAATAAAATAAGTTGCTTCTCGGGCATCGCCCGCACGCAAAATTGGTTGCGCGTGTGGCCTATTTATTAGTCTTGATGAAAAATAAAAAATATGTAACGCATGTATCTACATGCCCCATACGTGAATATCCATTCAAATGTATTAAACTGATTCAGATGTAAACGCTCATTTACGGGTCTTTTTTTATTGATATCGAAAGAACCTCCATTTTTGTATCACATGATTTTAATTACCTCCCCTTGTGAACTAGAATTTGATTCGTGTTAAACATCGAAAGTCATTGACAACAATGCAATGTATTTCAATCATTCGATCTTAATCGGTTCATTATTGCCGGCTTCAGTCGGCCCATGTTTGAAAAAATCCTACTTATAAAACAATGAATTGTAGAACAGGTTAATTATTATAACTTGTGGCTACGAATACGATACGATGATAGTCACCATACCTTAGTCAGAATCTGGGTCATTAGCACATTTAACGGTAGTTTTGATAATCCGGAAAATAATAATTGGATTACACATTTGATGGTTTTACTGACGAGTTGTTAGTTAAATTTAAATAGTCATTCGATATAAACCCCAGATAGAACACCGAATATCCTGAGAAACACACTGAATAACCTGAGAAACAGTCATATCCCGATGACACGTGACATTGGTTGGAATTAGGTCAATCATTATAAACCAGCGATACTAGATTTAGATCGCAGTGTCGTTCACCGTGATGATTATTTTTGATACACATGCTGACAGAGGTTTACTCTTTAAAATATTGTCGTTATTATGGACGGCTATTAATAGTCGTACGGAATTTTATTTTAAACCAATTTCAATTATGGTTGTCACCATTACCATTAGTAAGCTACATTACGTGAATTAAATATGGAAAATTATTTTCCTTTCAGTCAGTGTTCAGTGTTTGAGTGGACTTGATTTTTGGGTTTATGTTCTAAGTATGTATAGTATATAATTGAAAGCAAAACCGTAGACAAGTAATGACTTTCTCATTAAAAAAAAAAAACAAATACAAGGCCGCCCTCCCGCCCAAACAATTTTCAACAATAGGCAAATTTTATTTTGCACCATCCTCTAGCCATAAATGAGATAAAAAAAAAAATAAACCGCCCTCCCCCCCTACAGTTTCAGCTGTCAGTTGCCCGAGAAACAAGACATTTATTTTGTGTAGCCTTAGCTACTTTAAATCACTAAACATCATTAGAAATGAAATAAAGTTTGACGTCCTACTTTTCTGCACTGATTGGATTATTGAAGACGAGTAAAGATTTTGCCCAGGCAGCTGCACTACAGCCTACTCTTATTTCGCATTCAAACTGTCAAGGGAGCTTTTAAGTGCATGCCAATATGTACACGGGACACCTGTCGTTTGTCCCAGTCTGAGGAACTTTGTCGGCCAACACAGGGTGTAAACTAAAATGAAATGGGATTTAACATGAACTTGAAACATGCTAGTTAGCGGGCAAGATTCTTCCTCACTGAACTATCGCAGCTGCCATTAGAAATATGACAATAAAGACAGGCACACGGCACAGTGTGCTATGAGGGAAACTTTGCTCGGACACCGGCACTATATCTTACTCTTATATCGAATTGCAACTGTCAAGGGAACTTTTATGCTAATGTGTACATGGAACATCGTTTTTTTGTCCCATCCAAATGACTAGACAGCTGTTCTAGAGGGGGGGGGTAACGTTCACTCGACACAAACTAGGTTATTTCGGGACTAACACATGGTTTAATTTTATTTCAATAATTCACATGCGCTTAGGGGTCTTTAGCAGTGGGAGGACACAGGAGGACCCAGAGAAAACCCACAAGGTTAGACAGGCAACATTACTCCTTGTCACGTACAACCGGGGAATCGAAACCCCCCCCACTTGACTCAATGACAGACCGCATGATACAGCGCAAGCGTGCTAACCATACGGCAACCCAACCCCCCGCTCCCATTAGAAATATGATGTACAATGATTGAACTGACCTTTACAATTCCTTCTTCATCATCATTCATTTGTTCTATCCTCTGTTTATCAGCTAAAACTTGTTGTTTTAATTTCTTCTTCTCTTCAGTACTCAGTGTATCATAAGGCAATAAATATTTACAATAGGCATCAAATATCTTTGTACCTCGATCCACAGCCTGACATAGAAAATAAATAAATGAAAAATGAAATGAAATGAAATGGGGTTTAACGTCCTACAAAATGAATTGAAAATGGGGGTTTAATGTCATCTGTATTGACCGGGAACTGTGCCTATGGGTCTTTAGCAGAGGGAGGAAATTGGAGAACCCTACTCCTTGTCATGTAAAACCAGGGAATCACATGGTATCGAGTTAAATTATTATCATTATCGTTTCTGTTTGGTACATTGTAATCAATCAGTAATTTGATTGTGCACAATGAAATGAAATGAAATGGGGTTTAACATCCCACTGTTCTGCTCCTACTGGGCTAATGAAGACAGGCATACACCATACAGTGTGCTGTGAGGGAAATTTTGCCTGGACAGCAACGATACAGCCTAATCTGATAACGAATTCCAACTGCTAAGGGATCTTTAATGTGGGAAACCACGCTAGAAAAATCTCTATGAACTTTCTCAGCCAACACCAGGAGCAAACCTGCAACCTCCAGGCTAGCATGCCAGCGTCCTACCCACTTAGCTACTGTGGCAGTTTTCCTATAGTCATATCGTCTTATAGAACTTTTTAACTGAAACTGCAAAAGAACTCACATTTTTTGGAAGCTGTAAAATATCGGCTATTTTGATCCATTTTTTTTTATCTATAACATTTTGCATGCCACCATGTTCGTGTATTGTCTGTGATAATCTTGCGAGATCTAATTCAACACTTCCAACCTGAAACATTACATATAACATGAAACAATTCTTACAGCGGAATCTAATTACATAAATGGGGTTTAACGTCCTATTCTTCTGCTCCGATTGGACTAATGAAGGCGAAAGAAATATGGTTTAATGTCCTACTGTTCTTCTCCGACTGGGCTAATGAAGATGGGCGTACGTCATGCAGTGTGCTATGAGGGAAAGTTTGCCCGGACAGTGGCACTACAGCCTACTCTTAGTTTGGAACGCAAATTTGTGTCTTCATTTACGTGCACACATCCTGCAACCAAGGGTGAAACCACACAGGGAAAATCCTAAAAAATTTTCTCGGTCACACCGAGAGCGAATCTGAGACTGTGTCTTACTCACTGAGCCACTGCGGCTTCCAAGAATGAGATAGAGAAATTGGATTTAACGTCCACTTGACACAAATATAGGTCACTTGGGGACTAACATATGGTTCAATTTTATTTCAATAATTCGCTTGCTTCTAGGGGTCTTTGCAGTGGGAGGAAACCAGGGGACCCGGAGAAAACCCATGAGGTTGGACAGGCGACATTACTCCTTGTCACCTACAACCGGGGCATCGAAACCAAGCCAGTTGACTCAATGACAGACCTTATGATAAAGCGCGCTAACCATTCGGCCATCCAACCCCCACCAAGAATGAGATGAAATCATTATTTGATTTGTTGCACGTTATTAGAATCATAACAATTACCTTAGGAATGGAGTCATATTCCACTCCTATATGTTTCAAGTGTTTTAATATACACGCTGTTTTCTCTACATTCGGTCCCCATCTATAAACAAAGCATAAATGAAAATGACATGAAATGGGGTATATCGTCCTACTGTTATGTGCGGACTGGTCTAATGATGATGGGCTTTGAGAAACTCTGTGTTGTCACCCATTCTTATAAAGTGAATTATTTTAGAAACAAATCTATTAATTTAATTTATCCTGCATGAAACAGGAGCCACAGTGAGTCAGACGGTGACTCGCTAACTGGGAGGGACCATATTCAATCCCTTGGTGGCTTAAGATGTTCTGGAGTTGTTCCCCCTTGTCAGTGGTACAGGACGGAGGGTCTGGCAAGGGACAACATATAGTTGTTCGGATGGGACAAAAATTGGAAGACCCATGAAGTTTGCCCAGAAAGTGGCACTGCGGCCTACTCTTATATCGAATTCCAACTGCCAAGGGATATCTTACATGTGTACACAGAACCTCATTTTTTTTTCATCCCATCCAAACAAAGGAAATGAAATGGGGTTTAACGTCCTACTGTTCTGCTCCTAAACTGGGCTAATGAAGACGGGCATATGCCATACAGTGTGCTATGGGGGAAATTTTGCCCGGGCAGCGGCACTATCGCCTACTCTTATATCGAATTCCAACTGCCAAGGGATCTTTTACGTGCATTCCAATGTATACACGGGACCTCGGTTTTTTTTATCTCATCCGAAGGACTAGACAGCTGTCCTTGTCAGGCCCTCCGTCCTGCATCACTGACAAGGGGGAACCACGCCGGGAAATCTGGATGAACTTTCTCGGCCAATGCAGGGATCGAACACCCGACCTCCAGGCTAGCGAGCCAGCATCTTACCCACTTAGCCACGTGATCCCCCCCATCCAAACAACTAGACAGCTGTCTTTGTCAGGCACTCTGTCCTGAACCACTGACAAGGGGAAACAACGCCGGAAGAATCCTGATGACTTTCTTGGCAAAGACCTGCGATATTTATGACAACAATATATTCAAAGCATGACATTAGTTTTGATGAAATTAATGAAAATTAACAGAATGATTTGTGAAAAAAGAAAGGCTCGATTCATCATTTATTGTGATAGGAATCCCTTGCAAACTACAATACTATAACAGGAATATCAGTCCAAAAATGGTTCAATTCATAAAGTTCAATTTATAAAGTTGTGATATGCTAAAATTTCATCAATCTCTGCTGCTCGCTAGCAAAAAGATCCCAACATCTTATACTGGTAGCAGAGAAACCTGATGGTCGATCAACCTAGTTTTAATCTGATTAAATCCATGCCAGGAAATTATCAAAAATGGTATTTTGATTTTGTTTTCTTAATGAAATGAAATGAAATGGGGTTTAACGTCCTACTGTTCTGCTCCTAACCTGGGCTAATGAAGACGGGCATACGCAATACAGTGTGCTATGAGGGAAATTTTGTCCGGGCAGCGACGCTATGGCCTACTCTTATATCGAATTCCAACTGCCAAGGGATCTTTTACGTGCACGCCAATGTGTACACGGGACCTCAGTTTTTCGTCCCATCAGAACGACTAGGCAGGTGTCCTTGCCAGGCCCTCCATCCTGCATCACCGCGCCGGAAAATCTGGATGAACTTTGTCGGCCAATGCAAGGATCGAACATCCGACCCCCAGGCTAGTGAGCCAGCGCCTTACCCACTTAGCCACCGTGATCCCCCTGTTTTCTTAGTTAAATGTTAAATAATCAATCTGAGTACATATTAGCATGGTTTAATTATAAGACGTAAGAAATTTGATATTTTTTCTCAAAAATGCAAATGACACTTCAAGCCTTTAAACATACATTATGCAAGAGCTAAATCTGCCTATTGCAAGTCTTTCTTTAGGCCTGAAATGTTATCTAAATTATTAATTAGATATTAATTAACTTATCTAGGCCACAATCAACTCTCGATGGCATCAGATTTCTCCGATATTAAATAGATTAGAACAGTTCAGCCATATTTTAATTTAAGCTAAGAATGGAGGAGCGAGTCTACAAACAACCAGTACAGTGGTTGAAATTATTGCACACACCTTGTCAAACCTTTAAATGCTAATATCTTTGCTTGCAATAGAGTAATTTGAATGAAATTTTAAAATTATTCATTTTACATTATCTATTTTCGAACTACTATAGCAAGAATGGCTAGCTCTTTATCTAAATCTTACATAATGTATGTTCAAGTTTAGATGAAATAATGTATGTTTATGTTTAGATGAAACAAGTTACCTTTTATACAGTTTGTGTATATACTGTACTTGTGCTGTGAATCGCATATCTTCATTTATTCGACTTTCAGGCTTTAAGAAATAAATACACAAATCTTTTAATTGATAAATTGTTTTTTTTTAGAAACAATATTTTATTCAGTTAGGTTTAAGAAATAATTACCATAATCTTTTTATTGATAATTTTTTAAAACAAAATTCTATTCAGCAGGTTTTAAGAAATAAATATGCAAACCTTTGATAATTTTTATTTAGGTTTACTCAACACAAGGTCATTTCGGGACTAACATATAATTTCAATAAATCAATTGTGTGTAGGAGTTTTTACCAGTGGTAGGAAACCAGAGGAACCAGAGAAAACCCGGGAAGTTGGACAGGTAACCCCCCATCTTTCTCACAATCTGATTCAAATACAGATCTATATTTCGTTTCGTTTTTTATACTTTCGATGGCCTACACTTCAAGAAGATCTGACAAGTTATAGCCAGAGTTCACGTCAGAGGTCAAACGAGCGGCTTTTGACCCTATGACGTCAGACATTGATTAATCAATCAGTGTTGTTGTTTCTTGTGGTTTACCCACAGTTCCGTGCATAAAAAGGCCAAGAACTCGCCGTAACAGACCGTTTTATTGGCTAATTCCTCACATCAAGTAGAATGCCTATTATATAACAACTCTTCCAGATCCTAATGTGGTAAAGACAAGTAAAACGAAATTTTGAACTATAAAAACGAAACGAAATAGGAACTGTGTTTTAATCAGATTGTGTTTCTCACATACTAGCAGTAATCCAAACCATATCACATGGTCAATGACAGACCGTGTGATCTAACACGCACGCTTTAACCCATTCGGCCACCCAACTACAAACTGTATAGAAAACCTACCATCCAGCTTGTTGGTGGAGGTTGGACAGACAACCCCACTCTTTCTCACATACTAGCGGTAATCCAAACCATATCACATGGTCAATGACAGACCATGCGCACGCGTTAACCCATTCGGCCACCCAACTACAAAATATTTAGAAAGCCTACCTCCAGCTTGGTAGGGGACGTTGGACAGACAACCCCACTCTTTCTCACATACTAGCGGTGATCCAAACCATGCGGTTAATGACAGACCATGCGCACATGTTAACCCATTTGGCCACCCAAACTCCAAATTTTAACCCATTCGGCCGCCAAACAACAAAATCTTAGAAAACCTACCTTCCAGCTTGGTGGTGGTACTATTTTACACATTCCATATGGTTCAGCTGTAGATTTAATACTTTCTATATAGCTTATAGGATCACGAAATTCTTGTTCCGTGGGATAAAATATGGGTATATCTACCATCTCAGCTTTCTGGTTAATGGAGGGGAATGGTTTAAATTGAATGGATCTATCAGAGGCAATGCTTAATCTTCTTGGTGAACCTTGAATATAACAAAATATACATTGATTCTTTAAAGGAGAGAGAGAGAGAGAGAGAGAGAGAAATGTCACTCTACACAAATTAGGTAATTTCGGGACTAACACATGGTTCAATTATATTTCAATAATTCGTTTGCGCGTAGGGGTCTTTAGCAGTGGGAGGAAAACGGAGGACCCGGAGAAAACCCACAAGATTGAACAGGCAACCCTACTCCTTGTCACGTACAACCGGGGATTCGAAACCACACCAGTTGACTCAATGACAGGCCTCATGATACAGCGCGCACATGCTAACCATTCGGCCATCCAAACCCTCCTTTTTTTTTTAAAGAAAGGAGCTGCAGTAGGTCAGTAATTAAGAAGCTGGCCACCGGTTTGCTCCCGGTGTTGGCTGAGAAAGTTCCTAAGGATTTTCCGGCATGGTTTCCCCTTGTTGATGGTACAGAATGCAGGGCCTAGCAAGGAACAGTGTCGAGTCATTTGGATGGGATGAATAACAGAGGTCCGGTGTACACGTTGATGTGCACGTAAAAGAACCCTTGACAGTTGGAATTTGAAATAAGACTATTTCGTAGTGCCACTATCCGGGCAAAATTCACCTCGAAGTACACTGCATGTCTGTCTTCATTATCAAAGTTGGTGTACCACTGTCAAGGGGGAACAACCCCATCCGAACAACTATATGTTTCTTGCCAGACCCTCCATCCTGTACCACTAACCAGGGGGAACAACTCCAGAACATCTTTAGCCACCAAGAGATTGAATATGGTACCTCCCGGTTAGCGAGCCATCGTTTTTACTCACCTTTACTCCTTTTTCATGCAGTACGGCATGGATTAAGCTGGGAGAAATTTGACATTTTAGCAAAAGAGCAAATGACGCATCGAGCAATTAAAATAATATAGAACAATGTAAAATCTAAGCTGAGAAGACACTATGGTTTTAATTACCTGATGATTTACTAGCTGATCTAGGAGAGGATTTCCCTGGACTTCTCTTACTCGTACTTGGACTAGTTGTAACTTGTTCTTTTTCATGATCTGTTAGATCCCCAGATCTAGGTCGACGACGTTTTTCAATTATATTAGCCAATTTAGATTGATCTTTCATAGCAGATTTCTTCAGTGTGTTCACAGCGGCTAATTTTTTCTTTGCTGCCAACTTTGAAAGAGAAGATTTTTTCTTCTCTGCGGGTTGAGAGGATGAAGATACAGATGATCTTCTAGTAGCCATCCCTGTGCCAAAATCTTTCTTATTTTTGGATCCCTTTGGTCGTCCACGTTTCTTTGTCATAAAATCAAGATCGTCGTCGTCATCTGCCTCATCAATTTCAAAGAACACATCGTCGTCTTCAAAGATTTGACGTTTCGATCTTTTATTTAAGGAATGTGTGAGAGTTTTTACTCTGGAACTGCTCCGTCTCTTGGGAAATTTTTTAGAAGATGGTCTACAACTATAGTCTTCCGAACTTTCTGAACGACGTTTGCGACCTTTAGAATGTCGGGAAATGTTTTCGTAAAAGTTATCAGAGGTATGATATGACGATGAACTGCCAATTGGCTGACGTCCCCGTAATACTTTGCCTTTGTTGTCCGCCCTTTTGCCAGCTTTAGATTTCCTTTTATCAGCAGGTTCAAGTGGTTTAAAAGTTCCATGTGGAGATTTCTTACCCTAAAATTAGAAAGTTGCAGTTATCAAGACTTAGAGTAAATCAACAATGTAACATACCTAAGGAACATACATTTAACGTTATATTCTGTGGGAAATGGCTAAATCTATTTGTTAAGGCCAGTTTAATTTTCGTCAAGGTCGTTGAGATGTAAATAAGGTTAGGGCGCCTGATTATTGGCGAGATTGTAGATTAGGGTTAGGGAAAGCATTAGGGCTAGGTCCGGGGTTAGGATTATGATTGGGATTAGCGCTAGCCCTGTTTACATCTCGTGACCTTTGACCAAACTTGAAGTTGGCCTCATCAAATAGATCTAACCGTGGGAAATGATTATCAACCCAATTAGTCAAATACACTAAGCTATAAATAAACACAATTTATATCTAAAGATACATTATGTACAATTTATAATAGCTCAAAAATAGATAATGTAAAATGAAAATATTGAAAATTTCATTCAAATTACTTCATTCTGAGCCAAGTTATCACTGTTTGTCGTATATAAGTGAACACGGAAAGTACACACTTGTTGAGTTTGTCAATAAAATCTGGGTGTATATTTATAACAACTCTATCGGCATACAGATTTTACATTTAGAAATGAAATAAAATGGGGTTTGAAATGAAATGAAATGGTGTTTAACATCCTACTGTTTTGCTCCGAACTGGGCTAATGAAGACGGGCATACGCCATACAGTGTGCTATGAGGGAATTATTGCCCGGACAGCGGCACTACGGCCTACTCTTATATGTCAAGGGATCTTTTAGGTGCCCTCCGTCCTGCACCACTGACAAGGGGGAACCACGACGGAAAATCTGGATGAACTTTCTCGGCCAATGCAGGGATCAAAATGGGGTTTAAGGTCCTACTGTTCTGATCCGACTGGGCTAATGAAGACAGGCATAAATCATAGAGTGTGCTATGAGGGAAATTTTTCCTGGACAATGGCGCTACACCCTATTCTTATATCTAATTCCAACTGCCAAGGGATCTTTTATGTGCACACCAATGTGTACACGGGAACTCAGTTTTCCATCCAATCTGAACAACTAGACAGCTATCTGTGTCAGGCCCTCCGTCCTGCACCACTGACAAGAGGGAAACCATGCCGGAAAATCCCTATGAACTTTCTCGGCCAACACCGGGATCGAACCCGCAAACTCCAGACTAGTGATCCAGCGTCTTACTCACTTAGCCACCGTGGCACGTGCATTTAGAAATTCTGTCATGGATCTAAAGTGTGGAAAAAGCATGAAATACATTATGGGATATTCATAATACAAAAGAACTGAATTAAAATAGGTCTCAAAAGGATCAAAACAATAAGGTTAAAAACAAAATCAGAAAAGTCTTGGAATATTCCTTTGCCATTCCTATGGCAAGTTAAATGTATGTAAATAAAGAATTTGGATGGGAAGATAGCATGCAACTGAAAGAAAGATTAATACATTTATTGTCTATCTGGACATAAATGATGAAACAGGTAGAACAAAAAAGAGCAAATGACAACATGAACTTCTGCAAAGATACCTGAGCTAGAAATGGCACAGCATGTACAAGAGATGGGGGTAGAGATAAATGTCGTATATTAATTTGAGCTTCAGTACATTTCTTATCAATACTAACAATAACTGATGATGGTTTTGGTCTGGCTTCCACAGGAGGTGAAACAAAGTTTTCAGATGTTTTTGTTGCCCGATTTTCTGGTTTTAAATTCTTATTATTGTCACACCCAGTATGGATACTGCTACATGTTGCAGCTGCATTTCTGAACACCTCCGACAGAGAATTTACAACTGACAATGGAGGTGCAGGAAGGGGAGTGAACTCTGCTTGCGCTATTAGAGGACAGATATCTGAAGTAATATTTGGTTTGATAATATTCTCTGAATCCGATTCTTTAGGGCTGTCCACATTTTCATGTTGAGTTTCACAATTTGCTATTTTGCAAAATGTTTTTGATTTTTCATTGTATGGAAAAAAATCTGGGATGGAAATGACATGTGATACAGCAGAATTAGCTGGTACGAGAAATTCATTATCTTCGTTTTCTTGGTCATACATGTAATCCTTAACCACACTAACATCCATATGATCTACTACTTCTGTTTTCTTAACATCATCTGTAAGCTGTTCAGCTTCCATAAAATGTAGAAGTTGTTCAGCTTCCTTTACATCATTTGGAAGTTTTTCAGTTGTCTTAACATCATCTGTAAGTCGTTCAGCTTCCATAACATCATCTAGAATTTGTCTAGCTTCCATTACACCACCTGGATGTTGGCCAGCTTCTATTACATCACCTGGAAGTTGTTCAGCTTTCATAAAATCATCTGGAAGTTGTTCAGCTTCTAGAATTTGTTCCACTTCCATAACATCACCTAGAATTTGTTCAGCTTTTATAACATCATCTAGATGTTGTTCAGCTTCCATAACATCATCTAAAAGTTGCCCAGCTTCTATTGTGTCACCTGGAATTTGTCTAGCTTCCATTACACCACCTGGATGTTGTCTAGCTTCCATTACACCAGCTGGGAGTTGTTCCGCTTCATTAACATCATCTGGAAGTTGTTCAGCTTCCATGACATCATCTAGAATTTGTTCAGCTTCTATAACAGCATCTATAAGTTGTTCAATTACATTACCTGCAATTTGTTCAGCTTCCATAACATAATGTGGAAGTTGTTCAAATTTCTTAACATCATCTTCAATTTGTGTGACTTCTTTAACATTGTCTTCTGTCAAATTTGGTGTTTGTCTGACTTGCTTGTTATCATCTGGAATTTGTATGGCCTGTCCCTCATGATCTGGAATTTGTATGGCCTGTTCATAATCATCTGGTATTTTTATGGCCTGTTCATAATCATCTGGTATTAGTATGACCTGTTCATCATGATCTGGAATTTGTATGGCCTGTTCATCACCATCTGGAATCTGTATGACCTGTTCATCATGATCTGTAATTTGTAAGGCCTGTTGATAATCAACTGGTATTTGTATGGCCTGTTGATAATCAACTGGTATTTGTATGGCCTGTTCATAATCAACTGGTATTTGTATGGCCTGTTCATAATCATCTGAAATTTGTATGGCCTGTTCAACATCATCTGGAATTTGTATTGCCTGTTCATCATGATCTGGAATTTGTATGGCCTGTTCATGATCATCTGGAATTTGTATGGCTTGTTCATAATCATCTGGTATTTGTATGACCTGTTGATCATCATCTGGAATTTGTATGGCCTGTTCATCATCAACTGGTATGTGTATGGCCTGTTCATAATCATCTGGTATTTTTATGGCCTGTTCATAATCATCTGGTATTTGTATGACCTGTTCATCATGATCTGGAATTTGTATTGCCTGTTCATCACCATCTGGAATCTGTATGGCCTGTTCATAATTATCTGAAATTTGTATGGCCTGTTCATCATGATCTTGAATTTGTATGACCTGTTCATCATCTGAAATTTGTATGACCTGTTCAACATCATCTAAAATTGGTATGGCCTGTTCATCATCATCTGGTATTTCATACTCTGTGGCTTGTATAACCTTTACTAAGTCATCTATTGATTGCATGGCTGCTTTTTCACCATCATATGTGGTTTCTTCAATAGTCTGCACACTATTTGTTGTTTGTGTAACTGCCTTTTCATCATCTGTTCTTTGCATAGTAGCGTCTTCATCATCATCTGCTGTTTGCATGGCAGCTTCTTTATCATGTACTGCTTTTGAGGTTTCTTTTACATCATCATTCTGTTGAATGTTTATTTTTACAGCATCCCTCGTTTGTATAGCAGCCCCTGCTGTTCGCTTAGCTGCCGTTTCGTCATCTGTTTGTTGAATGCCAGCTTCTTTGTGTTCTGCTATTGTGTTTGCTTTTACATCATCTGTGTGCTGTATTATTGTCTTTACATCATTTGCTGCTTGCATGATTCTGACAGCATCTGTTGAGTACGTAACTATCTTTTCATCATCTATTTCTTGCATAGCAGCTTCTTCATCATCTGGTTCTTGCATAGCAGCTTCTTCATTATCTGGTTCTTGCATAGCAGCTTCTTCATTATGTACTGCTTTTATGGTTGCATTTACATCATTCTGTTGAATATTTGTCTTCACAACATTTGTTTTTTGAAAAACTGTCCCACGATTAACTGTAGCTCGTGTGACAACATTTATGTCGTCCATTGTTACTGATACTGCCTCCATATACCTTTGTTTATCAGGTTTGGTTTTCAAAGACGAATTTGTATCTAATTGTGTCAAGCAGTTTCCATGATACATCATATGATCCATATTAGAAACTGGACACTCCAATGTGTCAATGTCAATAACCCTATCATCAAAATCACATGTGTAGGGTAAAAGGCTAGGTGGTGCATCAAATTCTAAGTCAGTGTTGTCCATAAATGGAACATCTAGTTGTAAAAAAGGGGGATCAATGGAATCATTTTCTACGTTCTTAAAATTTACTGTGTTTGGCTCATAAATACTTTCAGTGGCATAATCATCCATATGTATACTGTCATCATTCCAATAATTCAACATGACATCCGTGTCATTAATAGAACCACTGTCAATATTTTCAATATTCAAGTAATCTGAAGAATCATTTACAAGAAAACAACTAGCCAGGTTTGTTGTTGAATCTATGTCTGTCGAGTCTTCAAAAGTCCAGTTATGGTCCTCAATGATCAAATGCTCAGATAAAGGGATTTCTGTTCTGATTTGATAATTATCAGACATATTCTCTCTATTTAGATTATCTTCATCATAAATAACCGATCCACTACACAAGTCGAGGATTTCTGGTCTGATCTGATAATTATCGGACATAATCTCTGACTTCACTTCATCTTGATCATAATCAATTGATCCACTACGCAAATGATCAACATTTTGTGCAGAATCAAAATTGGAGAAACATTTGTTGGAATCGAGATGTCTGTCGTTTATATGTAAATAATTTTCTGAATAAGAGTTGCTGGACAGTGACAGCGATTTTTTCTGTGTTGATACAAAAGGTGTAAAGATCTTCCATCCATATAAATCAACATTCAAATCATTTGTTTGCTTTGATTCATTTGTGTTTGTTGTGGATGTAGAAGATGTTTCACAAGATCGGTTGCTAAGGGCAGACAGAGAAATTTCTCTGTCAGTCTGGACTTGTTCTGCTTCCATTTTCTTCTCGTTAGTAAACGTAGGGGTGTCAATTCTCACCAAGTTTATGGATAATTCATGAGTTGTTACCTGGTTGCAGAACTTTACAAAAAGTTAACATAGAAAAAATCATAAAATTATACTTTGCTGTAATAGAAAAACACTCAAAACACATGGCATTAGAAAAAACTTCAATGGTTATATTACCATAGCAACCTTAATTCCACCAAACCTTAGAAAGATGCATCAAAAATGGTAAAAGCTCCACGCTAGTGGGTATATTACCATAGCAACAATTAAAAGCTCCACAACATTGACCAAGAAGCATCAGACAGAAAATAGAACAAGGCCACACCATTTAATTTTCAGTTCTTCAGGGTGATCATCAATATATAACCGTTTGAATCATATGAAATATGTTTAATTTATAATTTTAAATGAAATGGGGTTTAACGTCCTACTGTTCTGCTCCCACTGGCCTAATGAAGACATGCATATGCCATACAGTGTGCTATGAGGGAAATTTTGCCCAGACAGTGGCGCTACAGTATATTCTTATATCAAATTTCAACTGCCAAGGGATCTTTCAGGTGCACGCCAACATGTACTCAGGACCTCAGTTTTTCATCCCATCCACATGACTAGACAGCTGTCCTTGTCAGGCCCTCCCCATCCTGCTATGATAGTAAAACGTAAAATTTTAGAGTTTAAAGCTTTTAATGAGCACAACCAAGTCCTTCTGGGTTTTAAATAAGTCTTTTTCCCCAAAAGAAATCAGACGGAAAATTTAACAGGTATTCTCAAAGAACAGAAAATCAAATAAGTGATATTCTAACCTGAACTAATGTGGTATATTCATTATTTGTGATTAACTAGAACTTTAAGGTTCACTATAGTGAAGCTAAATATGCCACAAGCACAATGATAGAAAATAGCTGCAAATTTCAATAATTCACTTGCGCACAGGAGAGGTCTTTAGCAGTGCGAGGAAACAGGAGGACCTGGAGAAAACCCATGAGGTTGGACAGACGTCCCTACTCCAGGTCCCGTACAACCGGGGAATCGAAACCATGACAGTTGCCTCAATGACAGACCTTATGATACAGGGAACACACATTACCCATTCAGACCCCCCCTCCCCCCATATTACACGACTAATTCGAGTGCGCCACAGCTGTACACATGACAGGGTGGTCTGAGGCGGTCTAAGGAGTCCTAATTAGGGCTGTTTCAGGTGGTCTTAGAGTGCCAAAGGGTACAATAAGTTAATGCGAGGGAATTAGTAACAAATTTACACGTAAATTACCTTTGTTTTTCTTTTTGTATCATTGAAGCTGCCCTCAATAAAGCCCTCTCTCAAGTTTTTCTTGGTGCCAGCAGCAAGCTTAGAAGCTAAAAGAGCTTTACGTTTAATAGCAAGCTTCCCTGTTGGGGAATATTTTGAAAAACTATTAGACAAGCTCTTTACCCCTGCTCTACGACTAGATGATACAGTGCTGCTTCCCTTACGTGTCTGTGAACCCCGTGACGTGGGTGTTTTTTCTGGAGTGCATAGAGAGCGTCGTGTCCGCTGAGGTGAAGGTGTATGTGCCAGACTTGATACCTTTCTAGATAGACCTTGTCTCAGACTCACAATACCACGAGCTGTCTCTGGGGTACCAGCGCTGGCTCGTGCTGCTTTTCTCAAGGCACTATTAATACCACTATTTCTGGTACTCTGGAAAAAAAAGAATAATATCTCCATAGATAAGAATTAATGAAGATAATTGTAGGTTCTTTAAGCAGAATATTACATATAATAAAGAAATAAAATGGTTTTTAACATCCTACTGTTCTGCACCGACTGGGCTAATGAACACAGGCATGCGCCATGCAGTGTGGTATGAGGGAAATTTTACCTGGACCGCGATGTTTAGCCTAATTCTATTTTGAATTCCAAAATGTCAAGGGTCCCTTTCATACTAATTCGAAATGAAATGATATGGGATTTAACGTCCTACTGTTTTGCTCCGAGTTGGCTAATGAAGACAGGCATACACCATACATTGTGCTATGAGGGATATTTTGCCTGGGCAATGGCACTATGGCTTACTCTTATATCGAATTCTAACTGGCAAGGGATCTTTTACATGCACACCAATGTATACATGGGACCTTGGTTTTTCGTTTCATCCAAATGACTAGACAGCTGTCCTTGTCAGCCCTCCGTCCTGCACCACTGACAAGGGGAAACCACGTCGGACAATCCTGAAAAACTTTCTCGGCCAATGCAGGGATCGAACACGCTAGCGAGCCAGCATCTTACCCACTTAGCCACCGTGGCTCCCTCATACTAATTCGAAATACTTACATCTATTGTATATAAACCATCCAGTCCTCAGCTGGAGTGTTGGGATAAATGCTTAGCATAGCAGGAAACATCATCCAGCAAAGACTTCAGCTGGCATGTTGGGGATAAATGCTTAGCATAGCAGGAGACATCATCCAGTACAGACTTCCATCCACTCACACACATACACACGATATGATCTTGTCCAGACATCCCGTTATTATATACAATGCTGGGTCTCTAAGTAGGTTCACCACAGAATAACAAATGACAATGATTAAAAAATCTCATGTGCTTTGAATACTTACAGGAGATGGTGTTCGTAGTTGCTGTAGTTCGTCATTACTACTGACACTAGATGACTCCGGCGTCGACTCCCTAGTTACTTCCCCTGCTTTGGTATTTTTCGAGGAATTGGAACCAGCGGGTGTGTCTGTTCGACTTGTTGAGTGAGAATCTCCTGATTCTTCTCTTGAAAAATTCAGAAAATCTAAATGGGGTGGCAGTACGGAGGTACCTACAACCAAACATTTTGTTTTAAACTCAGATGTTTTGAAATAATGGAAAACCATGCTTTCAATACACAAGGGATAAAGTGTTGAGAACTTTTTTACAGGCTATTTTAACAATGATTTTGGGGACACCAAATTTCAAGATTTGGTTGTCCCTAGTTTTAAGGTAATACTAACAGATGTTTAAGACTACAGAGAGTGTAAGAAAGAATTATGACAGTGTCAAAAATATTCTACACCTTGGCGAGGGGTCCCTAGATATTGTTGCCCTAGGCTTAAGAAAGAGAGGAGAGGGAGGGAGAGGGGGAGAGAGAGAGAGGGGGGAGAAAGAGAGAGAGATAGAGAGAGGTCAAGAAATAGTTCACTTCGAGACTAACATATGGTTCAACTTCATTTCAATATTTCGCTGCTAGTGGGATTCTTTAGCAGTGGGAGGAAACCAGAGGACCTGTAGAAAACTCACAAGGTTGAACAGGCGACCCAACTCCTTGTCACTTTCAAGCCGAGGCTCAAAACCATGCCACTTGACAGACCTTGTGATTTCATGTGCAGGTGTTAAACCTCTAGAGCATCCACCCCCCATCCTAGGCTTAACCCTATAAAGCCTTTAGGTACATCTGGCACTGAAGACCACTCGGCCAACCAATCCCTCTAACCAAACCCACTCGGCCCACTCGGTACATCTGGCACTGAAGACCACTCGGCCAACCAGTCCCTCTAACCAAAACCAGTCGGCCAACCAGTCCCTCTAACCAAAACCACTCGGCCAACCAGTCCCTCTAACCAAAACCACTCGGCCAACAAGTCCCTCAAAAACCAAAACCACTCAGCTAACCAGTCCCTTTAACCAAAACCCCTCAGCCAACCAGTCCCTTTAACCAAAACCACTCGGCCAACCAGTCCCTTTAACCAAAACCACTTGGCCAACCAGTCCCTTTAACCAAAACCACTCGGCCAACCAGTCCCTTTAACCAAAACCACTCGGACAACCAGTCCCTTTAACCAAAACCACTCGGACAGTAAAGTGTCTCTAACTGAAACCAAGTATTTAATTAATTGTTACCTCTAAGGCACAAGAAAGTTAGAAAATCTTCTGTTTTGGCTGTTTTCGGCAAGAGTTTAAATGGTGAAGTGACAGATTTCACTGGTGTTGTACTTGGAGTAACTGGCAATGAACCCTGGGCAAATTTACGTTGAGCATGAACTTTAGTTCTGGAAGAAAATAATTTAAAAAATATTTTATCCAAATACTAATATTTACAGTACATGTATAAGAAAATTGTGAATTAAATGTATTTAATATCTATTATTAAATGAAATGAAATGGGGTTTAACGTCTGACTGGGCTAATGAAGACGGGCATACGTCACACAGTGTGCTGGTATGAAAGAAATTTTGCCTGGACAGCAGTATTACAGCATACTCTTATTTCGAATTCCAAATGTCAATGGTTATTTTATGTGCACACCAATTTGTACACAGTACCTTGGTTTTATATCCCATTCAAACGACTAGACACTGTTCCTTGTACGGCACTATGTCCTGACAAAGTGGTAAACATGCTGGAAAAATAGCAGAATAATAGGACACTAGACTCCTTTTCATTTCAATTTGAAGATAAAAACCCATTGCATAAAAAGGTCAAGTATTTTCCTTGTAAGGCACTATGCCCTGCACAACTGACAAAGTGGTAGCCCAACCATGCTAGAAAAGCAGAACAATAGGACATTAAACTCCATTTCATTTCCATTTGAAGAAAAACCCCACTGAATATATTTTCCTTTAAATACCTGATAGGTTCTGATATAGACGTTGTATTCGTATAGGAGCTATTGTAGGATTTCACCGAGTCTTGACTACTCTCATCTATACTGGGAGCAGTACTTGAGACATAAATTCTAGGAGATGGTTCTTCGAAGGCTGGAACGGAGGGTGGAGGTTCATTCCTAGAGGTGCTGACAACCTTTCCATCAACAACTGTCTCATAAGCGTAAGTTACTTTTAATTTGGTTTCTTGTAAAGAAGCATATAAAGCTTTTTTTAATTCTTTTTCTTCTTTTTTTGATAATCCTACAGTATCATCCTGAACAAAAATAAACGACAATCAACACATATAACTGATCTGAGAGAGAGAGAGACAGAGAGAGAGAGAGACAGAGAGAGAGAGAGAGAGACACACACACACACACAAACTAGATCATTTTGGGACTAACACATGGTTCAATTTTATTTCAATAATTCGCTTGTGCGTAGGGGTCTTTAGCAGTGGGAGGAAACCAGAGGAACTGGACTGGAGAAAACCCACGAGGTTGGACAGGCGACCCTATTCCTTGTCACGTACAACCGGGTAATCGAAACCATGCCAGTTGACTCAATGACAGACCTTATGATACAGCGTGCACGTTCTAACCATTCGGCCATCCAACCAACCCCATAACTGATCTGAACACAGCATATAAATTTCAAGCATATAAAAATGAACACTATAGTGTTAGTATCATTATCTAAAGTGAACGAGGGCCAGAAATGCGATAAATCAATTTGATTTTATACAGATCTATATTTCATTTTGTTTTTTATACTTTCGATGGTCTACACTACATGAAGATCTGACCGGTTGTTGTGGAAGGTTGCATCAGAGGTCATACGAGCGACTTTTGACCCTATGACGTCAGACATACCAATTAGCATTAATGTTTCTAGTGGGTTACCCACAGTTCCATGCAATTCACGCAAAAAATTTGGCGTAACAGACCAATTCATTGGCTAACCCTTCACATCATCCAGAACATCGGTTATATAACAACTCTTCCTGATCCTAGTGCAGTAAAGACAAGTCAAACGAAATTTTTCACTATAAAAAACGAAACGAAATAGGATCTGTATTTTAATCAGATTGGCAATAAATGGAAACTGCTGAAATTTGATAGGATTCTGCATGTCACTAATCTATAGTCTGTAGAGTGCACAAGAAATCGTTGACTAAGGAGCGATGGACACGGGCAACAGCAATATACACCATACTACCTAAATACAACCACGTACTATTGGGTAGTATTGGGTAAATCTTACTGCCGTCATTGTGGGCATACAATCAAAATAATAAACTCACTATGCTTTTAACAGGAATATTTCGTTTCGGTCTTCGTATTGTTGGATTATGTCTTAATCTTTTAGCAGTTTGGGCAACTGAGCGTTTCCCAACCATACTCCTGAAATATGAATTAAGAGACAGTTAACCATTCATTCAGTTGTATTACCCTATTGGAAACGGTCATAACAAAAAATCATTTTATTTTAAGGTTTTCTACAACCAAGCCTGGATAGAGGGCACCTGTCACAGACTTTGTCAAGTAAAGAAAGATAGAAATGGGGTTTAACGTCTATTTCAATTGATGATCAAATTCTAAAGCCCAGCCGTTTGTATTTTAACTTATGTGCATTTAAATTCACTTTGCATTTAAAGTGAAACATTGAATTTTAAATAAAAGTTTGCCAATCAATAGCAATATGTAAAGATATGTATGGAAAGATTCAGTTCAAAATATTGAGGCATTTTGAAATGATAGCTTAAGTTTTATTCGCTGAAATATGTCTGTGATTTTTACAAAACAGCACCAATGAATGGATAATGTTCTCTATAACTAGAAAACCTGAAGATATGCAGCTTAAATATAAGTTGTGATTTTTCCTGCCTAATACAGGTGTCTGTCATGAAAACCAGGACTACTTCTACCTTCCTATGGAGTCCTGCTTTAGACTTCAGATAAGTAACATTGTGATTATTGCAGACTTAACTTGGAAGATAAAATGAAATGAAATGAAATGGGGTTTAACATCCTACTGTTCTGCTCCGAACTGGGCTAATGAAGACAGGCATATGCCATACAGTGTGCTATACTATTTAAAAAAAGTAGGGGATATTTGATTTTGGGGGCATAATACTAAAATATGCAAATGACTACGAAAAAAGTCACTATAGAACCTAACAGAAGAAACATTTCCAGTTACATGTGACGCCCAAACGCACCAATAGCTACCGCATGGAATGCAGGTGATGCTTGGGATCATCATGGGGGTCCAACCCAAGATTTGCACGACTCTGACTTTGAATGTTACAGTCATTGTGGCATTGAATTCCAGGGTGGAAACATCAGTTTAATTGTTTTAGTGACCAGAAAACAAATTTTGATATGCGTCGGCTTACCCAAAATGAAAGGTTACGTGCCCTTGGCATGCTACAGATCGGCACAACACAGGCGGTTGTGGCGCGGACGATGAATGTTTCTCAGTCTGTCATAAGCAGGCTATGGTCCAGATACCGCGATACACAATCTGTACAGGACAGACCACGCTCAGGTCGACCAAGGGCGACAACTCAAGCCCAGGATCGATTTATCCGTACCTTGGCCTTGAGAAATCGTGTCATCACAGCAAATCAGATCAGCGCTCGTCTTCAAACAGACACTGGTGTGAGAGTGAGTGGCCAGACGATTCGGAATCGACTGCATAGGGGTCACCTTCGCGCCCGACGTCCTCGCGTGATCCCTTGTTTGAGAGATCATCACATTCAGGCAAGACGTCGTTGGTGTAGGGATCGTCAACACTGCGATAATCGACGCTGGAGCAATGTGATGTTTTCAGATGAGTCAAGGTTCACTGTTGATTTTTTGGACAGACGTAGGAGGGTGTGGCGTCGTCGAAACGAGCGCTTCCAAGACGTTAGCGTCATCAGACGTGATCGATTTGGGGGTGGTTCTGTTATGGTGTGGGGAGGCATCACTGTTGCTGGAAGAACGGCTTTACATGTTGTTGCAGGGCGTGTTACAGGCCAGTACTACCGGGACAACATCTTGGCAGTCCATGTTGTGCCGTTCGCACGACGTCATGGCCGCCGTTTCATCTTCCAGGATGACAACGCAAGATGTCACAGGGCCAGGATCGTTACAGGTTACCTCCAACAACAGAACATCACCACATTACCTTGGCCAGCACTGAGTCCCCGACCTCTCCCCCATCGAGCATGTCTGGGACATGCTTGGACAGAGGTTACGTCAACGTCAACAACGTCCTGCCAATGTCCAAGAACTTGCTGCTGCGTTGCAACAGGAATGGGACAATCTGGACCAAAATGACCTTAGACGTCTCATTAGGAGTATGCCACGTCAGATCAATGCTTGTTTGGCAAACAGAGGAGGATTTACCCGTTACTGACTTGGTTGTGATGCTGTGGTAACTTTGCTGTTTGACCCCGGGTATCATTTTACCCTTATAATGGTCAGTCTGTGCCTTACTTAGTCTAACGATCATTTGGAATAAATCGATGAATGTGAACTTCATTTCATTTTGTCATTTGTTTCTTCGTCAGTTTCATTAGGTGACTTTAATAACACTTAAAAATCAAATATCCCCTACTTTTTTTGAATAGTATATGAGGGAAGTTTTGCCCGAACAGCAGCACTACGGCCTACCATACACTTTATATCGAATTCCAACTGTCAAGGGATCTCTAAATCAAAATGACAACAGATCCAAAACAATATTTTGGTTATAGATCATTAATTTCTACTTTACCAGTAATGTCATCACACAGGCAATCAAATTACACTGATTACTGAAAGATGCATTATGCAAAAGCTAAATAGATCTGCCATTAGCAGGTCTTTTTTTCGGGCCTAAATGTAGGCCTACACTACAATGGTTTAAAACACAATCGCCATTTAATAATTTAATGTACCGTAGCGGATAATTAAGATTTTGTTTATTATCGTAGCAATATAACTTGACAATCAAGACTTTATTGTGAAAACTTGAAACACTTGAAAATAAACTTGCTCATTCAGAATAAATTAATTTGACTGAAATTTTAAAATAAATATACAATATAAATGAATATTCAATATTCATTTTTCATTATCAAAGCAGGAACAGCTAGCTCTTCATCTAAATCTTACATAATGCGCCTTACAGTAACCTACATGTACAGATATATGCCGGGGTTTTTTTTTTAGCATAGTAGGACTAAAAATAAAAATAGTTTTATTTGTAAAGTTAATTTGAACTTGTTTGTACTGACACTGTAGGCTACTTCACTGACTGCAAACTTCTTGCAAATAAATGACCTTAATTGCTTAATAATTAGTCAGCTCTTTCTGCAAAAGTAAAATGAATGCATAAATACGATATATGGAACAATTATCAGTAAAATAAATTAGCTTACACTTATTTTATAAACGTTTATGTTTTCATAATTGGAACAAAATAAAAATAGGCGTCTAGCCAAAATTCGTGCTTTGTTCAGGTCTTGTCGCTTATGTCAATAACAAAATTCACATGTGGTTTTGGGCGAGGAAAATTCGTAAATACTTGAAGCTGATTGGTTAAAATAGGGGCACGTACATAATAATCAATCAAAACGTGAAATATAATTGTCTAAACTATTATATTTTAATATGTAGATTGAGTTTCGATAAAAATAAAACAACCTGTTAATAGAAGGAGAACACTTGTGATGTTTTCTAATTATTCAAGCGGCACCTTCAGTGCGGAGGTTGCAAATATGGCAGCCACCATGAATCGAATTTTGTTAGTTTTGTTTATTTATACAACAACAACGTTAAATCTAAAAATTAACGCCGAAGTTATAGATGATTTCAAGGAAGAATTATTTATAAAACCACTTCCAAGTGGACATGTATATTTTCACTTTCAGTTTACCACAACATGGGAGGCAGATTTTGAAAATCCCAAATCATGTATGTATTCATGCCATGCCATGAATCTATGATAAACTTTGGCATGCGGATGGTGTCTAATTAATAAATATTATTTTGAAGACAATGTCTAATATATTCATCATAGTTTTCTAACAACATTATAATATAGTTTTCTCAATAAGAAATATCATTGACTATGACTTATGACTTATAACTCAATATCATCCAAAATCTTCAACATTTAAAACACAAATTATTTGTCAATTTAAAACAACATTGATGCTTTGATCTTACCGGAAAAGGGTGGGCTTCTGATATCCAATATTTAAGACAAAATAAATATTTTACCATTGGTACACGAATCGTGTACCATAATGCGTTTCAGCCCCAGTTGTATCAAGAGACTAGAGGAACGAGGCTAGACATATTGCACCAAACCAAATGGCTTATGTAGACTGGAATAACCAGACGCTAGGAATTTGCACTCGATTGAGACTGCTGGCTTATTTCACGGAACATAACTGATTTGAAATTAGAGTAAAAACGGAAACGATTGAATGTAAATCAGTTTATATACATTCATATTACGGTATTATATGAGTTGCGACCCACTTGTGTCAATTTCTAGGTCCCAAATATTAGCGATTTAGCTCCTTTAAATGCTCCATATGAAAAAATTGGTAGGCTACTATTTCAGTAACGCGCCCCTACAAGTGCCAGTGATCGTAGAGACTTGAAATTTTTAGGGGATGTTCAGCGTGGCTAGCCATGACCTCACATAAATCTCAGCCGATTTGGTCACTTTTTTCTTTTACCGTATAAGCATTTGTTGTGATCATTAAAGATAAGATATCGTTTATCTAGAATTAGCTAGATAATTATTTTTTATTTACTTAGATAATTTTACATGTTATAATTAGGAATAACGACTTAGCACATAAACTAGTTGATTTTTTGTTATGATATGTTTAATTTTTCTTTGCAGTTGAACACTATCGTCTTTTTCCAAAATCCCTAGGACATGTATTGACGACATATAAAGTTCAAGAACTTCATCTGTCTCAAACTCAAGGTCTGTGGAGGCATGATAAATGGGGCTATCCTGTCAGTAGTGCTCCTCCAGGAGCTGAACTATGGGTATGGTTCCAGCCAAGTATAAAAAGGTTAGTCTGTTTACTGATGTACACAAGCGGGCCAGACCACGCACGCTCACCATTCTTCCATTTCTTACACTCGGAGCTTCTCCTTTGGGTGCTTCCCTGCACACATTCTAACCCAGGTATCATTTAATCTTCTGTATCTAGGCCACTAATTTCTTTCACATTCGTTTAATGTCCAATCTTTGTTTAAAAAGTTGTAAAAACTGTTTAAAATCAGCATAAATCGTTTAATTTGTACTTGTCCAGTACATCATTAATCAATTGGGTTGTTTATTTTTTAACACAGATTAGTTTTAGATACACAAGATTAAATGATACCTGGGTTACAGTGACAGACATCATATCTTACCCAAAAAACCTGGATCAAGCCTATTTTGTGGCTTCCTCTGGCAAGTTTCGTAGGAAACACTTGTCTACAATATAACCCTTGGTGGAAGTGGACGTAAAACTCCAGGAACGAACGAACGTACTGCTATATTATTACCCTTGGATGCTACCCCTCAAAAGGCATTGTGTCTTTATCTAAACAAAAAGGAAATGAATAGGCCCCCATTGCTCTTTTGTCTCCTACTGAATGGTGATGGGGGAATGGGCTAATGTTTAATAATATGTACACTTATGATCATAAGGTCTGTCATTGATTAAAGTGGTGTGGTTTCGAATATTGGATGGCCGAATGGTTAGCGCCAGTCCAACCTCATGGGTTTTCTCTGGTCTCCGTTTTCCTCCCACTGCTAAAGACCCATAGATATAGACGGCTAGATTTAGACCCCTCTCTTTTTCTCTCTCTCAAAATATATGAGCAAAGTAGATGTTAAATGATTAGTTTTAATGGCTGTTTTCTTTTGTTTTCTTCAGCTTAGATGATACTTGGTCCGAGTTGGTCAATGCTGTTTCTGGACATTTCTGTACTTCCCTTAATTTTCTTGATTCAAAGTCCACAGCGGCACCAAGGTGGTCGTTCAGACCCCATGGTGTGGCCTCGGATGGATACTCCAGCTTTTCAAAGTTTATTAGATATGGAGCTCTACCCAGAGAAATAGTTTGTACAGAGAATCTGACACCATGGAAGAAATTGTTACCTTGTAATACAAAAGTAAGAGAAGTACATAATAGTAACATTTATACTAGCAAAAGTTTTTAAACACAGAACAGAAAGTGTTTCCGAAGTGGAATTTACCCTCAAAATATCCAGCTGAAAGTGTTTACAAAGCGAAATTCCCCCCCCCCCCCCAAACCAATGAAATATCCAACAGAAAGTGTTTCCGATGTGAAATTAACCCCTAAGAAACAACAAAATACCTAACAGAAAGAAATGATGAATAATTTTAAATCTGTCTTGTTGGATTAAATTTTAGCTGCCATTTTGCATTTCCTAAATTTTGTGTTTTCGAAATTCATTTTTGAGACCAGAATTGTGACCTTTATACATATACAGTTACTAAATACCATTGAGATAATTTATATTTTCAGGTTGGATTTGGTACATTATTTAAAGCTATTAAACTATATGATGCTAATTATCATTCCTTGGGTCTAGATGTTCGTCCAGTTTGTAGGGTAAGGGTTCTTATTACAAGTCACTTAATTAATTCAAGCATGTAATATTCAGCAATGGTGGCTAAGTGGGTAGGACGCTTAATCGCTAGCCTGGAGGTTGGGTGTTCGATCCCTGCATAATCCGAGGAAGTTCATAAGGATTTTCCGACATGGTTTTCCCTTGTCAGTGCTGCAGGACAGAGGGCCTGACAAGGACAGCTGTCTAGTCATTCGGATGGGATGAAAAACCAAGCTCCCGTGTACACATTGACATTCACGTTAAAGATCCCTTGGCAGTTGGAATTTGTTATAAGAGTAGGCCCTAGTGTCGCTGCCTGGGCAAAATTTCCCTCATAACACACTGTATGGCGTATGCCTGTCTTCATTAGCCCAGTCGGAGCAGAACAGTATGACGTTAAACACCATTTCATTTCAGTTTCATTTGTTGTCTTGATTAGCCCACTCGGTGTAGAACACCAGGACATTAAACCCCATTTAATTACACACTGAAGGCTCTGCTAAAAAGTGTGTTTCAGACCTTGATTATCATTGAATCAAGTGGTGTGGTTTCAATTCCCCGCTTGTTTTGCGGTAAATAGAGTGCTGTGATGAGTCCTGCAATCCGAGACTAATTGTGAGATGTTCACATTATTAATTTATAACACACGATATCCACCACAGTAAAAAATACCAGTTGATAAAATTTCATATACCCTACAGTATGTTACAGTTATCACACAACATTTATATTATATTATATACATTATGTAATAATTTATGTCTGATAAAGTCTGTAACAGGTGCCTGTATATGTCCAGGTTTATATTGTGTGATATTTTGTACTGGACAAAGTCTGTGACAGGTGTCTTATGTACAGGATTTTATATATGTGACGGGTGCCTTATGTCCAGATTTGATCATTCTTTGCTTGATAAAGACGATAACACCCTTGTCGAAATGTTGTCAGTAATAGACTTCTGAAGTAACTGGGGGTTTGGATGGCCGAATGGTTAGCGCGTGTCATTGAGTCAACTGGCGTGGTTTCGATTCCCTGGTTGTATGTGACAAGGAGTAGGGTCACCTGTCCAACCTTGTGGGTTTTCTCTGTGTCCTGCGGTTTCCTCCCACTGCTAAAGACCCCTACGCGCAAGCGAATCTCTCTAAATTGTGTCATGTTTTATTCTTATTCAGTTACAAAATGCCGCTCAAAGAAGTTATTATTTGATGTTAAATTTATTTTTAGGATTCTGATTGTAAACGTACATCAATAGAATTAAGTCAGAGTTTGTCTGTTGTTTTTGATCCAACCGTCAAAAATAATGACCACCAGGGTGAGCTCAAAAATGTTTTAATATTCCAATTGAGATTTATTAAGTTGCAAACTTTTGGAGATATTGACACTGTAACCCGGGTATCATTTAATCTTGTGTATTTAGTACTAATTTCTTTCACATTCATTCAATATCAAATCTTTGTTTAAAAATTTGTAAAAATCCGTTAACATCACCAAAAATCATCTAATTTATACTTGTGTCCAGTTTACAGCTGACCAATTGATTATTGATGTATAATGATTAATTTTTGAAAAGTGGTCAGGAAATTAAATACTTGTAAATTGAACACCTATTATCAAAATTAATCAGTCAACTTTAAACTGGACAAAAGTACAAATTAGATGATTTTGGTTGATTTTAAGCGATTTTACGAATTTTAAAACAAAGATTTGATATTAAACAAATGTGAAAGAAATTAGTGCTAGATACACAAGATTTAATGATACCAGGTTACAGTGTGAAGCCAGAAATCTGATCCAATAGGGAAGATGAAAAGTGAATAGCTACTCGGCCTTGAATGATTTAAACGGTGTCTAATGCATATAACGGTCCTCTACATTTCTTGGATGACGGGGTTCCTAGAATTAGGAGGAGTGTACGGGTTTCTATTTATTTCTCTTTTTTTATGTTCTGTCATGGGGAAAATCCATTGAAGAAGATAACATTGGTTACCCATGCCTTGTTGCTGTTTGTGATAGGCCTCCATTACTGTTGAAGCTTCAGGTTCTCCACAATATAGGTCCCTAACTGAAGATGTGCATTGGTTGATAACAAAGTAATGATGGCCGAATGCTTAGCACGTGCGCGCTGCATCATAAGGTTTGTCATTGACTCAACCGGCGTGGTTTCGATCTTCCGGTTGTATGTGACAAGGAGTAGGGTCGTCTGTCCAACTTCATGGGTTTCCTCCCACTGCTAAAGACCCCTACACGCAAGGGAATTATTAAAATAAAATTGATCCATATGTTTGTCCCGAGTTATCCCCCCTCTCTCTCTCTCTCTCTTTCTCGCTCTCTTTATCTTCCGGTTCAAAGTCATGGGTTAGACCTTTCTCCACCAATGATGACTTAAATATAGTTTGTGAATTAGTCATTATAATTATAACTATTGTAGATTAGTTTGTGAATTAGTTATTATAATTGTATCATTTGTAGATTAGTTTGTGAATTAGTCATTATAATTGAATCTATTGTAGATTAGTTTGTGAATTAGTAATTATAATTGTATCATTTGTAGATTAATTGTGAATTAGTTATTATAATTGAATTTATCGTAGATTAGTTTATGAATTAGTCATTATAATTGAATCTATTGTAGATTAGTTTGTGAATTACTCATTATAATTGTATCATTTGTAGATTGGTTTTTAAATATATTTTGTGAATTAGTAATTATAATTATATCTATTGTAGATTGGTCTTTAAAGAAAATATTGGGAGATGTTTTATCTTCAAGATGTCCTCTAGCATCATCTAGTAAGATATTTGTTGATACAACTAGCAACATAGTAAGTACAGGACATATTAATTATAAGAATGTAGGAGCCGCGAGGGCTAAGACGCTGGCTATGTAAACAGGAGATCTCGGCAGATAAAGTTCTTTCATGTTTCCCCTTGTTAGTGGTGCAGGACGGAGGGCCTAGCAAGAACAATGTGTAGCTGTTTGGAAGGGATAAGAAACTGAGGTCCTGTTTACATATCCGTGTGCATGAAAATGAAAATGAAATGGTGTTGAACATCCTACTGTTCTGCTCCTAAACTGGGCTAATGAAGACGGGCATACGCCATACTGTGTACTATGAGGGAAATTTTGCCCGGGCAGCGGCGCTACGGCCTACTCTTATATCAAATTCTAACTGCCAAGGGATCTTTTACGTGCACGCCAATGTGTACACGGGACCTCGGATTTTCGTCCCATCCGAACGACTAGACAGCTGTCCTTGTCAGGTCCTGCATCACTGACAAGGGGAAACCACGCTCCATGTGCATGTAAAAGAACTCTTGCTAGTTGGATTTCAAAAAAGGAGTCGGCTATAATGGACGTTAAACCACATTTCATTTCATTGTTTTATGAATTGTCTTTTTCAAACATCACGCAACTTAAGCTAAAAATAACTAGTCGATTAAGATCCCTACACGTCGTATTAATACTTATAAAATAATGTACAATTGATACGTTGACCATGCATTATTTTAAATAATGGTATGCTAACATCAAATAGGGGGGTTGGATGGCTGAATGGTTATCGTGCGCGCGCTGTATCATAAAGTCTGTCATTGAGTCGACTGGCGTGGTTTCGAATCCCCGGTTGTACGTGGCAAGGAGTAGGGTCGCCTGTCCAACCTCGTGGGTGTTCTCTGGGTCCTCCTGTTTCCTCCCACTGCTAAAGACCCCTACGCGCAAGCGAATTATGTAAATAAAATTAAACCATATGTTAGTCCCGAAATGACCTAGTTTGTGTCGAGTGGACGTTAAACCCCATTTCTCTCTCTCTCTCGCTAACATCAAATAACCTGTATTCCATTTTACAGCCGAAATCAATCTTCACGCTTTCTCCTGATCCAGATAGTGTTGAAACAGTTACACGTGGTGGTGAGAAGAGACAGTATGCTGTATATGATGTAGGACTTCAAACAGCTGAGGGCCGTGTACTAAATTTGGGTGCTAAATACGATAATCCTGTACAATATAATGACATCATACCTCCACCGATATACGCTCAAAGATATATAACAGGTAGGCATTTTCTCCGGGTCCTATGGTTTCTTTCTACTGCTAAAGACCCCTGCGTGTAAGTGAATTATTGAAATAAAATTGAACCTATGTTGGTCCCGAACTGAGCTGGTTTGTGTTGAGTGGACATTAAACCCCATTTCTCACTTGCTTTATATAACGGGTAGGCACTAATAATATCTCCAACCTACTCTAGGCGAGCCTCTCACTTACGACTGGCTCTTTTCACAAGATCATGATATCTGTCATTGAGTCAACTGACGTGGTTTCGATTCCCTGGTTGTACGTGACAAGGGCCCTGATTCACGAAAACTTAAACTAAGATACAATCGAAATTTTAAGAAATACTGCAATTCGATTGGCTGAACAATATGCAAATTGGATATATGCAAATTGATTTTACTGGTCAGCCAATCGAATGGCAGTATTTCTTAAAATTTCGATTCTATCTTAGTTAAGTTTTCGTGAATAAGGGCAAAGGAGTAGGGTCGCCTGTCCAACCTTGTGGGTTTTCTCCGGTTCCTCCGCGTTCCTCCCACCGCAAAAGACCCCTATGTGCAAGCGAATTATTGAAATAAAATTAAAACCATATTTTAGTCCTGAAATGACCTAGTTTGTGTCGAGTGGACCTTAAACCCCATCTCTCTCTCTCTCAGTTATGAATGTATTTTATATTATAGGTTATGGTTTAGAACAAGGTGGTGTAACATGTGTAATATATAATAATCTAGATACGAATCTAACAGTTATATATATGGAGACGTTACCATGGTTTACCAGGTTATACTTTAAATCATTAACTATTGTCAACCAGAATAAACAAGTACATCCATGTAAGTCAATTATTTAGTTAAATTTGTTTCCATGGAAACACAAAAATAATTACATCCAGGTACAATTACTATAAGGAGTTTATCTGTGTACACTGTTTCATAAAGACATCTTGAACAGTTTATGATATAGTGAGGAAAAAGAAAATTTTATACAAAAAGTCAAGTTAAATCTGTTCCCATGGGCATGGAAATAGAAAAAAAATCATATCGGAGACATTTCTAGTTGGGGAGCCACAGTGGCTCGCTAGCCTGGAGGTCGGGTGTTCGATCCCTGCATTGGCCGAGAAAGTTCATCAGGATTTTCCGGTGTGGTTTCCCTTTGTCAGTGGTGCAGAACAGAGGACCTGACAGCTGTCCAGTCATTCGGATAAGATCAAAAACTGAGGACCCTTGAGTACATTGGCGTGCTTGTAAAAGATCCATTGGCAGTTGGGATTCGATATAAGAGTAGGCCATAGTGCCGCTGTCTGAGCAAAATTTCCCTCATAGCACACTGTATGGCATAATGCCCATCTTCATTAGCCCAGTATAGGAGCAGAACAGTAGGACATTAAACCCCATTTCATTTCTTTCAGTTCGAAAATCTTAATTTACAAGGCATTCACATGGACATTTGACTACACCGGTGTAAAAGGCTTTGTTTTTAAGAGTGCCATGCAGACAGTGGTTTATAAAGGGGAGGGAGGTCACCACAAAAACTAGGCCTGTTTCTCAATCTAATTGAATAAAATATGATAAATAGATGTGGTTTACAATAGATATATATATTAACAATGATTAAAAATGGGTCAAGGGGTCAGATGCAGGAATGCCCCCCCCCCCCACCAACCTTTTCACACCCTATACCATGTTTGCAATAAACGATTAAATTCCTGGTCCTTATCCACAAAATTTTAAAACTAAATTATTTTAAGACTGCAGCCTTTTCATTTGCTAGGAGCTAGAATTTGAACTAAAATTTTAAACCTCAACGAATGAAAAGGCTGCATCTTTAAATTATATTAGTTTGATTTTCATAAATAAGGCTAACGAATTACTTGTAACTTTGCATTGTTTCAATTTCCCGGCTGTATGTGACAAGGAGTAGGGTCGCATGTCCAACCTCATGGGGTTTCTCCAGGTTCTCCAGTTTTCTTCCACTGCTAAAGACCCCTACGTGCAAGCGAATTATTGAAATAAAATTGAACCATATGTTAATCCTAAAATGACCTATTGTGTGTCGTTTGGATGTTAAACCCCATTTCTCTATCTCTCTCTCTGTAACTTTGCATATTTTGTTTCCAGATAAAGTTCACTACATACCCGGTAAAGACAGAAGTCGATCATATCATTTAGAATTAGTATTCAGACTGAGAGCTAACTCGGTTACTAAAATCAGTTATAAGTTTGAGAGGGCGTTTTTAAAATGGACTGAATATCCTCCGGATGCTAATCATGGTTTTTATATAAATTCTGCTGTTATATCAACTGTTTTACCTACAGCTTGTAATTATACATCTACACCTCAATCTTCATCTTGCATAGAAAGCAGGTAAGGCTTAACCACACACTGATCAGCAGAGAATATTTCCTAGGCTGATAAGGTTGACATTGATGTGACTTAATGAGCCACAAATATTAACTTTTTTCCTCCAACAAATTAAATTCTAAAACATTTTTGTTATGTATTAGAAATAAAGACGTTTGAAGTATTTGTAGGCAAAAATTATTTCCTATTTAGTGTAAATGGGTATTGAAATGAGTAAAAGGCACCATTCTGCCTGAACCAGTAACATATTATATAAACAATGCTCGCGCCATTGAGCCAATGATTGACACCGCATGATGAGACGGTTACGTGTTGAAGACAGTCATCTTTTACAGAGATATTAGAAGACTTTCGTAATCCTCTGTGAAACAGATTGACCTAACCAATTTAATTCTTAGTTATGGGTATCTGGATAAACATAAAAGCCACATCTGACTTTAGTCTAATAAAATATTTAAACTAAAAGCTTTTGAGAGGAACAACAAAGTATTTTTGGTTTTTAAATTTTCATTTTTTCCTCAAGAAATAGGACACAAACTTTTAATAAGTTCAAATGAATGTGGTCTAATGGATAATTTAGTTTCTATACTTGACGTATATGAAGAGCCCACGGGAAGAATGATCTAAGTCACATTTTTGTCTTTTCACATAAAAGGCAAAACAGACTTTTGGACAAGAATGTTTGATGCGAACCGAACAACGAGTATGTTTAATTACAACTTCAAAATGATGTTTAATACAAACCATAATTACCAGTACAACTGACCTCAACTTTTCAGGCAAATTAAGGTTAAATAAAGGGTACGATGGACTTGTATTTGTCCGGGATGCCATTTCAGAAGGGCCTTGGCTTGATGTGACTCCGATCGTTTTTACCTGAAATAGTTTGTTCCACAGAAAGCTTATACAATTTGCTTCCGGATGGTGCCATTAACTGGGGTACGTTGAAAAAGTGACTTGGATAGTTCTTCCCCGGGGCTCCTCATATGGTTGTATGTTGTGGTCATGCATGTCTGTCTGTCCGTCAGCCACAACTGATCTAGAAGCCTTACTCAATGAACAAAATCGCATTGTATCATTATTTTTATAACTGCAAGTAATTAAATATTTGTTTTGTTTCTTTACAGTTTCCAAGATAAATCTGAAAACTTTTTTCTAAGAATTCATACCGAAACACTGTTGGTATCACTACCTACCCCAGATTTTAGTATGCCATATAATGTAATCTGTTTAGCATGTACAGTAGTAGCCATTGCTTTCGGTTCCATCCACAATTTAACAACTAGAAGATTTATAAAATTAGATCCGTCCAAGAAAAAGGGATTATTAGCAAAAATTAAGGCCATTTTTATAAAAGAGAAGAACACCAAAAGTGATGAAGTTAGTGAAAAAGAAACTGACAAAGAAAATGAAACAGAAAAGGATGAATGAAGATGAACTATTGAGAAAATACAATCTGATTAAAACACAGATCCTATTTCGTTTCGTTTTTATAGTTCAAAATTTCGTTTTACTTGTCTTTTACTACACTAGGATCTGGAAGTGTTGATATCATTGACGTGTTCTGGATGGTGTGAGGGATTAGCCAATGAAACGGTCTGTGACGGCGAGCTTTAGGCGTGTTTTTCACGGAACTGTGGGTAATCCACTAGTAACATCAATGCTGATTGGTTAATCAAATGTCTGACGTCATAGGGTCAAAAGCCACTCATATGACCTCTGACGCGACCTATCGCTACAACCGGTCAGATCTTCATGTAGTGTTGGCCATCGAAAGTATAAAAAAACGGAACGAAATATAGATCTGTATTTTAATCAGACTGGAGAAAAATTGACAAGGAAGATGAAAAAGAAAAGGATGAATGAATGAATGAACATTTTGGTGCAAGGCATCTTTGATTTCAAGGGGTGGGGGTGGGGAGGTTAATGCTTTAGACCATAAGATCTGTCATTGGGTCAAGTGGTGTTGTTTCAATTCCCTGCTTGTACATGACAAGTTGTCCAATCTTGTGTTTTTGTGGGGTTCTCCCTAGTGCTGGGTATTGCGACTGCAGTCACGATACGATACGTATTGCGATTCATATGCCATGATACGATACGTATCGCGATTCATAACTAGGTCATAGATTTATCAATAAAACAACAAATTGAATATGTAATTGTGTGTTTAATGAAGCTTGAACTTCACCGCAGGTTTAACTGGCCGTCTTCTTAATCTTAGCAGACGAACTTAGACAGTCGCCCCTATGGTGTCTTGTCAAGTGAGTGCTGAGATTGGTTGTATTACCACAATATTTTAGAATAGTTTTGCATATTCTACAAACAACTTTCGTTGTATCACCTTTTAAAAACCCAAAGTTTTCCCAAACTTTAGATTTATATTTCGCTAGAGGATTTATTATTGTGACTGTGTTTTCCGCCATTTTGATTTTTACAAGAGCTACTATCTATTATATTTACGTTCTAAATTTATAAAATTCTAGAGTAAAATGTTGTTTTATGTATTTAAATATGTATGTTTTATTAACTAAGCCTTAAAACAAACTTTAAAATTCGGAAACAAAATGAAAAGGCGTTAAAATGTTGTTAATCTAAACCTACGTAACTAACGGTAATTACGGTTGTGCGCTATTTATAGTAACACACATGTCAGGGCTACTGGACATCGTTTGCGAAGTGTCATTGTTTCAAATAAAGTTTAGGGTATAATTTAAAGTTCATAATATATTTGAGAAAACACAAAAAAGAATCGTGAAAAATCGATTCGGCATCCCGCGATTCAATACAGGTATCGTGAGACTTGAATCGCGATACATCGATTCAACAATTCAACGATATATCGTGCCAGCACTAGTTCTCCCACTGCATATATGTATAAAGACCCCTATGATTAAGCAAGTGATTAAATAAAATTGAATCTTATGTTAGTCCCAAAATTCCCTAGTTTGTGTCGAGTGGACGCTGACCATTTCTCCCTCTTTCTCTTTTATTTCTGTGAGTGCAGAATCTGGTTACTCTAAGAAGATAAAACTAATTTTGCTTTCAACAGTTCACACTTAAGAAAAAAAAAACATCAGTAGCGTAAGATGTTCATATATTCTTCATGACATTAATTGTGATAACACAAAGGGAATTCATTTATTTCATAATTCACTTTGTATGTTGTTCATATATGTAAAAAAATTTAAAATAGAACAAAATTTATGATCGATCGAACTTTCTTAATACATTTTATTATTGTGTGTAGTTGTATATAATCGTATGTGTTATTTATAGTAGATTCACATATTTATCATCTGTATATAATTCACATCATTTTATAAGAATCGTAGCTTAAAGGTCACCAGAAAAGCTTCATAAATATTTTAAATAATGCAAGGAATTATCTCAACATATCCTTTCCATAGGTATAACACGATCCTGAAATATCAATGTTACCTGCCACAGGTAAATTTCAACGTTGGCGATTTCCGCCGTTTTTCGTGAGTACTCGTAACTCTCCGCCAAAAAACAAGACTAGAATATGAACGGAAGGACTAAAATGATGTTACTGCTGTTTTATTGGTGGAAAGTTACGACTACTCATGGTGTAAATGGCTAACTTTGAAATTTACCTGTTGCAGGTAACATTGACATCCAGGATCGTGTTATTCTTATGGAAAGGATATATTGACATAATTACTTGCATTATTTAATAAAAATTATGAAGATTTTCCAGTGATCTTTAATTTGAATGTATATCATTTTTCTAATTCCTTGGAATATTTACTTATATTGCAATTTTTGAAGTATTTTTTTTACACTGAACACCAATTTCTTTGAAAAAACTTTATTCAGTATAAAAATTTGTAGGTAATCGAAGCATTAAATTTATTTGGCTTCTAATATTTTTCTGAAGTTCAGAAACACTTTGTGTGAATTTCAAGCCAATCAGATTATAACTTTTGCCTCTGCAAGATTTTTCTAATGTTCAAGGGACATAACTCCATCATTCAAAATCAATAGAACATAAACATTGCTTATAATTTTCATGTTAATTGGATAACTTGCTTGTGGACAACAGAGAGGAGGGGCCAATATACAACCCCATTTTAATGTGAGCATATAAAAGGTATTACACAGAACTATGCACATTCCATGTATGTTTTTATTTGTATTTAAAGAAACATAACAAGTAGTCTATTTAAAACATTGTATTTTCAAATACAGCATAATGTGGAGAAGGCTAGCTCGGAGACGGTCCTGCATATTTTAGCACATATGACGTCATATGTGGATTGTGGGTTAGGACCTACAGATTTCGTAAGTCTTGAGATGTAAACACGACTAGTGCTAACCCTAACCCTGGATCAAGCCTAACCCTTACTCTAACGCACAGTCCACATGTGCAGGAGAGTCTCTGATTAATGTGTTTTTGTAATGCTTACTCCTAGGATACCTGCAATACCACTTCTGACGAGAATTTTATGTATTTGAGAATACATGTATTAAGAAAATCCTATTATATTTTCCAGATTCTATTCTTAATGTACATATACGATAAATAAAAATAATGCACTTACTGTGATTGTCACTGTTCTTAGTAATAGTATTATTCCTTTGTTCTTTTCGTTGAATAAGCAGATTGTTTTCCCTCTAGAAGATTGGTTAACTGGAGCTTAACCGTTCAATAACTAGATATGTTCAGTGTTGTTGCACTCTTTTTCTGGTTTACACTAGTTTTAGTAGAAATCATATAGAGAAGTGGGGTGGGTTTTCTGTGAAATAACAACAAGCATGTTGAGCAGGTGTCAATGTTACAAGTCAATTATATGCTTCATTCGTTAACAGGTTTAACATCTCGGCCTACAGCCTCGATGTTTAAACCTGTTAACCCATGAAAGCTGTGCTATAAATATAACTTATGACTATCCTAATAAATGAAATGGTGTTTTATTGCACTAATGAAAATGGACATACATGATACAGTGTGCTATGAAGGAAATTTTGTTCCTGCATTAGCACAATCTGGTTAAAATACTGATCCTATTTCGTTTCGTTTTTTTAGTTCAAAATTTCGTTTTACTTGTCTTTACTACACTTGGATCTGGAAGATTTGTTATTTAACGCGTGTTCTGCTTGAAATGAGGGGTCAGCCAATCAAATGGTCTGTCGAATCGAGTGTTTGACCTTTTTTGCCCGGAACTGTGGGTAATCCACTAGTAACATCAATGCTGATTGGTTAATCAAATGTCTGACGTCATGGGTCAAAAGTTGTTCTTTTGACCCCTGACGTGACCTATTGCTATAACTTGTCAGATCTTCATGTAGTGTAGGCCATCGAAAGTATAAAAAAACAAAACGAAATATAGATCTGTATTTTAATCCGATTGGCATTAGCACAGCCTACTCTTTAATTTCTAAATTAAACTGTCGTGGGTTCTTTTACGTGCATGTAAATGTGTATAAGGGACCCCAGGTTTTTCGTCCTATCCAAAAGACTAGACCCCAGGTTTTCTGTCCTATCCAAATGACTAGACACCATTTCTTGTCAAGGCTGCACCACTGACAAAGAGAAACTGTGCCAGAAAATCAAGAGGAACTTTCCCAGCCAACCACAAAAAGCTGTCAGCACCTTTATCTTAATGACTGACCCACTGCAGCTCCAAACTACCCTATAGGAATTCATTCAACGGGGCACGAACATGCATACTCCCCTGCAGTGTTTCGTTTGATTAGAACTAATCCCACTAAGCACTGCTTTAATGGAAGCAAATTTCTGTTCCAAATTACGACTGGTTAATAGGCAGATTAACAACCAATAGTTTTAGGGAGGACCCCAGATTAAAGAAGGGCTGTCATGTTGCTGTACCTGGGATAGATTTGCTATAACGGGAAGAATAGACACACTCCCTCAAAAGCTCAAGTATCAGAAGCCAATCAAGCAATGGGCAGAGAGGGATTTCTTGGGCCATTGCTTCAGGAATTTGACCAACATGTGGCATTGGATAGTGTGGTCAGCTGTAATCGTTACCTTGTTCTAAGTGTTTAATGGCAATGGAACACCCTTCAAGGGCAGACTGTTAGTTCTTGACCTCTCGACTTCAGCTGCAGGATATTTTTAAATGGATGCAAATATGGGAAATTAATTGTCGAATTAGACCCAAAATGGGGTTTAACTCCTACTGGGGGATCACGGTGGCTAAGTGGGTAAGACGCTGGCTCACTAGTCTGGAGGTTGGGTTTCGATCCCTGCATTGGCCGAGAAAGTTCATCCCGATTTTCCGACATGTTTCCCCTTATCAGTGGTGCAGAACTGAGGGCCTGACAAGGACAGCTGTCTAGTCCTTCGATATACGAGTAGGCAAAAGTGCCGCTACCCGGACAAAATTTCCCTCACAGCACACTGTATGGCGTATGCCCGTCTTCATTAGCCCAGTATAGGAGCAGAACAGTAGGATGTTAAACCCATTTCCTACTGTTCTTTACTTTGACCTTGAATTAAGGGCAGAAAAATTTCATCTTTAATCCACAGCTGCTACCAGCCTCCAGTGGGTGCCGAAGACCCCATTTTTGATTCGCTACACTAACAGCCCCCCCCCCCCTGAAGATTTTCGCTCCCATGGCACTGTGTAAACAGATTTTCTCACAGAAAGGGCAATGCGGGGTCCCATCAACCTGTGAAAGAAATTAGACTGGTCATCTTCCCTAATACCCCAAGTGTAAAAGGCACTTCATCTGGTGGATTCCTTGTTACATAAATAAAATCACCTCAGGATTGGACATGAAGTGAACAGAGAGAAATGGACTTAACGTCTAATCAACACAATTTAGGTCATTTCGGAACTAACATATGGTTCATTTTAATAATTTGCTTGGACGTAGGGGTCTTTAGCAGTGGGAGGAAACCAGAGGACCTGGAGATACCCACGAGGTTGGACAGGCCTAGACAAGCCTGCATTTATTCAATCCCCTGCTCATTTTGAACAATGATTAACAAATTTTAATGCTATCTTTTTAGTTACTTTATTCATTCATTTTGATTCTTGGCCGTAGTTTCAATTTGAGTAGTTTAAGATTGAAGCAGAAATGTTTATATTTAAGCATCTTCTTGCTCTTCTTCCTCATCAAATTCACCTTCTTCCTCAGCTGTTGCATCCTGGTACTGTTGATATTCAGAGACCAGATCATTCATGTTGGATTCGGCTTCTGTGAATTCCATCTCATCCATACCTTCACCAGTATACCAATGGAGGAAAGCCTTTCGCCTGAACATAGCTGTGAATTGTTCAGAGATACGCTTAAACAGCTCTTGGATTGCGGTGCTGTTGCCAATGAATGTGGCGGACATCTTGAGACCTCTTGGTGGAATGTCACAAACGGCGGTCTTAACGTTGTTGGGAATCCATTCAACGAAGTAACTACTATTCTTGTTCTGGACGTTCAACATTTGTTCATCAACTTCTTTCATGGACATTCGCCCTCGGAACATGGCAGCAACAGTGAGATAGCGACCATGACGTGGGTCACAGGCAGCCATCATGTTTTTGGCATCAAACATCTGTTGAGTAAGTTCAGGTACTGTAAGTGCTCTGTATTGCTGGCTACCTCGAGATGTGAGTGGGGCAAAGCCTGGCATGAAGAAATGAAGACGTGGGAATGGCACCATGTTGACGGCTAATTTACGGAGATCAGCGTTCAGCTGGCCAGGGAACCGGAGGCATGTTGTAACACCCGACATGGTTGCGGAGACTAGATGGTTCAAATCACCATATGTGGGTGTGGTTAATTTTAATGTACGGAAGCAAATGTCATATAAAGCCTCATTATCAATACAATAGGTTTCATCTGTATTTTCAACCAGCTGATGCACAGAGAGCGTGGCATTGTAGGGTTCAACAACTGTATCTGATACCTGAAAAATACAAGAAAGAGGGAACATTAAATTGAGATAATTACTTTTCATTTTATCTCTAAACCATCTACATGTATCGAGTCAGTTGTTTTGAATTTCAATATAATGGTGTGACAGTCCAACAAGAATCTATAAGCAAATAAAAACAGAAAAATATTTACCTTTGGTGATGGTACGACTGAGAATGTGTTCATGATTCTATCTGGATATTCTTCACGAATTTTACTAATAAGGAGTGTTCCCATACCGGAGCCAGTGCCTCCACCCAGAGAATGTGTAAGTTGGAATCCTTGTAGACAATCGCAGCTTTCTGCTTCTTTTCTCACAACATCAAGAACGGAATCTACTAATTCTGCACCTTCTGTGTAGTGACCTTTGGCCCAGTTATTACCAGCACCAGATTGTCCAAACACAAAGTTATCGGGTCGGAAGATCTGACCAAAAGGTCCAGATCGCACTGAGTCCATTGTACCGGGTTCTAAATCTACAAGTACTGCTCTGGGAACATATTTGCCTCCTGCAATAAACAAAATAAATAAAATTAGTAGCCTACAGTACTGTTTCCAATTTTCTTCTCATAAAATTTGAAAGTTAGATCTTTATAATTTTATATCGGAATTGCAAAAGACAGTATAGAAATCTTTTTATTTTCAATGTTGAATTAAGTAGGATCCTAGATCAATAAAATTTAGAAAGTTTTACCTGTGGCTTCATTATAATAAACATTGATTCTTTCCAACTGAAGATCAGAATCACCATGGTAGGTTCCTGTTGGGTCAATGCCATGTTCATCAGATATGACTTCCCAGAACTGCAAGAAAAAACACAAATAAATAATGACTAAAATCATTCAAGATCAATTGGGGATCAATAATATTGAGTCTTAATTACATGGGCATCGCTGAAAATAATTCAGGCCTTGAGGAAAGGACCAGTCTCAACATAAGAACATAGACTGATGACAATTAATTATTGAATTAATTATCAATCATCAAAAGAGTCGGCGTCATTAAATATTTAACAAGTCTAGATGTGGGCCTAGATCTAGGACACAGTAAGAAAATGTTTTATTTGAAGAATGCCAGGTTAGTTCGTTGACGCCCTAGTAGATTTTGTGTTGAACTGCACAGAATCTACGGAAGCTTGACATTCAGGTTGACATTATGACAACCAACCAAAATCCAGAAATAACCGGTTCCCTAGACCAGTTGATCGAGATTAAAATTGAAAATTTGAAGATATTCTGGAAAACAGGTTACCCAGCAATACAATGAGCCTAGATCTTGAAGACTACTAAACAATGTTATTTGTAAATTGAACCACTAAGCTAATATTAATAAAAAAAAATGTCAACTGCAGCAAATGAATGACCGCCACCGCCCGACTAAACCGATCACGCGGCACGGCCATTTTATTTGCTCATCTCATGCTCCAGATGTTTAACGTTGTTCCATCTCGCCCTGTCCCTACTAATTCTTATAATTTAAATAACTCACCTTAGCACCGATTTGGTTGCCACATTGGCCTGCTTGCATATGCACGATCTCACGCATTTTGAATGTTAATAAATTTTAATGTGTAGCTTCTTTCCTTGTTCGCTACTTGGTTGCTTCTAACTGTAAAATGTCGTCACACCCTTTTATAGCGGGCCGTTACCAAGACCTGCGTACGCATTAGAGACTACCAAACAAATAACTTCATTGGTTAGATAGTCACGTGAGCCACCGTATTTTTATTTACCGTAGAAACGACCTCTAGACACCGCCATTGTCAGTGCATGAATCATCATGTCATTCTTTGTTTTTGTTGATCAGTGTTTCCATGACTAATCAAAGAACATACGAACACATCCACGTATCCTACTATAAAATGACTAATTAACATAATTAGATTAGATAATGAATGGCTTATTGATTCATTTATCTATCCGATTGAGGAAAATAAAATTTAGTTTTAGTCATTTTAGATGAACAATGAACTTAGCAGTTAGCTGAACTGTGTTAATTTTAACTACGATTGTACGAATGAAGAAATAGTTTTGTTTTTAATATTTTATTATTTTTTTTATTTAGTGTTAGGCTACAGTCTACTATTAGTATTAAACCCGATGACGATGTTCAACAATGCACGTAACCTAGTAGCCGTCTAGTCTAGTAGTAGTACTAAGTAATATATAGGAGAACTCGGAGAAGAATTTTGCCCTGCTCGTAAACTGCAAATGGGATGATCTTTTATTTGCTAATTGAAGGTTATCCGAACACAACAGTCACTGAAGCCACAGTCGAGTCATCCTGAACATTTAAAGGACTCTAAAAGTAGTAATAGCGCCCCCCCCCCCCCAACCTTGTCACAGGTACAGGTACTCAAATAGCATACCTAGCACACCTTGTCGAATTCCAACTCGCAAAGGGTTATTTTACGCGCATGCCAATGTGTCAAAATATGTTTCTATCGTACCATCCGAAGGACATAGACGAAGGCTTACATGTTCCTTGTCATGCCCGCCGTCCTGCACTACTGATGGGAAAACCACACCCAAAAATCCCGAGACAACACCGGAATCGGATCCAGGATTACCTTGTTTGGGCCAGCTTTTTATCTCACTGTCACTTAGCCACCATCATGGGCTTTCTAGATTCCAACGAAAAATTAATAGCCCAAACCTATGATTCACTGGAATACTGTAAGTAAAAGTTAGACAGCAAATTATGTAGCCTATCCTACAACAATCTAATTTTCTGTACTTCGTAACCAGTATTTATTTTATAAAATGTGTCTATAGCGTAAAAATATTCTATTTTTTTTTTTTAAAAACAAAACAACTTTATACTAGGTATTAATAGTTGATAATGGGGATTGGGTGACCGAATGATTTAACGCGTGCGCATTAGATCAGAAGTTGTCATTGAGTCAGGTGGTATGGTTTCGATTCCCTGGTTAAGTACGTGACAGCATATATAGATAATACGGTATCATCTACGGTGACAAGGAGTGGGTTATAGCCTGTTTAACCCCGTGGGTTTCCTCCAGCCCCCCCCCCCCATTGCTAAAGACCCTTACTTTACAGGTATAGAAGAGTCAAATGTAAATCATGGCAGCCCCCCTGAAGAGGATAGCAGGGAAATATTTTTTACCCAATGCCAAATAACATTAATACCTGATGTATAGGTCTACACATTGAAATTTGAAATGTGTAGGAATAAACCGTTCATTGACAACAATAATATTTTGATCATCAATATACAGTATTATACAATACATTACAATATTTTTATTCAGTATTATGATCTAATGGTAACCGGCGGAGTTATTCAAATGTTTGTAAATAAAGACCAGTATGTGAGAACCCCTCAATGTGAAATCAAGCGTCTATTTATGGCTTCTTCATTTAGTAAATTGTATGGCCACACCTCCGATTAAAGATCTATTTATTAATGTAAATAATAATTGACTATCCTTCACCATGGAGCTATATCAATAATTAATAAACTTGTATGTTAAACACTTCTGATAGTAGCAAATTGAAGAAAATACTTTTATAGGAGTCATTTAGGCCTATAAAAATATTTAATATTATATTCTATTAAAGAATAGAAGTCGAAATGGCTACAGTAGTGTGTCTGCATCTAAATTTGTAACCACCGTACCGTCTGCACAGGACAACAATGCACAGAGCCTTGAATGCAAGTTTAAAATGTTTTTTATTGTACAGATTTAACGTCCAATACAATGAATATATTATGGACAGGTTGATTTAATTAATTCATTTACACTTGAAAATTGTTAAAACCACAAATTAAAAAAAAAGAAAGAAAAAAAAAGGTCATCGGATAGCAAAAGTTCATTAAAGCACAAGTTAAAAAAGAAAATTGAAACATCTTAAACGAAAACACCTGTCGATGGGAGTGGGGACCGACGCCTTAGCAACGACGCCCGGTGTTGATATAGGACGTCTGATACCGTAACCATGTTAGCCGAATTTGTTGGATTTAGCCTATAAGATTACGAAGGAAACAAATATATATATATTTATTTAGAAATATTTTAGATGTATCAGAATTATGAACACATTAATATTTTAAAGTATCATCGTAAAAAATAATCGTGTATAAATACAGGCTCAAAAAATTCAACCGGGTCATCAGGAGGCTAATTCTCAAATCAATCTTTTATCATGCAGTAATTAGATATCACATATATGAAATGCGATAATTATACGAACAACAATAGCACACAGGTCGAATATCTTCTAGATAATACCCCGAAGTATGCATGTATTATTGTTTATTAATAGGACCTCTGTCAAACTATATTGGCCCAATCAGTATACAGCATGTCCAGACAGGTACATCACAAAAATACTTTTTAAGGTATGGTATATCGATTACGATTTCGTATAGTAATTATTTACCTGGATTATGGTGTAATTAAAGGTAGCTTACATTAGAAAAAGAATTTGCATAAATTTATATGTCCATGGTTTTAACGTTTGGTCGTGTCAAGTTTTTGACGTCACAAAACACAATAAGAATGGGAATATAAGGATTCTTTTATGTGCACGCCAAAAGGGCAGATCTATAGGGGGTTGCGCACCCGGCGCATGCCCCCTCCCCTATCTGGATTCAGGGAGCGCACTATAGAACCGAATTCTTGTCTCAGATCACTGGAAATGGCATTTCCGGGCTTCTATAGTTTTCCAAATATTCCGGGTGAGGCCAACTAGATCCACCGATGTGCGCTTCGCACCGTCGCCGCCCGTGCCCTCCCCACCACCTCCATGGTTTCTGGATCTGCCCTTGCCCTAGTCTGTACACAGGACCTTGGTCCTCGGCACGACTATACGTTGTCCCTTGCCAGACCATCTGTATCACTGACAAATCCCTGTGAACTTTTCCGGCCGACACTAGGATCGAACAAGGGACCTTCAAGTTAGTGAACCAAACTTGGCTCCCTTATTGTATTAGATAATCGGGGGTGAGGTGGTCTTGTTAAAAATTATACACGTTCTAAACCAATTTACTTTAGTTTTATCAAACTGCAAAAAAATAAAACAAACCCACAAAAATACTAACAACCCCCACCCCACCCCCGAAAAAAATTGCAGTATAGTTTTGATAATTAGTATACGTAACAGGCCTGTAGCCAGCTTGCTAGCTTTGAAGGGGCAGTGAGGTATTTAGGGGGGGGGGGGCACAGTCTACAGTAGGTATTTTAGAGCTATGGTCGGCCAAATTTTTTAGGGGGGGGGGGGCAAAACGTTTTTTTCGGGGGGGGGGGCATTGCCCCCCCCTCTCTGGCTACGGGCCTGATCAGTAATCGGTAATCGATGGAAATACTTATTATCTCACCACTTGATACTATATATAGAGAAGCCTATACCAAGCGTGACTCAATAATCAGCATATAAAAGGCTGACGGGCTCGATGAATGTTAGGTATAGGCTTCTACATGACGGCGCCCCCCCCCCCCCATACGATTATTAAGTATTAGGCAACAAGGCTCGTAAGTAGGAGGAGGGGGCAAAGAGTTTCGCCCCCCCCCCCCGTGAAAAAACTTTCGACCCATTAAAAAAATTAGATATACATTGTCCGTCAATATTACAGCACCCCTGAGAACACTTCCCGCCCCCCCCCCCTTGTTGCTCTGAGCTACTTACGGACCTGTAAACATGCGGTAAGCAATACTGCATAGGCGGACGGGCTCGATGAAAGTTAGCGGGGCAGAACCTGCAATGCCCGAAAATATTTAGGGTTGCTGAACTTCAAAGTTTCCAATCGTCATTTTCACTATATACCCGTCTGTCCGAAAACTCACATTGCCCGAAAGTTAGCTGGGCAGCTGCCCCCCACCCGCCCGAAAGTTAGCAGGGCAGCTGCCCCACCCCACCCTGGCAGCTGCCCCACCCCACCCTTTATTCCATAGAATTGTGGACTGTATAAGTCATAATACTAATTTGGTCGGTTTTATATATTACGAGGTTCCCACTGTAGTGCGATGCTTTACGATATGGTTGTCCCTATTGAGTCCAGGATCTGCTTAGTGCAGATCTGTTCGGATACGTTTCGATACGACCAACGCGATTGCTACGACTGACCTCAATAAATGATAAAATCTGATAGGACCACCACAGGCCCGGCGGAGTACTCTTTTCTCCAGGTTATTACGGCCCCTGGACCCTTGCCTATAAGGACCTAGGATGGAAGCCCCCCCCCCCCAATCAAGAATTGCTTCCGCCGGCCCTAGTTGCACCACGATTACCCCACGATAAAAACCACGATTTCAACCATAGCACAAATCGTGAAAGTGGGAAACTAGCATTATATAAGGTACGTATTTAGTTCTAATTTTCTATGGTGTGATATGTACACAATTCAAGCCGTTAACACCTTTTCTTCTGTATCCCTTGATCACGAATAAACACTAAACAACCTACGTGCGGTCAAACAAATGAGCGATAGGCCTATTGTCAACGGAGAACGACTATTATAAAATTTGAATATATAATATTCACTGTTCAAATAGCCAAGCAGGGGGTGTTCAAATAGTTTTGTCCTTATGTCTCAAGGACCGAATGGGAATAGTTTCAAATGGAATGTGATTAAAGGGGCCAGTGTTTAAAATTCCCACTCCAGACTGGCATATATGGACCAGTCATTTGAATTTCCACGACTAGCGATACAAAGTCTCTGGAAGAAGAGGGTGGGTTCGGATAAGGTTTTAAAGGGCATTTTTACATCAAAATGTTAAAACTTTTGTCATTCTTTACCTCCCACCAATCATTCAGCCTAAAATCGTTAGTGAAAAGGCTTGTTTCTAAATTTTGAACAATTTATTTTTCATTATGTTAGAATAATAAGCGTTTTGAGGGTTTGGTATAGAATTGTTATCTAAATATAATTTTTGTACGGCAAATTCTTTTCTATGGAGTACCATTTGCAGCACATCATATGTTCCTATCAAACATTCAGCTGGGCATTTCTACATTCAGTTGTGAACTATTAGTGTACACAGGCGCGGATCCAGGGGGTCGACCCCCCCCCCCCCTTCTCAGCTACATAAATTTTTTTGTAAATCAACACTTTTTATGACAAAAGTTTCTCGGCCGTGTGCTTTATCCTTTATCGGTAGACGTGGGACAGGATGGGCACTCAAAGCACGAGATAATGATATAGACATTATTTGATATCACAATTAATGCTTTGCATCCATGAAATTGAATCACAATGTCATTGTATTGATTCATAATAAAAACTTCCGTCAAACAAGGTGTTAACATTCTCTTTTTAAAAAGCTCAATGTGTATGTATATACGGCAAAATGACGATAGAGACCATGCGGGGGGGGGGGGGAGATACATTGTCTCAGGAGCATGGCAAACCCCCTCCTGCAAAAATTCCTGGATCCGCCCCAGGAATAAATATTGAATAAAATGTATTACAAAATATTTTAATTAAAACTTAGAAAATAATATGTCCAATGTATAATTGTCAGTGTATCTTTATGCTTCCAGGCAATGTGTATTCATCAGGCCTATAAAAAGGAGTTCGAAGGAAATTTTGATGCAGTATTTAGTATTTGCCATATATATTTGCCATATTTGCCATATATCCAGATGATGTTTATGATGGTAATCCATACTAAAAGTCTGAAAGTAGTCCCTTAAAAAAAAATGGAGGCTATTTGAAAAAAAAATAGTTTGATTATGTGGACTTGTTAAGTGCTAAAAAAAGATAGTTTTCAAAATTTGAAGTCTTGATGGTTGTAGTGTATATATTCAGCCATCTGTGTGAGACTTTGTGTTTTCCCATGTTGAGTTGTTTACCCTGTAACTGTGTAGTGCTGAATGGTATATTTCGTCGGTGAAGTGTCAAAAGGGTGTATCTAAGAATTTGTTAAGATTAAGAAATAGAACCCTTTTCATTTCAAAATTTCCACAAATCAAGATACGACATTTGGACACATGATACCCAGAACAGTTCTAATTGGCGTAGGGATACACAGCTTTGATAGAAATGTCCATATTAATTGGGAGAGTTTAAAAATGCAAAAAAGTGTATTTGACTAATTTCCTGAGATGCACCCTGTTGACACTTCACCGACGATTTGGTTCATATTTTCCAAATTAACAAATTCCAAAGTCATTACTTTTGATTTTCAACCATTTTTTTATTGTTCAGTATTATCTCAAGCACACTTAGATAACAAAATACAGGAACTAAGGTTGTCCTTCCAAGAAAAATCATTGGTCGGCATGTCAACATCATAGACAGGCCTGGAAATAACGGTTTTAGATGTACCTGACATCAACTTAGTGCCTGACATGTATTAATAATATCAATAAAAAAGACAAATCAGTGACGGATTAAATGACAGGCACCAGAGGTTTTGTGCCAGACAAAACCTGTTCTGTGACAGGTGCCTTATTTCCAGGCTTGACAATCAGCATCACATGCAGATGGTATAAACAGGATATGATTTACACAAGCCAGCGCCACCTATGATTTTCGATTAAATATTTTGATGGGCCTCTTATTAATACGACTGAAACCAAGACAGGAGATTATAATTTACCACTGACATTTTGACTTTGTTTTCTTAATTAAATTTTTAATAAACAATATAAGTACATTTTAAAATGGATCAAGCCGTTAAAGATTAGAAAGTGTCAGAAAATGCAAATGATGCTTTGTGGTTTTAATGAATAAAATTTTGGATTCTATACCCTGGAGATAAAATATAAAGACTCTAATCCTCACTCATGGCTGGCAATTTATATTAAGGCAGGATTTTGTCGAGGGGCTGCATACATTGGAGCAAAGGGTAATCAATCATCAGAGTGGTTTGCATTAGAGGTGTGGGCGGGCTGACGGGGGGGGGGGGGGGGGGGGGGGAAGGGGGGCACGGCCCCCTGGAACCGGGCCTGTAATGAAGTTGAAATCCATTGATTCAGAGGAGTAGGCTAATACAAATCGATGGTCGTAACAATGGCCACAGGACTATTTTTACGACTATTCCGTTTTTAACTTCGCCGATGCCACTGGCCTTATATTAATCCAACAAACAAAACACACTGAAAATATTCAAATATTTTCTCTTATATTATATTAGATTATAACTGACAGTAAGACTAGGTGTGTGTGTTATTGACATGTTTACAAGTCACCTAAGGTAAATACTATAGAATCTGGTTCTGGAGGAGATAAATGTCTTTTATTCTGTCTACTCCTGTCTATTAAAAGACGTCTGCTCATAATTTCATCACTGTCCGTCTCCGAGTCAGTAAATTTTATTGTGTCTGGTAATTCTTGAAATTCAAATCGTTTACCATGAAATTTGTTCATAAGCTTAGAAGAATTATCTCCCTTTGATTTCAAGGATTGCGTTTTGAATTTTCTATAATATAGATTTGTTTGATGAGGTGAATGACCTACTTTATCTACATCACAATCATCATTATTACCTTTTTGTCTCAGCAACTCAGAACATCCAATGCCATTTTTGGTACTCTTCAATGAAGACTGTCGATATTGAAGCAAAGCATTCTCACTACATATATTTTCACATTTTTCATTTAAAGATATTTCGTAATCAGAATTAATATTAGAGCTATTTTCAGAATCTACTGAAGAGTTTTCAGTTTCTGATTTTCGATTTTTCAAAATCATTGCTGTTCGACAACACTGTACATCAATTTGCCTTTCAACAACAGTTTGAGACACAAATTCAATATCAGTATTTTCCTCGGTCAACCTTGGACAAAATATGGTTTTTCCCCTCTCCTTCATCGCAGAATTACTTTTACTGTTGAGGCTGACATCACTATTATTGACACAATGTTGTATATTTACGGACAAACAAGGATTTTTTATTACATTACGATCACATTTTACATTATCACATATTTTTGAAAGACTTTCAGGGTTTTTGACTTTTGCTCTTTGACTAAAAAATTCAATATTGGAAATATCATCAACAAGATTTTTATCTTTCACATCATCTATGTTTATAAGTGATGTTCTAGATGAAATTCTTGTACATGTAGCGGACTCTTCTTGAGATGAGAATTCAATATCACTAGGCCCACAATCTTCATTTTTATGTTTGGCTGTCCCAGAATATGCTTGAAATTTTTCACCACTAAATCTCTGGCTCATAAATTCAATCTCTGAGCTATCGTCAGACTTGTCACATTTATGTTCGTGAAAAGTCTTTGCAAGTTTAGAATTTTTTCCCATGGAATCTTCATTTTTTTTATGTTTGCCTGTCCCAGAATATTCTTGAAGTTTTTCACCACTAAATCTCTGACTCATAAATTCAATATCTGAACTATCGTCAGACTTGTCACATTTATGTTCGTGAAAAATCTTTGCAAATTTAGATTTTTTTCCCATGGAACAATTTCTCTGGCTGATAAATTCTATATCATTATTATTATCAGTTTCGTTGCCTTTAGTCTTATGGTATGGAAATTGTATTATTTCATTATAAGCATTGGGTCTTTGACTGACAAATTCAATATCAGAATCATTCTCGGAATCAGTTGTGTTATTTTCAGAAATGTTTGAATTTGAACTGTTATGTCTGCAATTGTCACCATCTGTATTTAAAACCTTAATATCTCCTTTATCTTGTTGACTGTTCCTTTGTTTTAACATGGAAACATTGTTTTCCATTGGTTGTTGTTCATCTTGGCTGAGAAATCGAAACTGATTTGTCAATAGTTGTTCTTCAGATTCACCATAATCTGGATCAAAATCATCACACATTTCTTCATCATTAGTATTATCTGAAAACAAAAACCCATTCTATCAATCCAGATTAGACATTTTAAAGATACATTATGGGAGATTCGATAACGAGTTGGCAGTTCTCACTATAATAGTTAAAAACTAGATAATGTAAAGGCAATTTGCTAAAAATTTCATTCAAATTGATCCACTATGAACCGAGAACTAAGCGATTGAAATTTCCGCCTAGCTTCAATCATCATTACTAAAGTCAGTACGATAAACAGCATAGTCTTGATTATCCATTTAATCGTTAAATCGTGAAGGAAAGTTATGCAGTAAATTGGCTCATAATCCACTAAAGATCACAGGCTAGCGATGTCATCTAGAGTTGATTATGGTCTGGATAGGTTAATTAATGTCTAATTAATAATTTAGATAACATTTCAGGCCTAAAGAAAGACCCGCAATAGATAGATTTAGCTCTTGCATAATGTATGTTTAAAAAAGAAAGTCTTTAACCCAATATTTTGTCTGCGATATCACCCTAGGTGGAAGTGAATGTTATACAACTGACTGCTAACACAATTAATTGGTTATACCATCAAAACAAATGCCTAGATATTTGGACATTTTTGTTTTTTTTGACAAATGGTTAGCACGTGCGTGCTGTATCATAAGGCCTGTCATTGAGTCAACTGGCGTGGTTTCAAATCCCCGGTCGTACGTGACAAGGAGTAGGGTTGCCTGTCCAACCTCATGGGTTTCCTCCGAGTCCTCCGGTTTCCTCCTACTGCTAAAGACCCCTACGCGCAAGCGAATTATTGAAATAAAATTTAACCATATGTTAGTCTCGAAATGACCTAGTTTGTGTCGAGTGGACGTTAAACCCCATTTCTCTCTCAATTGAATAAATTACAGGTACATGTAAGTAAGTACTTACTCCGACCAATATTTTTGTTAAACATACATTATGCAAGAGCTAATTAAAATAAAATTAAACCATATGTTAGTCCCAAAATGACCTAGTTTTTCTCTCTCTCTCTCTTGAATTAGTACACTAGGGATTAATAATAATAGAGCAGCACTATAGTATGTTTACCTTCATTTTTAGTCTTATTAAAGAAAGACATTAAAACACTCTGTTTTGTAGATGAGAACAATTGAGGAGGCGGTGGTGAATTCTGGGTTAGTTTCCATAATTTAGAGCTAGATACAGTCTTCCTGGTAGAAGCTGGGTGCCTCTTGATGCTTGGTGATGGCTTTGAGATCTACATGTGATGAAAAGACAGTGGAATAACTTAAAACTATCACAATTTATTTTTATATCATCTGAGCATAATTAGGTGATTTATTTCACTCATAAAACGTATTTTAATAATACGAGGTGATATTTCTAATAACCAGCAACATTGTCCTGTAAGATACCTTTTATTGGTAGAATATTTGACCTAATTATACTCAAGGGAATTTCTATTTAAAGATCATAAAATATGAGAAACTTTATTCAATACTTATAAAATGGTATGCACACGGCTGGGACCAAGACCAGTTGGACCAACCAGTTGACCAGTCGGACCAAGACAGACGACCACTTAGATCAATATTATGCTTGACTAATAATAGCACTGTAACCCCGGTATCATTCAATCTTGTGTATGATCTAGCACTAATTTCTTTCACATTCGTTTAATATCAAATCTTTGTTTAAAAATTCATATAAATCATTTAAAATCACAAAAAATCATCTAATTTGTACTTGTGTCCACTTTAAAGCTAACTTAGTAACTGATTCATTTTGATAATGAGTGTCCAATTTACAAGTATTTAATTTCCTGACCACTGTTCAAAAATTAATAATTTTACATCAATAATCAATTGGGTTGTTTATTTTTCAAGTGAACGGAAAATTAAACGCTTGTAAATTGGACACTCATTATCAAAATTGAATTGTCAGCTTAAACTGGGCAAAAGTACAAATTAGATGATTTTTGGTGATTTTAAACAATTTTTACAGATTTTTAATTTGAAAGAAATTAGTGCTAAATACACCTGATTAAATATTACCAGGGTTACAGTGTAGCCTCCATAATTCAAATAAAAGACTACTCCGACCAAGAAAGTATATTCACTCAGACAAATATTTTGCTTGACTAATTGAAATGAAATGAAATGGGGTTTAACATCCTACTGTTCTGCTCCGAACTGGGCTAATGAAGACGGCATGTGCCATACGGTGTGCTATGAGGGAAATTGCGCCCGGACAGCGGCACTACGGCCTACTCTTATATCAAATTCCAACTGTCAAGGGATCTTTTACGTGCACGCCAATGTGTACACGGGACATGCATAAACGCAAAGGCCCCAAGCTCAATGGGAAGTTTGGACTCTGGGTCACGGTTGGTTAGTGTTAATGACTGGAGGTCGTCATGACCTTCATACTGACCACCCTCTGAGTTTGACCATTTTCTGACCATGACTTTCATATTGACCAGACCCATTGACTTCTTTTCGAACACAGGGCCTCTGGGTTTGACCATTTTCTGACCATGACTTTCATATTGACCACACCCAGTCCAAATGTCCAAAATGGGAATTTGAAAATTTTAAGCTTAGTTTTCTTTAGTGCGATATTGACCCACGACTTTGACCGAATTATCTTTTCTGAAGCGCATTGTCTTTTCTTTCACCTCAAGCATTACCCGCTAAAATCGATAATACAGCAAGAAGTATGGCAATATTCACACGTAAAGGACAATCCAACTGGTCAACGCCAATATAAAAATTGGTGGCTTAGCACAAAATTTAAAATATACGAAAATTATTGTTATTATCATGAACTGCAGCATTATGCAAGAAGCACAGTGTGTTGGAACGCGTCTTAGTGTCTTGTTATTTGAGTTTAAATAGTCAACAAACAAAATGGCGTCAACATCGGATAAACCTTTCTCTAGGCTGAAGCTAAATTACAGTAAAATAAAAAGTTATTGACCGATTTGGTATGCGGTCATGGTCATGGATTGGACAGTCCCCTGAAAATTTGAAGTCTCTACCATCACGCGACCTGGTAGAGGTACGTTAATGAAATAGAACCACGAATATTCACTGCTGATCAGTGTGAGCTTTAGCTATGAGAACGTAGCTAGAACCGTTGAGATATACTGATTTGCTTGTTTTTAGCTACGATTGGGTGACTTTAGTTCCAAGCGGCAAACTCAATTTCTTTATGAATGCATGCAACATCTTAAAATTAAGATAATTTAATACTATTATTTAAACTTACAGAGGCCAATCAATGTAGTGGCACAACTATCGCCTAACTCCAAATATTTGTGTTTAAATTAATGAAGCGCTGTTTTTATCTGACATACACAGTCATACATCTCCCTTTTAAAAATGGTGTTCCTACTAGCGGCTTAGCCTTAACGCCTCGATTTTAAATACAATGATTTACACCCGTTTCAGCCAGGATTATTTCTGTTGGATGTGGCAGAAATATTATAAATAACAATAATCAATCGTTGTTTTGATGAAAAATATTGTCAATTTTGCTTACTCAGGCCCGATGTGATTTGCGTTGGGCTCTGCTACATGGAACTACATTAACTTCGACAAAATCCTGGATCCGGGCCTGCTCTTATCTCAAAACACGGAGGGTTGAGAGAATAGAGATGAGGTTATTTATGTGAGCTTGTTCAATACTGACACTGTACCTTTTTCTTATTTCTCGTTGACAACCATTCGTCACACTTTTCTTGTAAATTTGACACCGGTTTAAATTTCATCTTGCCTGACTAAATTATATCAACACTTCAGAACAAATCAAAAGTAACCCTTATCGTCTGTTTTTATTTATTTATTTTTCCCGCCAGGACTAAATATATCTCCTTCTTTGGAGTAATTTAAGGGGGACATAATTAATTCACTTTATCCCGTTTATATAGGAATCAGACCACCTTTTTTCTCAAGATTAAATTCTTGTATTCTGTTAGTCCTAAATACCATTGCATAAGGCACTTTGATCGCTGTTTTGTGGAATAATTGCAATCTACCAATCCTAGTCAATACACGACAGTGTGTGAAAGTGAATGGTTCAAGCTCCTCATGGGAAAAGGTGACCAGTGGCATACCACAGAGTGGTATCCTCGGACCAGCCCTCTCCGTTATCTTCATAAACGATCTCCCAAACTGTACAGATTCACCAACCGAGATGTTCGCAGATGACGCGAAACTCTACAGACTAATAAGACAGACAGAGACAACCTCCAAGAGGACATCAACCAGCTCACAACATGGACCGATACTTGGCAACTCCGTTTCAACACAGAGAAATGCAAAGTCCTGCACATAGGGAAAAGTAACCCCAAACATGACTACAGCATGCAAGGGAAACAAAGCATTACCAGCTTGACGGAAGCATCCCTAGAAAAAGATCTCGGAGTCAACATTGATCCAGAGCTAAAGTTCTTAAAACACGTGGAAATACAAGTGAACAATTTAAGGCAAACAGAATATTGGGACTAATAAGAAGATCATATCAACATCTAGATGCAGAATCCCTCAGGCTCTTCTACACAGCACTTGTTAGACCCCATCTGGAGTTCAGCAACACAGCATGGTCCCCACGACTACAGAAAGACAAGAAGTTACTTGAACAGGTGCAGAGAAGAGCCACAAAACTCATCCCCCAGACAAGAGACATGGATTACGAGGACAGATTGAAACATCTACGCATACCCAGCCTAGTGTACAGAAGGCAAAGAGGAGACATGATAGAAACATACAAATTCACCCACAATATATACAAGGACTCCACTAATTTCCTTCCACTACAAGAAAGCACCATCACCAGAGGCCACAACTACAAACTACCGACCAAGTATTGCAAAACTAGCACCAGGAAACACTTCTTCAGCCAAAGAGTAGTCCACCAGTGGAACAAACTGCCGGATAACGTTGTTAATGCACCATCTTTAAACAGTTTCAAGGCCAGCTTCGACAGGCTATGGAAGGAGCGGATGTACACAACAGAAGAGACCAGTAACTACAATTCCCCATACCACCACAATGTCTTAACCCACCTCCCGCTAACCAAACAGACTTTGGTAACCAATTAGAGAACCCCATAGATCAGCTTACAGGCACATCGCCTAATCGAGGCTGAAGAGGATGTATGTATGTATGTATGTATGTAAATCATATTTTTTTCTGGCAAATAGGTAAAGTGAACAGAAACAAAAAACTAATAAACTATTTTGGATGCAAAAGCACCCTTTTGTTTTTTAGTCAGCAAAATAAAATGTCCAAAATCCCGTGACTTTTTGGTCTGGTGACATTCTGCGTTGTGCAGCAGTTTTCAGGAAGCGATCATTATTTGTTTCATCACTCATTCGGACAGACGGGTAATATTCTTGGGAAAAATAATGTTTTGCCCACTAGTCGGCAAAATAAAGTGCCGGAATCGATCTAAATTATGCGAACGTTTTCGGGCATCGATCATGTTTTTTGTCATAAATTTTTCGGGAATTGAAATTTCTATAAATTGACTAATGCATAATTTTTTTAGTCATTTAAAAGTGTGTCTATTGAGTAAGGCGGGTTGATATTGGAAATGTGAACTTGGACTAGTCTAGATACAATACTATTAGTATATGATTAATTTTACCCATAAACTCATGAATGTGACAAAACAAAACTTTTCAGATGAATTTTTTGAGTTATTTTCATTATTTATTATTATTATTATTTTTTTAAGGCGACCATTTTCGACAAAAAATATCTATGATGGTGATCTTTTTTTTTAATAAAAAATAAACTCAATCATTTTCAGGTTACCTACAACCAGTAAAAGAGAAAGCTGCTTTCATTTAATTTTACTTATTTTCAATGTTGAAATCTGATCGATGATTTACTTTACATAAGCCAAGCCTGTAGGACGTTAAACTCCATTTAATTACATGTACATATTATTTTACTAATTAGACGAAATAAGTCAACCACGATCTCCTTTTGCTCTAAAAATAACAGAAAAACTGCCTTACCCCAAACAATAACAAATCTATCAATGAACACCAACCATTTTTTTCTTATTTCTTGAAATGTTTTGCACAACAATGTAGAAATACCAAATAATTTTCTGCATCAAATGGCTCTGGCATAGTTATTGATTGGGGTATGGCAGTTTTTCTCTAATTTGGTTGGCTTAGTAAAAAAATATGTACCTGATCAGACATAATAATTGTGTAGCAATAATATTTTCAGTTAGCTGAAAGTAGTGATAGTGAAAGAACTTCGATCAGTCAGGATTCAGGAGGTAATTGACACGGCATGTACTGGACGTGGGCGTGGCCTGCCTGTGTTTTTGTTACCCCTAAGCGATCGCCATGTTTCTTCTACAAATTGAAAATAAGTATGGCGGTCATTTAGGGCGTTACCTTTTTATTTATTTAATTATTTCTGTAGTTTTGTAATCGGAGTTCATCTTTAAATTCAACTAAATTGTTATTTTGTGTTTCCAACGTCAACATTTTGGAGTTATTGGGTGTTATTGGACAGTTATTGGGCAGTTATTGGGTAATTCGACGCCCCAGGCATATATGGACCAGTCATTTGAATTTCCACGACTAGCGATACAAAGTCTCTGGAGGAAGGGGTGGGTTCGGATAAGGTTTTAAAGGGCATTTTTTTTTTACATTAAATTACTGAAAAAAAACTTTTGTCGTTCTTTACTTTCCACCAATCGTTCAGCCTAAATTCGTTAGTGAAATGCATATAGACGCCAAGAGTATCGTCCCTTGAACATATTATTGAGCTGCCATAATGGTTCTTAATTCCATCAGTTATCTAATTTGTGCATCGGTGATTTTTTTTTAAATAAAGAGTTTATAATTTTAGTGGCAATGCCAGCTTTTGAAGTTGAAAAAATGGGCGATGGTTTATCAAATCAGAGTGACGTGAGATTTTATTGCGGTTTTTTTTTTCTCTCAGATAAAAGCATTCTATCATTTTGCACAGACATCTTCTAGTAAGAGGGAAATGGGGTTTAACGCCCACTCGACACAAACTAGCTCATTTAAGGACTAACATATGGTTTAATTTTATTTCAATAATTCACTTGTGCGTAGCCTGGGTCTTTAGCAGTGGGAGCAAACCGGGTGACACAGAGAAAACACACGAGCTTGGACAGGCGACTCCTTGTCAAGTAAAAGGGGGGGGGGGGGATCGAAACCACGCCGCTGACTCTATAACAGACCTTTTGATTTCACGCGTACGCGTTACGCCCCCCCCCTACACACACATCATCTGGTATAGCGATCATATTTTGTATATTGTTATTGTATGTTGTCCTCAAGGGAGGTTCCGATGCACCTGTACTTAATATTTCGTATATTGTATGTTGTTCTCAAGGGAGGTTCCGATGCAATATTGTGTGTCTTGTGTAATAATTGTCATATTGTTATAATTTTTATGCATAGGCGTAGGAGCTCAAAGTAATTCAGGGGGGCATAAGAGAAAATTGCCCGAAATCAATACCGTTTTTTCGGGCATACATATCATAAGAGAGCTTTGGGCATATTTTAGGGCATGCAGTGGACAAGAAAAAGACGAGAAAATACTCTTCGGGCAATGTGGATCTCATAGAAATAAGTTAGTTATATTTTTCCTCTAAACGTTAATAGAAAAAAAAGGTCGTCGAATTTTTTATTGCCCGAAAATAAATGCAAATGCCCCCCCCCCCCGGCTCCTACGCCTATGTACGTTTATATTGTATGCTGTCCTAAATGGATGTTTCGATGCAATAAAATCTTATCTTATCTTATCTTATCTCTAAACAATATCAATATACAAAACCCCTGTTTTCTATCAACAATTCATGCATTCCAAGTTTGACAAAACTATATTTTTATGCCTTGGACATTTCAAATAATAATTGTCAGCTTTCATTTCAATTAAGGGATGTCCCGTCGAACAAAAATGGGGTGAGGTGGGGTGTGGGGGTAATTTTGAAACTGAGGAACACATATTTGCAAATTATTGCCACACCCCGGTCCCGACGGGAATGATATCACACCTTTTTAATATTTTTTGTCTTTCATGAAAATGTTCTAAATAAAAATGCTCAAAATATATTTACTCAATTATTTTAAACATTTGCATACCGTATGGACTTAATTTAATTGCTTTTCAGAAAATCTCACAATCTATCTGATTTGATCAATCTATAATAAAAGAAATTACGTTGGGTGTATAATCAGTAACAAAACACATTATTTGTCTGGGAAACCCGACAGAAGGACTAGTAATCATGCTAATTCGGATTCTCAAAACAACGAGCGCATGTTCAAAAATAAACTCCAGCTTCACAAAGAAATTTAGATAACAATTTAAACAAACCTTAATCTCTCAACCCTCCGTATATCTCAGCGTTTTTAGTTACGTTCTCGTAGCTAAAAGAAATTGTGCAAGAGAAAAGAATGGATCACCTGATATGTAAAAAAAAAATAATAATAAATTCTGTAAAGAAACCGAGAAAAAAACCCAAAACTTTTCGCAGTTCGTCGAAATGATGCCAAATTAGTCTGGTTAAGCACATAAAAAGTCACATTATCCAGACTGTCGTAAAAATAACCGCGGTAGAAATTGTTACTAAATTTAGACGTCACGTGATGACTCATGCACAATATGGCCATCAATTGTCAACAACGCAACAACGTGTCTAAATAATCAAATGATTATTTCTTGATGGAATCCTCGAATTTTACATTTGTTTGTAAATTAAAGATAATATGCTATATGAGGACAACTTAACGAAGCAGGTAATGTGAATATTAATCAGCTTTGCGTGACTTTGTGAACAAAAAAAATATTTGCAAAATTTCAACCGTTTTCACTTTTTCCGAATTTCCGGGAATTGACTGGAACAACCTACTTTCATTATCAGTTTTAGCATTTTATTTTCAAAATTGCTGATATCATTTGAAAATACCCACACACTTAAATTCCCAGATAATTTATTTTCTAAGAATGAATCAGTAGCAACAGATACGGAGAATAGAACTAGAACACGAACTGACATTAGTAAATATTACTTCTAATATCTAAAGTAGGCAACAGATTGCATTAAATTTAAGACTAATATGCCTATTGATTTACCAAAAGCTCAGGTAAATATTTGAATTCATTAAGTCGATGTGTTTATTAAATGTAATAATTTTTAGGTTCCAGAAATATCATATGAAAATGAATTTTTGACCGGCTCCCACAGCCATGTGTTCAAAATTAAACGCAAGAATTATTACTAGTTCTAGCTGAGCTGCCTTTTTGAATACATCAATTTGTGATGCCTATATTGAGAAATATGTATTAAAATTATCTTATAAATTAGAGAGAGAGAGAAATTGAGTTTAACGTCCACTCAACATTGACACGGACTAGGTCATTGCGCGTAGGGGTCTTTAGCAGTGGGAGGAAACCGGAGGACCCGGAGAAAACCCACAAGGTTGGACAGGCGACTTGTTAATTATTAAGAAAATATAAGTTACGAATTTAGTTGATTGGATATGTTATTTCGATAGTGACGACAAGATTGTCTGTATGAAGAAATTTTTCATTTTGAAATATTTTCTAAATTTAGTTTTGTTTTCGGCTTGAACTGTCATCTGTTGTTTTTTTTTGTCACTTCAGAAGGTAAATCTGTCACTCTTAATTACCCATGTCACACATTATTTTAAATTGTTTTGGTCCTTGTTTTCATCCACATCAATATCGTGATATAAAACAGTTTTATTTCTTCGACATCGGCAGGACTAAAAATATTCATTTATTCTGTTCTTTTCTTGGTAAATATTGACATGGTTATGAATCGTGAAACGAATTGTATCGTAACACCTTAAAATAGATGAAAATGTCTAAAAGAATCATTATGTCCATAGAGTACACAAGGTCCTGAACTGATCTTAAAATGTACATTGTGTCTTAAATGTTGGATATTAGAATCCCATATTTTCACGTTAAGATGACAACATCAATATTAATTGAAATGGTCCAATATTGAATTCTAATACATGTTTTTAATTTCAAATATTTTGGATAATATTGATTTAGAGGTTTAGCTCCTTTAATTTTGGGGGGTTGAATGGCTGAAAGGGGGGGGGATGTCTGAATGGTTAGCGCATGTGCCTTAAATCATAAGGTCTGTCATTGAGTCAACTGCCATGGTTTCGATTCCACAGTTGTACGTGACAAGGAGTAAGGTTGCCTGCCTAACCTTGTGATTTTTTGGGGGGGTCCTCCGGTTTCATCCCACTGCTAAAGACCCCTACGCGCAAGCGAATTATTAAAATAAAATTAAACCATAATATGTTAGTTCCGAAATGAACTAGTTTGGGTCGAGTGGACGTTAAACCCCATATTGTAATATTTTATTTTCCAGGTTGAAGAAATTGAAGCATTATCAGCCATTTATAATGATGATTTAACAGTTGTTGATGTCACGAAAAGAAAATATGAAATCAAAATCACAAATGGAGAGGAAAGTTCAAAAAGAAAAATTTGTCTACAGGTATAGATCATTTGAAGTCACAGGCCCGTAGCTGGTGGGGGGGGGGGGCAAGGGGGCCCAACCAATGTCACTTGACTTTATGGGGTGCCCATACTGATATTGGCATGTTTGTAGTTGGCTTCGTATTGCGTCCAATGGAAAGGGCATGGTTGGGCACAACGGGCCTAAGTCATCGCTCGCTAACCAGGAGGTTGCAGGTTTGCGCCTGGTGTTGGTTGAAAAAGTGCCTCTGGATTTTTCAGCATGATCGCCCCTTTTCATTGGTGCAGGACAAATGACGAGGAACAGTGTCTAGTCGATGGGATGAAAAACCGAGGTCCCGTGTATACATTGGCGTGCACGTAAAAGAAACTTCGACAGTTGGAATTCAAGGTAAAAGTAGGCTGTAGTGCCGACTTTCAGATAAAGTTTCCCTTCTAGCGCACTGTATGATGCATGCTCGTCTTCATTAGCCCAGTCAGTGCAGAACAGTTGGACATGAAAATAAGTCAAAATTCCATTTTGTTGTCACATGATTGTCATGTGGAAAGTAGATCAGTCAATCTGATTAAAACACAGATCCTATTTTTTTTTTTTTTTTATAGTTTAAAATTTCGTTTTATTTGTCTTCACAATACTAGGAACTGGATGAGTTGTTATATAAGCCGCATTCAGGTTGATGTGAGGGATTAGCCAATGAAACGGTCTGTTACGGTGAGTTCTTGGCATGTGATGCACGGAACTGTGGGTAAACCACTAGGAACAATAACACTGGTTGATTAATCAATGTCTGATGTCATAGGGTCAATAGCCGCTCATATGACCCCTGACACGACCTTCCACTACAACTGGTCAGAACTTCATGTAGTCTAGGCCATCGAAAGTATAAAAACGAAACAAAATAAAGATCTGTATTTTAATCAGATTGTAGATCAGTTAATTTTTTGTTTGCTTTCTGACTACAGAATAAAACAGTTACAATTAATTAAGGTTCTCTTAGCTTAGCTGTTTGTTTTTCACTGATTAAACGAGGATATATTATATAATTTTTATTCTTTCAGGTCACATTGCCGGAAGATTATCCTAAATCATCTCCACCACAATATCAGATACAGTAAGTTGTCCTTTTTAATTAATCTCAATTTTATTGACATGGGGTTGTAAAAAATAGGGATAGTAATTTAATATAAAAGATAGACAAACTGTTTATATATTCTAACAATAAACAGAGAATGGTGATAGTTACTCGAATAACATACTCCTCGCTGTGTTTTGTTTGATAATACCTAATCCCACTAAACACTGCTTTAACAAAGGCAAATTTCTGTTCCAAATTTTGACTGGTCAATGGTCCGATTAACAACCAATAGCTAACTGTGTGTGTGTTACAAAAGCATTACGCTTAAAACAGAGCTCCAAATTGGACCAAATATGTTTACATAACGTGATGTCATGACTCACAATTTTATTATGCCCAATTAACCAGTGCATAGCAGAATATTGCAGAAAAACTAATTGCGTGACAAACGAGGCTATCAAACTGAAAACCAATGTAAACAATACTGTTTGGAGACGAACATACCTTAAATCACTGTCCAAAGTTTTAGGGAAACCCAGATTAAACAAAGGGCTGTCATGTTGCTGTACTTGGGATAGATTTGATTGAATGGGAAGAATAAACACACTCCCTAGCAATGGCCAGAGAGGGATTTCTTGGGCCATTGCTTCAGGAATATGCTTGAATAAAGGTTTAAAAATTCTGAATACTTGGTTTATAACGGTAATATAATAATTCAGTAAACTGCCCAAGATCATATTGGTTGTTGTGTTGTATATATGCTTGGAAGTTGTGGATTGCTTTAATTGCAGAAGTTGATAATTTGAATTTGATGATATATTTCAGTGCCATGTGGTTATCTGATGATGAAAGAAGAGACATAGAAAATAGTTTGGCTGATATTTTTATGTAAGTATAATCTAAAATAAATAAAGATGCATTATGTAAGATTTAGATAAATAGCTGGCAGTTCTTGTTATAATAGTTTGAAAATAGATAATGATAAATGAATATATTGAAAACTTCAGTCAGATTTCTTTATTCTCAGCATAGTTATGAATGTTTGAAGTTTTTACAATATTATCGAGTACCATTCCTACGATAATAAATAAAGTCTCTATAATCCATCTTTACATTAAAATATTATATGGCGATTGTGTTTTAATCCATTAAAAATCTGATGATCTAGAGAGTTGATTGTGGGCTTGTCATGTGAATAAATACCTAATTAATCATTTATATAACATTTGAAGCTAGACAAAAGACCTGAAATAGGCAGATTTAGCTCTTAAATCATGTATCTTTAACTGACAAAGCAGAGTAAACAACTAGAAATTGAAATGATAAAATTAAAATTCAATTAGACTTAGCCTACTGAGGAGATCGAGACATTCAAATGGTCTTAGATCTTCTACTCCATTTATTAATACTCTCAGTGAACAATAATTTGACCTGGGTGAGGAAATATGTGTATTTTGCCTAATGACAATTCAATGAGAAGGGGGTTTAATATAGGCTAGTTCCCCAATCCCTAATTATATACAAATCTGAATAAAAATAATGTTTATAAAGATAAGAAAAATGACAATACATTTGTTACCTTGTTGCTAGACCTGTCATCATAGCAGAATTCTATTATTCTCACTGTTATCATATAGCAGTCTTATCTGGAACCAGGGGTAGATTTTACCTACTAGGCAAAACTTATCAGTTTATAGAAATGTTGAAACAGGATTATATGCTAGTACACTGCACGACAAATTAGTTTCAGTGAGTCCCCAGTAAGAAATTTTGATAATAAAAGCAATTTATATAGCCAAAAGGGAATATTTCACTAAATAATAATTATTATAAGCCCTACTAATATTTTATTTCTTAGTGCAATATATAATTTTTTGTGTAGACCATGCTGACAAAGTTTTCGTGCGTTATCAAAAATGGCCGACAGTGAAATTTTGAAGTGGAAGCCCTGTGCTGAACTGTGTTGTATAGAGGTTCTAATGTGTTTGCGTCTTTTTTCCCTACAGAGAGAATATTGGTGATAGTATCTTGTTTATGTGGATAGAAAAAATACGAGAATTTCTTCAAACTTCAACTAATAATACAGGTGAATATTATAATATTTATATTTTATAAATATGTCGTCTTTAAACGTCATCTACTATACCAATATGGATGTATCTTCTTTAAGCAGTATTTAGCAATTGACATACGTTGAGGGTTTTCTCAACGTTTTCAAGCAAATCATGCTGAAAATAATATAGATGTAATTTAACAGTTTAACTCACATTTTGAAAGGTTTGGTGGTCTAGTAGTTTAATGTGTGCACGTGAAATCACAAGGTCTGTCATTGAGTCAAGTGGCGTGATTTCAATTCCCCACTTTTACGCGACAAGGAGTAGGGTCGCTTCTCCAACCTCATGGTTTTTCTCCGGGTTCCTCTGGTTTCCTTCCATTGCTAAAAACCCATACGAACAAGCGAATTAGTCCTAAAATGACCTTGTTTGTGTCGAGTGGATGTTAAATCCCATTTCGCTCTATATATATATATATATATATATGCTTATATATATATATAAGCATTGTCACAGGGAACTTTCTCCTCAAACACCCGTATCAAACCCGGATCCCCTGGTTAGTGAGGCAGAGCATTTAAACACTGGGCCACCATGGCTCCCCCCCTCCAACCCATCTTAAAACTAGTTCTATATGCATTGTATTTCAGCATCTGCTGGTGCTAGCTCAATTAATCTTGAAACCGAAGAAAGTAATGGTGCTCAAAATGACACTCCGCATAATAATGAAGACGAAACCGTCCCAGATACTACAGATGCTTCACTTGCCGCGGAAGTTGATAACCTAGAAATTGAATATGATTATACCAAATATAAAGCCGAAGATAAAACGAAAGTAGAAGAAGGTATGTCTCATCATACGTCAATTGGTTAATAGTAAATTAAATCCCTAGTGGTACACTGCAGAACGGGGGTGGGGTGGGGTGGATGGCCGAATGGTTAGCATGTGTGCGCTGTATCATAAGGCCTGTCATTGAGTCAACTGACGTGGTTTCGAATCCCCGGTTGTACGTGACAAGGAGTAGGGTCACCTGCCCAACCTCGTGGGTTTTCTCCGGGTCCTCCGGTTTCCTCCCACTGCTAAAGACCCCCATGCGCTAGTGAATTATTGAGAAAAAGAAAAAAAATATGTTAGTCCCAAAATGACCTAGTTTGTGTTGAGTGGACGTTAAACCCCATTTCTCTCTCTCTCTCGGTACAATGCAGAACATGGATTCCACGTCAGTCGTATATGCCGATCATACTCAATTGATAAAAGTATTGACCTAATCGTCTCTGGACCCTTGGTTCAATTTACACACTGTAGAACTAGCATATTTTGATAATAAAAGCTATTTCAATAGCCAATCGTTAATGAATAATTAATATTTTATTTCATAGTCCAATATATAGATTTATAGTGTAAAGTGGTATAGATATGTGAATTCATAAACACATGAATTCAAGATATAATACCATTAATAAAAAATCAGGCATGTTTAATTTAATTTACAAAGTTTCTGTGGAAGAAGCCCTGATGCAGACATTCAACATTAGACAATTGTTTGACAGATTGAATCAGGGCTTTATGCAGATATCTTCTGCTTGTGGAACTATGCACTTTTCCAATTCTCTCCAATTAACACAAATCTTTATTTTAAAAAAAATCTCGCTTTTAGTCTGCAAATGACCACCCTAATATCTCATATGTCAAACTATTTTGAATATTGTGATTGAGGGTGGGAGGGGGGATCTAGTAGGTTAAGGCATGTGCATGCAATCACAAGGTCTGTCATTGAGTCAACTGGCGTTGTTTTGATTCCCGGCTTGTACGTGATAAGGAGTAGGGTCGTCTGTTTTACCTCGTAGGTTTTCTTTTTGTCCCCCAGTTTCCTCCCCCTACGCGCAAGCGAATTATTGAAATAAAATTGAACCATATGTTCGTCCCGAAATGACCTGGTTTGTGTTGAGTGGACGTTAAACCCCATCTCTCCCTCTCCGTCATTGAATATTTTTTTAATGTAAATTTTTTTTTATTATTGTTCACTTCAGAGTTGAAATGTCCTGAGATTTTACATGGAGAATTTATACATGATAGAAAAAGTTTTTTTCAGGCACATTGTGCTCCTGTTAATTCTGTAAAAGAGGTAGGTAGACAAGTTATATAAATATGAAATTACCTGTTAAAGATGCATTATGTAAGAAGAGCTAAATCTGACTATTGCAGGTATTTTTTCTAGCTTCACATGTTGTATAAATTGAAACAAGCAGCGGAAAACGACGAAAACTCTCGTAAAGTAGGTATGATGTAGCTGGAGACTAGTAGTAAGAGGACATCTAAACTGGGATCTCAGCGATACATAAGGGGTTGAGGAATCGTGAAGATTGGACGAACTCCTTGGTAGTAATAAACAATAATACACCAATAAATTTGTTTATTTCTACCAAGGAGTTCGTCTAATCTTCACTGGTTATAGGGGTTGCTTCTCATTATATTGTCGCCTGTCCAACCTCGTGGGTTTTCTCTGGGTCCTCCGGTTTCCTCCCACTGCTAAAGACCCCTACAGGCAAGCGAATTATTGAAATAAAATTGAACCGTGTGTTACTCCCGAAATGACCTAGTTTGTGTCGAGTGGACGTTAAACCCCACCCACCTCTCTCTCTCTCTCTCTCATTATATTGTTGTATAAATTATTATTTAGACATTTATTAATATCGGGCCATCGGATAGTTCCAATTTTAAGTAAATTAGAATACTGTGTCCTTTTAAGAATTTAACAATGAAATAGATAATCAAGACTTAGTCTCGATTGTCAAGTACTATTTCTACAATATTAAGCAATCTATGCTACATTTTGTCAAAATTTCAAACATTTATAACTATGCACAGAATAAATTCATTTCACTGAAATTTTGAATATATTCTTTTTTCATCATCTATTTTTGAACTATTATAACAAGAACGTCCAGATCTTTATCTAATTTTTACATAATGTATCTTTAACAAAGTCTAACATTTGGTGATATTTTTTATGGAGTCAAGGACGTTGGATGAGTGGGGTACACAAAACTATATTTTTGAATAATGTAAATAAATTTTGATGAAATTTAAATTTTTTTGAAATTGTGATGATTTTCCTAGTTTCATTGAATAGGTAAATATTCATACCGTTTTTTAGGTGCAACTGGTAATGGATAAATTATTAGAAAATAGAAAAATAGCTGCAGCAACACATAATATGCAGGCATACAGGTATTTTACTCAGATATTATACTACTGGGGAGTTGGGGTGGCTGAATAGTTTATTGTGTGTGCTTTATATCATAAGGTCTGTCATTGAGTCAGGTGGTTTGGTTAACAATTCCCTGCTTGTACTTGACAAGGAGTGGGGTCGCCTGTCCAACTTCCTGAGTTTTCTCCCTTTGCTTAAGACCCCTACCTGCAAATGTATTATTGAAATAAAACTGAACCATATTTTAGACATTAAACCCATCTCTCTCTCTCTCTCTCTCTCTCTCTCTCTGTATTAATTATAGTTTAATTGAAAAGAGTTAGAGCAGTGTGGAAAAAGATAAAAGTATGGTCAAAGGGGAGATAATTTGCTCACTTATTTCAAATCCTCCTAATCCTATTCCAGGTATTATGGATGCTTTCAGAACAACAGTAACATAACAATAAACATTATATTAAAATATAACACATGCTAATGGAATAACAATTACTTAATTTATTTGGGCAACGTTGGGAAGAGTACCGGTTCTCTCAAAACTTTCAATCAAGTACAGTAACAAATGTATAGGGCAATTATATATAGACAAGCATTAAAAACAAATATGAAACCATGCAGAATAACAAGAAATAAATGAAATGAATTGAAATGGGGTTTAACATCCTACTGTTCTGCTCCGAACTAGGCTAATGAAGACGTGTATACACCATACAATGTGCTATGAGGGAAATTTTGCCCTGACAGAGGCACTACGGCCTACTCTTATATCGAATTCCAACTGTCAAGGGATCTTTTACTTGCACGCCAATGTTTACACGGGACCTGTGTCTATGACTTGCCATGTTTTTATTTTGCAAAATTCAAATATTTTTCATATATATTTAGCCAGGTGTGCCGCTTTTTTCCCATGTGTTCCAAGGTGTGTCATTGGCAAAACATGTTTGAGAACCACTGCTTTAGAGGGATTTAGTAACTGGATAGGGCAATAAACTGTATTGGTGTTATTTATGATTATTGTAGAATTTGTCAGGAAGGTAAAAAGAATGATTTATGGTATCAAGACTGTAAAGATGATGGTGAAATACATGCTGGTAATAGAATGCTTCATTTAATGGAGGTAGGTTCGATAATGTTTGGGTAGCCACAGAGGCTCAGTGAGTAAGACGTTGACTCGCTAACCTGGAGGTCCCATGTTCCATCACTGCATTGGCCGAGAAAGTTTGTCAGGAATTTCTGGTGCGGTTCCCCCTTGTCAGTGATGTAGGAGGGAGGGCCTGGCAAGGGACAATGTACAGTCATTTGGATGATATGAAAACCGAGGTCTCGCGTAGACATTTTGTGCACATAAAAAATCCCTTGACAGTTAGAATTTGATATAAGGGTAGCACATTGTATGGCATATGCCCGTCTTCATTAGACCAGTCGGAGCAGAACAGTAGGACCTTAAACCCCATTTTAGGCCGTGGTTAATTGTTTGTTTTGCTTGACCTGCCGGCGTGTCTGTTTTCATCCGTAATAATTACGCACTTCCATAATTATTTGGTCAAAATTTAATGAGGTCACAAATTTGTCCTGTAAAATTTGTAAAACTATATTAGTTTGCCTTCAAGTATGAACAATGAATTGGCGCATTAAAATCGACTGTTTATCGATAAAAATGACACTGTAGGTGATAAGTAAAGTCTAGTTGGCTAGAATGTGAAAAAAAAATTTGCAAGTCCATACGTGAAATGGAAACAGCAATAAACTAAAAAAAATTAAATTCCATCTCAATAATTACCTCATGTAGCATGTATATTTCACAAACACAGGTCATGTGAAAGAAACAATTAATTAACCGCAGCTTTATGCCAATTCAATAACTTTTCCCCAATTGGCAATAGCCAGAAGACAATTTACCCAAGGCATAAGCAAGTGGACGTCATGTGACAAGAGGTCTTTTACATGCCTATCAATGCTTCATGGAGATATGTTGAATACAGATTTGACTGTACCCAATTGGTGGAATGTTTTATACATTGGCAATTGAAATGTTGATCCTGACTCATAGCCTGAAAAAGAATGTAGCCATGACAAACGCAAATGGACAACATATAGCAAGGGTTCTTTTATGTGCATGCCAACATGTACACAGGACCTTGATTTTCGTGATACCTGAATGACTAGAAACTGGTCCTGGCAGGCCCTCCGTCCTGCATCATGGACAGAGGGAAACCAAGGCGACCATGCTAAAAAAACCCTAGCACCTTTCTTAGCCAACACCAGAATCAAACCACAGATCTCCTTGTTAGCGACCAGCACCTTACACAGTGAACCACAGTAATTGATCTAGATATTCCTGTACCCGAAACACTTTTCTGTGGAATATAACGTCACATTTCTTGCGAACCGACAAATCTGATATATTTAAATATTGAGAATTACGCGTTTGAAATTTGCACTTTGTTGTTATCTCTTTGGCCATCATCGTTTGGCGGATATGTGACGATATTTAATATACTGTTTATTACCTAGGGTCCACTAAGTGTGGTTTAATGTTAGAGAGCGAGACATTAAGTAATATATATTGATACATGTGCATTTCAATGAAATTGTTACACAAGTCCAATATTTCATCTAGTACATGTATAAATAATGTATGATTGCCATGTTGCATGTACCATTATATGAAAGGATGACTTGACATCTCTATTTGTATCTTTATGAAGCCAATAATATGCATGTTCTCTACATCTTCATTGGTAGTACTAGGAATTATCTCATGGTATTAATTCATGTGTTGTCTCGTAAATATCACCATATGTTTGGGGCAGTATAGCCCGGTTGGAGCTGACGTGCCATTAAACAATATTTCATTCATTTAATTTCTGTGTATTTTAGATATTAAGAATGTTTTATATGATATTAATTTATGTGTATTTTAGATATTAAGAATGTTTTATATGGTATTAATTTATGTGTATTAAGAATGTTTTATATGATATTAATTTATGTGTATTTTAGATATTAAGAATGTTTTATATGGTATTAATTTATGTGTATTTTAGATATTAATAATGTTTTATATGGTATTAATTTATGTGTATTTTAGATATTAAAAATGTTTTATATGATATTAATTTATGTGTATTTTAGATATTAAGAATGTTTTATATAATATTAATTCATATGTATTTTAGATATTAAGAATGTTTTATATGATATTAATTTATGTGTATTTTAGATATTAAGAATGTTTTATATGGTATTAATTTATGTGTATTAAGAATGTTTCATATGATATTAATTCATGTGTATTTTAGATATTAAGAATGTTTTATATAATATTAATTCTGTGATTAAGTTATGTGTATTAAGTTATAAAGAATGTTTTATATGGTATCAACTTATGTGTATTAAGTTATTAAGAATGTTTTATATGGTATATATTTCTGTGTATTTTAGATATTAGAAGTTAAGAATGTTTTAGTTGTTGTAACACGATGGTATGGTGGTATTCATCTAGGACCAGACAGATTTAAACACATCAATAATTGTACTAGGGATATACTAGATTTAGGAGGCTATATTAAAAATAAGGTTTGTACTTCTTTACATTATTACTCTTTATTCTATTTAACTCTGTAGCACTTGACTACCCCAGTTCCTTGAGAAAAGTGATATATTAATAATATCGGTACATCCCTGCACAGACTGGAACTGTTGTTCCTTGGACCCCATCAAACCTTAGAAGATATGTGGATAGTTTTCTGTATTATAGGTCTATTTACTTTGTCCTATGCCGGGTATGAGGCAGTCAAAGTGCTTGTACGACCACTGACACAACAAAAAAAGCTTGATAACGATAAGAGAATACTTGTCGAAACGTCGTGCTATGTTTATAAACCAGTGATTGTATTTCCATATAAACTGTGTTGTGTTTTTTAATGTGTTCAATCGCTAAATGCCACTCAAGGAGGGGATCACGTGGCTAAGTGGGTAAGACGCTAGCTCGCTAGCCTGGAGGTCGGGTGTTCGATCCCTGCATTGGCCGAGAAAGTTCATCCAGATTTTCCGGCGTGGTTCTCCCTTGTCAGTGATGCAGGATGGAGGGGCTGACAAGGAAAGCTGTCTAGTCGTTCGGATGGGATGAAAAACCGAGGTCCCGTGACACATTGGCGTGCACGTAAAAGATCCCTTGGCAGTTGGAATTCGATATAAAAGTAGGCCGTAGTGCCGCTGTCTGGGCAAAATTTCCCTCATAGCACACTGTATGGCGTATGCCCGTCTTCATTAGCCCAGGTTAGGAGCAGAACAGTAGGACGTTAAACCCCATTTCATTTCATTTCATTTCATTGCCACTCAAGGATTATACCCTGACACAACCTTCGAGTACAACTTGTCAGATCTTCATGTAGCGTAGGCCATCGAAAGTATAAAAAAAACAAAACAAAATATAGATCTGTATTTTAATCAGATTGAATCCCGAAATGATTTAAATCTGTTATTGTACGTACCAGACATTAATTCTACACATATCTGTTTCAGGCCGAAAAGAAAGGTCCAAAAAGTGGGAAGAAATCCAAGAAAGATTCCTAGGACTAACTGAAGATAAAATTATACACCTGATTATATTTAATGACAATATTTTAATGAAATTGTAAATATGTCAAATGTAAATAAACTCCATATGAAATCTGTTTTATTCTGGGGGTCACGGTGGCAAAGTGGGTAAGACGCTGGCTCGCTAGCCTGGAGAAAGTTCATCCAGATTTTCCGGTGTGGTATCCCCTTGTCACTGATGCAGGACGGAGGGCCTGACAAGGACAGCTGTCTAGTTGTTCGGATGGTAAGATCCCTTGACAGTTGGAATTCGATATAAGAGTAGGCCATAGTGCAGCTGTCCGGGCAAAATTTCCCTCATAGCACAATGTATGGTGGATGCCCGTCTTCATTAGCCCAGTTCGGAGCGATTTTTAGTGACTGGAAGCTAATGGTTGACACCCTCTCCATTTAATTTGCATTCCAAGAAATGTTGATTATGACAATCCTATTGTCATAGTGAACACCATTAGTGTCATAGCCCTTTTTTACACCACATAATAGTCCTTGATTGAAGCCAGTAAAAAAACTGTTTGGCCTTGCCCCTAAGAATTTAAAAGTAAACGAATATTTCAAATCAGATTTTATTTTTTTTCTTATAGCAATATGCCAATATACACATCAAATATTTTCTTATAGCAAGATCCATGAAATATTTTCTTATAGCAAGATCTATGAAATATTTTCTTATAGCAAGATCTATGAAATATTTTCTTTAAATAACAATACAAGTAATCTGTATAAAATAAAGTATAAATACAAAGCCATACAAAAAAAAAATTCTGGTTGACAGATAATTTCGCATCACTTAAAAAGGGCCGCATAACCTGTTTTTATTTTAAAAATAAAAACATACATAATGTAAATATTTTGCAGAGGTTATGAGAAATAACTCTATAAAACAATTTGAATGAAACCAGGCCTACCAAAAGCTCAATTATCAAATGTGCAACCCTCATAAAAGTTTCTGGCAAGAATAAGCGCCCCTAAGGTTAACAAAAAAACCCGATAACAATCATAATGTGACATCAACTTTAATAAAACTGCTTTCCGGCTAGTTAATGGTCAGTGAACAACTATACTGGCAATATGATTTATGTTCTATTGGGGAGTTCAGTGTTATTTCATGCATTTTATTACGTATTTTGTTGACATTCACTGTTGATGGCACCCTAGATTTGAACCGCCCTCCACTATTTACAGCTTCTAGATCAACTACTGTTTATTTTCATATTGTTAGGGGGAGTTGAAGGCCCGAATGGTTAGCGTGAACAAGTTGTATCATAAGGTCTGTCGTTGAGTCAACTGGCGTGGTTTCAATTCCCGGGTTGTATGTGACAAGGAGTAGGGTCGCCTGTCCAACCTCGTGGATTTTCTTTAGGTCCTCCGGTTTCCTCCTACTGCTAAAGACCCCCTACGTGCAAGCGAATTATTGAAATAAAATTAAACAATATGTTAGTTCCAAAATGACCTGGTTTATGTCGAGTGGACGTTAAACCCCATTTCTCTCTCTCTCTGTGTATAATATTATTGAAGCTATGAATTATATCCCATAGAATAAAAATATACTTATTAATATTTATTATAATATTGGTGAAGCTGGGAACTATATTCTATGGATTATGACAATACAAAATGTTAAAAATTACACAGTTATTCTTGTAACTATAGCAGAGGCATAGATTTTACTTCTCTGTATCACATTTGGCCAAAGCAGCAGGTAGATGTTCTCCGGCAGGACCCTTAAAATGATACCTACAAGAAATACAAAATGAATCAAATTCATAACCTTTTAGAGGCATTTAGTAACTGGACAGGGCAATAAACCATAACTATACTTATGGAAGAACAGCTGCTAATTCATTTGGGCGAGAATTCGAAGAGTATTCTCTCAACGTTACAAAGCTAATATCAAGAAACATCACCCAAATAAATTAGTAGCTGTTCTTCCATTAAGTATCTGTAGGATAAAGCACGAGACTGAGGTTCTGCTGGGGAAAGAGAGACTGAAGAAAATAACCTGAGAAAATACCCTAAAATGAGAATATCCCAAAATTTCAGTAAGAAAAACCTTATATCATGTTTTCTTATGGGAAAAAAACCCTACTCTGGAAGAATAACCTGTTACAGGTTTAAAGAAAAACGTTCAGAAGAATAATCCTGTATATATTCAAAGCCGCCCCCGACTTTCAGACAGCAAGTTACATCAAAGAGATTTACTGTTACAGGTTTATAAAGTTTATTAATCAACTTCAGTAATACTTTAGTTTATTTTAAACAAATCCTACATAAATGTATATAATGTGTAAAACCTATATAAACTCGCTAGTAATGGGCATATCTTCCATATTAAACTCAGAATGCGTATATAATGTGTAAAACGTACATAAACTCGTTAGTAACGGACGTATCTTCCATATTAAACTCAGAATGTGTATATAATATGTAAAACGTACATAAACTCGTTAGTAACGGACGTATCTTCCATATTAAACTCAGAATGTGTATATAATGTGTAAAACGTACATAAACTCGTTAGTAACGGACGTATCTTCCATATTAAACTCAGAATGTGTATATAATGTGTAAAACGTACATAAACTCGTTAGTAACGGACGTATCTTCCATATTAAACTCAGAATGTGTATATAATATGTAAAACGTACATAAACTTGTTAGTAACGGACGTATCTTCCATATTAAACTCAGAATGTGTATATGATGTGTAAAATGTACATAAACTCGTTAGTAACGGGTGTATCTTCCATATTAAACTCAGAATGTGTATATAATGTGTAAAACGTACATAAACTCGTTAGTAACGGGTGTATCTTCCATATTAAACTCAGAATGTGTATATAATGTGTAAAACGTACATAAACTCGTTAGTAACGGGTGTATCTTCCATATTAAACTCAGAATGTGTATATAATATGTAAAACGTACATAAACTCGTTAGTAACGGGTGTATCTTCCATATTAAACTCAGAATGCGTATATAATGTGTAAAACGTACATAAACTCGTTAGTAACGGGTGTATCTTCCATATTAAACTCAGAATGTGTATATAATGTGTAAAACGTACATAAACTCGTTAGTAACGGGTGTATCTTCCATATTAAACTCAGAATGTGTATATAATGTGTAAAACGTACATAAACTCGTTAGTAACGAGTGTATCTTCCATATTAAACTCGGCCACTGTTACTCCTCTACTCGCTACATTAGGTGCAAACATACAGGCAGGATAAACCACTGATGATGTTCCAACCTGAAAAATATTTGGGGAAAGCCATGTCGATCTTTATAAAACGCATGGGGATTTCTTGTTTGGGCGAGAATGGCCCCGATTTGGCGAGTATGACCCAGGCTTGACGTGTATGGCGCTGGTTTGACGAGTATGATGCTGGTTTGATGAGTATGGCGCTGGCTTGGTGAGTATGGCACTGGCTTGGTGAGTGTGGCACTGGCTTGAAGAGTATGGGCTGGCTTGATTGCATCACCTTTTGCGTCACATAATTAAACATGACTTCTCGATATATGAGTGGATGATGAGTGGTGATTGGCTAATGAATTCTACAATTAGCTGAATGCTTTGGCGAAGTGGACACATTAGGCAAATATAATTCGGGCGATTGAAAATTTGGCCAAATAAATCAAACGTGTTTGATTCGGGCAAATCATTCTGCTGAATGACAGTGGACACATTAGGCAAATTTTGAGCCGATTGATTCGGCTGAAACATTTGGCTAGTGTGTCCACTGCTTAAGGAAAACTAAGATCCAGCCTAAATAATATAACCTGTTTTCCTTGTTTGGGGTAAACCATGGTAGATTGATGAAATGAAATGAAATGAAATGGGGTTTAGCGTCCTACTGTTCTGCTCCTATACTGGGCTAATGAAGACGGGCATACGCCATACAGTGTGCTATGAGGGAAATTTTGCCCGGGCAGCGGCACTATCGCCTACTCTTATATCGAATTCCAACTGCCAAGGGATCTTTTACGTGCATTCCAATGTATACACGGGACCTCGGTTTTTTGTCTCATCCGAAGGACTAGACAGCTGTCTTTGTCAGGCCCTCCGTTCTGCACCACTGACAAGGGGAAACCACGTCAGAGGTAGATTGATGAATATAGTGCTGGATTGCCATGTTTGATATCAGTGTTGGCTGAGAAAGTTCCTCCCGATTTTTCAATCCAGCCTCCCCTAGCAAGGAAAAGCGTCTAGTAATTCTGATGTCATGATCAACTTAATTAAACCATTGACAGTATATGAAAGATCCCCTGACTGATGGAAATCGATATAAGAGTAGGCTGTAGTGCCACAGTCTGGTCAAAATATACCTCATAGCACACTTCAAAAAAAGTAAAACATTAAATCTCATTTCATTTATTTAGTTAGGGAAACAAAACAGCAACTAGCCACAGCAATTATGCTCATTTGAATATTAATGAACCGTTATGGTTGAAATTAGAACAAATATCCCTGGCCCTGAGTTCACAACGTATTTTCTGACTTAAGTTAAGAATTTACTCAAAATTGTTCACTTTATTTTAACCAAAATATAGCCCTTTATAAAACTTTTGTTATGTTAATATGTCAAATACATCAATAAGAAACTGTGCAAAGTTTTGTGTTTCTGGATCAAAGATATTTCTCATAAACAGTGATTGAAAGTTAAGTAAATTCTTAAATTAAATCTGAAAATGCTTTGTGAACTCAGGGCCAGATGACTTAAAAATAAAATAATTATCTAATAGAAGTTTTTTACATCTATATAGATATTCTAGAGATATATTAAAGAAGTAAATTATAAGGCTATTTACCACTAAACACAGATCACATTTGTCAAGTTCTTCACCTGCCCTCTCTAAAACCTGTCTATCTAAAGCTTCTCCGAACCAAACAACATGTGGTCGTAATAATCCACCACAACCAGCTGTCTTACATCTACAAAACAGTCAAAAAAATAATTCTTTCTAATTCCAGGTTCCCACTATCACGATTCGTGCTACGATTGAAATCATGGTTTTAATTGTGGAGTAATCGTGGTGACCCTATCAGGTTCATTTGTAGCAAGCATGTCGAATGTATCGAAACCTATCTGCACGTAGCAGATCGTGGACTCAATTATAGGGACAATCCTATCGTAACACATTGGGCGACAGTGGAAACCTGGCATTAAGATTAAAATCAATGTAACAGTTTTCATTTAAACGCAGAAGGGGGTAGGGTGGCCAAATGGTCTATGTGTTGTGTTGAGGAAACCGGTAGGAGCCGGAGTAAAACAACAAGGTTGGACAGGCGACCCTTCTCCTTGTCACGTACAAGCGGGGAATCGAAACCGTGGCACTTGACTCAATAACAGACCTAGTGATTTCACATGCATGTGTTAAACCACATGAACACCTAACCCCTCCAAATCAAAATGAGAGTAGGCCGTTTAACTAATAGCATACTGCATGGTGTATGCCAGTCTTCATTAGCCCAGTTGGGGGGGTTGGGTGGCCGAATGGTTAGCACGTGCGTGCTGTATCATAAGGCCTGTCATTGAGTCAACTGGTGTGGTTTCGAATCCCCGGTTGTACGTGACAAGGAGTAGGGTCGCCTGTCCAGCCTAGTGGGTTTTCTCCGGGTCATCTGGTTTCCTCCCACTGCTAAAGACCCCTACGCACAAGCGAATTATTGAAATAAAATTAAACCATATGTTAGTCCCGAAATGACCTAGTTTGTGTCGAGTGGATGTTAAACCCCATTTCTCCCTCTCTCTCATTAGCCCAGTTGATGCATAAAAGTAAGACATTAAACCCCTTGTCATTTTTCTTTGTTTCTTTGTGATTATTGGTATCTTCTACAAGCCAACAAATGAACTAAATGTGCCATACATTAAAGATACATTATGGGAGATTAGATAAAGAGCTGGCAGTTCTCACTATGATAGTTAAAAACTAGATAATGTAAAGGGAATTTGCTGAAAATTTCAGTCAAATTGATCCACTCTGAATCAAGATTTTAGCGATTGAATTTTGGGTCTAGCCTCGATCATCATTACTAAAGTCAGTAGATAAAAAAACATAGTCTCGCTTATCCACTTTTTGATTTAATTATCAATGAGCGTTAAGCAGCAGATAGGATTCCAATCTAGAAAATATCGCAGGCTAGCGATGACATCAAGAGTTGATTTGAGGTGAGTAGATATTAATCTTTTATCTCTATACATTTTTAGATCTTTTACAAAATCTCTTGAATCAAAATTTTAGGTTTCAACTCTTTTTCATCAACAAAATCACCTGAAAGTCATAATTTTTGTAATATAGTGTCCAGATGATCAAGACTACCATACATTGTCCAGATAATCAAAGTTACACATCAAGTGACACTAGTGTCTAGGTAATCTGGATATACAGCCTATACAAGAATGGGGAGCTGCAGTGGCTGGCTAACCAGCAGGTCTCGAGTTTCATTTCTTTTATATAAGAATGGTTGGAAAGGCCAAAGAATCTAAAATGATGAATATTGTTACCTGGGTAATTTTTCTACCGGTATCTTAGCATCGACAGCAGAAGGATCTGGTTCCCTAGCAACAGAAAACAAAGCAATATATATGTATGTATTGAAGTGTCATACCTTTTTATGTTTATTTTATTATTAAAGGATCCTTTTATGGAATTAGAGTAAAACAATTTTGTTCGGGAAGCCAAGCTCGTAAATAAGATACCAGGCAATGTCTGATACAAATGAAATGAAACGGGGGTTTAACGTTCCACTGTTCTGCTCCGACTGGGCTAATAAAGACAGGCATACACCATACAGTGTGCTATGAGGGAAATTTTGCCCGGGCAGCAGCACTATGGCCTACTCTTATATCGAATTCCAACTGCCAAGGGATCTTGTAAGTGCATGCCAGTGTATACACAGGACCTCAGGTTTCCGTCCCATCCGAACGACTAGACAGCTGTCCCTCCTGCACCACTGACAAGGGGAAACAACACTGGAAAATCCTGATGAACTTTCTCAGCCAAAGCAATATCAAATCCAAATTTAGGGTGTTACAGACTCAATTCCTATGTTGTCCTGTTATTTTGTACGGCAATTAGTTTATTGTTTTGTAATGTGGTCCTATTCCGGTTCGCATCTTTTAAACACAAAATTAAACCTTTTCAATTTTATTAAATAAAAGCAGAATCTATACTTCTCAAAATTCTCGAAATATATACTTTGTGTTTTCGACTAAAATCGTGGATTTAGGACTTAAAAAGTTGGTCAACTAGCTTAGTGTCTGTTCTCAAGGGGAGATAACTGTAGACAAACAGTGTAAGTTTAGTATGGGCACACAAAGTTAAAGAGCCATTATTTTATTACCCTTTATCACGAAGAGCTTCACATATCGGACTATCATTATTCACGGCGACATCTTTACATTTCTCACATCTTGTTTTAAACAAATTACCTGCAAAATAATAAATCATAAACAGGGGCGGACTGGGTAGCTGGAGCCAGAATTCAGATTTTAGGCCAAATCAATTTTATTTCAGTTCTTCGAGGTATTCATAATACAATGAATACGGAAGAGAAAACCCACAAGGTTGGACAGGCGACCCCATTCCTTGTCAAGTACAACCGGGGAATCAAAACCACGCCAGTTGACTCAACGACAGACCTTATGATACTACGTACATGCGCTAACCACTCAGACATCCTCTGCCCTCCTCAGCTCCTGCGTAATGTATGTTTAAAAGGAGTTGTATTAATGCGTGTAGCTTTAAATCTAAATATAATTACACATGATACAATTATATGGCGACGTTTCTATACTTGTTCATGGTTTGTGAGCGTCTGATTAATTCTTACACACACGCATGTGCTTCGTTTCATAACTTTATTACTATGACCAAAAACCCGGGAAAATATGCCAATGTATACGACCATGTATATGACCATGTGACCATAGTGAGGCTTAGCCTGTTACACTTTACATGGTTATATATTTAGATCTAACAATTTCGACGTGGGTTCTCACTTGCCCGACAAAGACGATCGAAACTAAGTCTAAATGTAACCAGAATTAAACTTCAAAAGTATTTCATATAAATTGTGTCATGTGTTATTCTCATTAGGTTATTAAACATACATTATGCAAGAGCTAAATCTGCCTATTGCAGGTCTTTCTTTAGGACTGAAATGTTATCTAAATTATTAATTAGACATTAATTAACTTATCCAGGCTATAATCAACTCTCGAATGCATCAGATTTCTCCGATATTAAATAGATTAGAATGGTTCAGACAATTTTGATTTAATCTAAAAATGGAGGAGCTATAATCAACTCTCGAATGCGTCGGATTTCTACGATATTAAATAGATTAGAACGGTTCAGAGTGTTCAGACAATTTTAATTTAATCTCAAAATGGAGGAGCGAGACTTAGCTTCGAACAACCAGTATGGTGGTTGAAATTATTGCACACGTCTTGTCAAACCTTCAAAGGCTAATATCTTCACTTGCAATAGAGTAATTTGAATGAAATTTTCAAATAATTCATTTTACATGATCTATTTTTGAACTATTATAGCAAGAATGGCTAGTTCTTTATCTAAATCCTACATAATGTATCTTTAAACAATCTAAAAACAATTACCATGAAGTTCAATAATAGAATCTGAACCAGCTCTTTTATGTAGACCATCTATATTCTGTGTTATTACTGTCACATTACGATTTTGTGGTTTGAGTCTTTTCTCACATTCAGCAATTGCTTCATGAGCCTGCGACAGAGAGATATTAATGGTGTTTAACGTCCACTCGACACAGATTAGAGCACTTTGGGAATATTATTCACTAGATCTTCATGTGGTTAGTGATAATGATAAGGCCAGCTCAATTTTTTGTCATAGGTCACGAGATGTAAACTGGGCTAGCGCTATTCCTAACCCTGGACCTTACATAGCCTTAATGCTTACCCTAACCCTAACCTACAATCTCGCCAACAATCACGTGCCCAAAGCTTATTTACATCTCAACGACCTCAACAAAAATTGAGCTAACCTTAACAAATAGATTTAGTCTTCTTGATGTCTGATTGGGCATATCCCTGCTCGGACATTAGGAAATGTTTGGCATATATGGGTAAAATAGCATCAATGGGACTAAAAAATGATTCATTTTTTTTCAATAACATGCTTGCAGTGGGAGGAAACAGAAGAAAACAGGGGACCCTACATCTTTTCATGTACAACCGGGGAATCGAAACCACACCACCTAATTCAAGGATAGGGCTTATGATATAGCGCGCACGTGCTAACCATTCGGCCATCCAGTACCCCCAAACCCGAGAAAACAGCTAGGGACCCTACTCCTTGTCACGTACAAGTGGGGAATCAAAACCACGCCCCTTGACTCAATGGCAGACCTTATGATTTCACCCACATTAAAAAGATGTTTGAAACTGATTTCCTTGAAAAATTCATGGAACTAAAGTTCATTAATTTAGACAATGTAAAACTTACTGTACCAACAAATAGTTTTTTTTATTTTCACCTTATTTGGGTATTTTTACCTTATTTGGGTATTTTTTACCTTATTTGGGTGTTTTTACCTTATTTGGGTTAATACCTTATTTGGGTATTTTTTACCTTATTTGGGTATTTTTTTACATTATTTGGGTATTTTTACCTTATTTGGGTATTTTGAAGCCATTACTTCTCTTCTATAATGGTAAAATTCCCATACTAATGATGGATTTTCTGCAAATGCTTCTGGTGTTGCTAACGTCTGTTAGGAATAAATAGTATACTTTTAGTTCTTGGCTAGAATTGTATTACAATACGATCATAAACTAAACATGATTACGATAGCCTATATATAAAACAAGAAGGTTTCCCTTTTAAATAATGTATAATTCACCTTAAAGTAGCAAAGTATCCAAAGTCTTCGACATTAAAAATACAAATTATTTGTCAATTTAAATCAACACTAATGTTGTTATCTTACCGGGAAAAGATTGGCTTCTGATATCCAATATTTAAAACAAAATAAACCTTTTACCATCGGTACACAAATCATGTACCATAATGCGTTTCAGGGCCATTTGTAACAAGGAAGTCGAAGAACGTGGCTAGGCATACCCACAAGTCATGTCCAACAGTGACACCATATTCTTATCTGGAGAGCATGCACAATAAATACAAATGGTGTAGACTGGAATAACCAGATGCTAGAGATTGCCATACGATTGAGACTTCTGGCGTACTTCGCCAAACATAACTGATTTGAAATTAAATCAGTTTATGTACATTCATATTACATTATCATATGCATTTGTGTCAATTTCTAGGTCCAAAATATTAGCGATTGAGCTCCTTTACATTTCATATTTACCCTACTGTGTTAAATATGCCTTTATTCTATTGAATACTAAAACGGTTCTTGATTGACTACCTGGTTTTTTTTTATACATTTCATCTATGTGGTTACTTTACTACAATATGCTTACATTCATATTTCTTGTAACATATAGCAGATCATGACTCAAGCTGGCATTACACAATGGTTTCTCTGGGTTTTATTCCTGATTGTTTTCAAATTTGAGTGAAGTCTGTGTCACTACAGACCCGGGACTGTACAGCACAGTGAACGCTTCTGGCTACACCGCCCGGATCCATTCACTTTATTTGAATTGTGCGTTTGTTTGTGAGTTCTGCGTAATATGTCTTATCCGTATATTTGTGTTTGTGTAAATTATGTGTGGTGCAGTCCCCCTGCACTTACTATTACAGTGTTTTGTCCGATATATCTGCATGCAACATTTCTGAATCAAGGCATAAGGTGGGTTTTTCCCACTCTCTGGGTAAATATTTAGTCACATTTCTTTTCTGTGGTAATTGATTAGTTTTCATTGCTAAAACATATTTTATTGCAAAAATATTCTTTACAAAGGGATAAAAACGATTTACAACTTGACCCAAATTGATTACTGATTGGTGTTTACTTAACCGATTGTAACCAATCAACCAAGTTCGGCAAGGCTTGTGTTGCATAGCTTGAAAAATATGTGTAGATATGTTTGGAATAAACAAAAGAAATCGATCAACGTTAAAAGGGAATTTGCCATGACTGACTTCCGATCTCTTCTGGGGAAAACAACAAATATACCCCAAAATCTATAAAATTCTGACCCAAAAGATTTGTAGATGGATAGGATAATATATGTGACCCATCATAGCAGGCCTCATGAGAGGGGGGTGCAGCCGGTGTGTCGCCCCAGGGCCCATAAGAGTCTATGGGGCCCATGAATATCAAAGTTCAAAATTGAAGTGGGCAATTATGCATGAATTATATAAGTATGTACAAAAGTTTTCGCTTTATCGCAATCTGCTGGTGATATGACTAGTGTTGAAAAGAGGGGGGGGGGCAAAAAAGGTCTCTCCTCAGCAATTCTTTTTTCCTCTCAAGCACCCTACATGATAGCAATATGAGCCTTAAGTCTTTTATGAAATGTTCGAAAACGTTAAAATTGGCTTTCAACTTTGAACTTTATTACAAAAAAAGCAAAGAGTTTATTGCTGTAGCCAAGAATACGTGTATACAAATGTATACAGATATAAATAGAAGGCATTGTAAATTAAGTACACATAGATAACAATAAGGTAGAAATAACCCCACTTATTAAGTGCAAACTCCTATCAGGAAAAAAAACCCCCAACACAATATTCATTACTCACCCATATATTGCCAACTCCTATCAGAACCCCCCCCCCCCAAAAAAAAACCCCAACCCCAATACAATATGCATTAAACGATTTTAACTATACTGAGTTTTTTTATTATTGTCTCCGTGATTTAACCATTTGTTTTAGCTTGAAAAGACCAACAATAACGCAAAAAATATTTTCTACAGACAGAAATATAGGCAGGACAGAACAGCACAGCAGAAAGTGAAATTCATCTTTAACAGCCCTCATATTACAATATTTGCATAAACTTTTATCTCTTTCGATTTTATTACATTGCCTGGTTTCAATATTTAGTTGGAGAATACCACAACGAAAATGACATTAGTTTTATATTTTACTTGAATATTCGATTGGCTAAGAGTTTTGATTTGCAGATATTGCAAACTAATTTCTTTTTAATATTTATATTCGATTTCGAGATTTTTGTTCATATATTGTAAACAAGGACTTGAGATATCTGACTCATTTTGCTGTCATAGGTCACATACTGTTTAAAAACATTACAGCTTACCTGTGCTTGCCATTTTCTCCAATATCCGCCAGCACCTCTAAATGTAGGAACCCCACTTTCAGCACTAACCCCAGCTCCCGTTAGTATGACTATATTTTTAGCTTTAGCAAATTCTTTCCTGAAAGCAGTCATGTCGGAACTGGGCCGAGTCTGTAACGTAAAACATAATAAGACGACTACATATATACAATAACAAAGCGTATAAAAACGTATTTAATCAACTGTTTTAAGAATTGTGGACGAATTGACTAACGTACAGAAGTTAAAATAATATACTTCCACACAAAAGAAAATGAAATAAAATGGGGTTTAACGTCCCACTGTTCTGCTCCGACCGGGCTAATGAAGGCGGGCATATACCACACAGTGTGCTATTAGGGAAATTTTCCCCAGGCAGTGGCACTATGGCCTACTCTTATATCAAATTCCAACTGCAAGGGGATCTTTTATGTGCACGCCAATGTATACAAGGGTCCTCGGTTTTTCGTCCCATCCGAACGACTTGACAGCTGTCTTTGACAGGCCCCTCCATCCTGTACCACTGACAAGGGAAAACCACGTCGGAAAATCCTGATGAACTTTCTCAGCCAATGCAGGGATCGAACACCCGACCTCCAGAGTAGCGAGCAAGCGTCTTACCCACATACCCACAGTGGCTTCCCACCACACAAAAGGGACTGGAGATTATTTGGTTGAATAAAAATTTCTTTTTAGCCGAAATAGCAGCCCCGAAACGTTCTCATTTCCCAGGCCCTTTGTGTGGGGTTTTCAAGACAATTTAAAACACTGACATTTCGGTATTAATTTACCCCCCCCCCCCCCCCCCCCACATTAAATAAATGAAAAGATTTTCAAACCGACCGATCCAAGTAGCCTAAGTTTATGTATTATTATTGTTCTTAGTGTTTAATGTTCTCTTCAATCAGAGGTGATATCGCAGACAAGTCTTATTTTCATTATTTTAGTACAGGGGTCTTTCCTGTGGGAGGAAAGCAGAGTACCCGGAGTAAACCCACGAGGTTGAGAAGGCACCCCTATCTCCAAGCCACATACGCTCACACCAAATAAAAACATGTTAAGTCATAGACAGTATACAACCATAGACAGAGACAAGGCATAGACATATAGAATGACTCAAACTAAAAAAAGAGAAACACAGATATGAATTTATCAGTAGACTACACAGTGACTACACAATTGGGATCACATGGACTTAGTGTGCCATCCAAAATTTTGCGGCACACTTAGGAAGACTGGTTGAGAATCACTGCTCCAGACCACTAGGCCATCTTAACCCCCCTAGTTTATACATTCTAATACCTACTAATATATACTTACAGATTTTGCTGTCATATCAGCCATTTTATTGGTAAGTAATGGTCTTACTGAGCCTGTCGACAAATTGAAGATAGTGAAACAGTTAAAGCGAACAGCCAATCTGGTAGTCAAAACACTCATTTATAACTTTATTGTTGTAAATCCACACCTTCAGTCAACTATATCTAAAAGTAGTAACATGGTCATTATGACTTAAAGGAAAGTATTACCTGGTATATAGATAAAACGGATATAATATAATAGCAACAGAGAAATTGATATCCTGAGAGAGAGAGAGAGAGAGAGAGAGAGAGAGAGAGAGAGAGAGAGAGAAGCAGAGTTTGAGGTCCACTCCACACAAACTAGGTCATTTTGGGACTAACATATGCGTAGGGGTCTTTAGCGGTGGGAGGAAACTGGAGGACCGAGAGAAAACCCACCAGGTTTGACAGATGACCCTACTCCTTGTCATGTACACTCGGGGAATCGAAACCATGTCAGTTGACTCAATGAGAGAGAGAGAGAGATGGGGTTTAACCTCCATTCGACACAAACTAGGTCATTTTGAGACTAACATACGCATAGGGCTCTTTAGCAGTGGGAGGAAACTGGAGGACCCAGAGAAAACCACGAGGTTGGACAGACGACACTACTCCTTGTCACGTACAACCAGAGAATCGAAACCACGTCAGTTGACTTGTCAATGACAGACCTTATGATACAGCGCGCACATACTAACCATTTGGACATCCACCCCCTTTATGGTCAAGTACCATTCCTACGATAAAATACAACGTCTTGATTATCTATTTTTACATCAAATTATTAATCCACTCAATGTCACTGCCATCTGATTGTCTAGAGAGTTGATTATGGGCTTGTCGTGAATAAATGCATAATTAATGATTCATATAACATTTGAGACCAGAAATAAGCAGATTTAGCTCTTACTGAAATGAAATGAAATGGGGTTTAACATCCTACTGTTCTGCTAAAACTGGGCTAATGAAGACGGGCATATGCCATACAGTGTGCTATGGGGGGGTTGGATGGCTGAATGGTTAGCGTGCGCGCGCTGTATCATAAAGTCTGTCATTGAGTCGACTGGCGTGGTTTCGAATCCCAGTTGTACGTGACAAGGCGTAGGGTCGCCTGTCCAACCTTGTGGGTTTTTTCTGGGTCCTCCGGTTTCCTCCCACTGCTAAAGACCCCTATGCGCAAGCGAATTATTGAAATAAAATTTAACCATATGTTTGTCCCTAAATGACATAGTTTGTGTTGAGTGGACGTTAAACCCCATTTCTCGCTCCCTCTCTACAGTGTGCTATGAGGTAAATTTTGCGCGGACAGTGGTGCTACAGCCTACTTTTATATTGAATTCCAACTGCCAAGGGATCTTTTACATGCACGACTATGTGTACATGAGACTTGGTATAGGATTCTTCGTATCTGGAGTTTAACCCTGTATATAAATCTAAAGTCAATCAGATATTAACTGAAGCCACAAGCAATTGTGAACGACAGACAGAGATGGGTGTTGACAATACATGTATACAACCACATTTCTACTAGAGCCAGAAATATTTTTTTTATATGGATTAACATATCAAAACAACAAATTTTTTTATTCAATTTAATTTTATTTATTAGTTTATTGTTACTCCTGGAGATATAAATAAATCGAGATACCTCATTTAGGAAGTTCAGAGAGGAATTTTATATCAAATACAATTATCAAATACAATTTTATTGACATAGAAATGAAATGAAATGAAATGAAATGGGGTTTAACGTCCTACTGTTTTGCTCCGAACTGGGCTAATGAAGACGGGCATACGCCATACAGTGTGCTATGAGGGAAATTTTGCCCGGACAGCGGCACTACGGCCTACTCTTATATCGAATTCCAACTGTCAAGGGATCTTTTACGTGCACGCCAATGTGTACACGGGACCTCGGTTTTTCGTCTCATCCGAATGACTAGACAGCTGTCCTTGCCAGGCCCTCCGTCCTGCATCACTGACAAGGGGGAACCACGCCGGAAAATCTGGATGAACTTTCTCGGCCAATGCAGGGATCGAACACCCGACCTCCAGGCTAGCGAGCCAGCGCCTTACCAACTTAGCCATCGTGATCCCCCTATTGACATAGAAACAGGATGTTTAATTTAAAGATACATTAGCTAAACATACATTATGCAAGAGCTAAATCTGTCTTTCTTTAGGCCTGAAATCTTAACCAAATTATTAATTAGACATTAATTAACTTATCTAGACCATAATTAACTCACGTTGGCATAGCTAGCCTGCGACGTTTATTGGATTAGGTTCCGATTTGCTGTTCGACTTCCATTCATAATTTAATTATTAAATGGATAATCGAGACTATGTTTTTTATCTTTTTATCGTACCGACTTTAGTAATGATGCTCGTGGCTAGGTGGAATATTCAATTGCTAAATTCTCGGTTCATAGTGGATCAATTTGACTGAAATTTTCAGCAAATTCCCTTTACAGTATCTAGTTTTTAACTATTATAGTGAGAACTGCCAGCTCTTTATCTAATTTCCCATAATGTATCTTTAAGAGTTTTATAAAGAGTTGGCCATTCTTGCTATAATAATTCAAAAATAGATGATAACATAAAAGAAAATGTTGAAAATTTCAGTCAAATTACTTTGTTCTGAATGGAATTGTCAATGTTGGAGGTTTGGACTAGAAATAGTCATGAATTGTGTCTGCACCATCTATGGGAATTGGCGATCGTTTGATTGACAGATGATAACTCCACCCACATATTCTCGATTATCAAGTAACATGCTCAATGGCTATGGTAGCCTTGCTTGGCAGGCCTTTCATCGCCAGTTTCCGGTAGTGACATCAGCGACTAACGGTAAACGTTAGCTTGGTCCGCCATTTATTGATTTAATTTTAAATGGACGACTGTTTAAATCCAAACTGTATCCAAGCCATCCGTGGGTCTACAGAGTTGATTTTGAGCTTGTCGTGTAAATAAAGGTCTAATTAATAATTTCTATAACATCTGAAGCCTAAATAAAAACTGGCAATAGAGAGATTTAGGTCTTGCATAATGTATGTTTAATTTCCCCAGTATATAAATACAGGTTATAGATTACAGGGGCGGTCCAGGAATTTTTGCAGGAGGGGGTTTACCCGGTTCCTGAGAAAATGTATCCCTCCCCCCACTCCCCCTTGGCTTGAAATGTTTTGAGAAATACATGGTCTCTATCGTCATTTTGGTGTATATACATACACATTGATCTTTTTAAACAGAGAAATCCAATATCCTGTTTGACGTCAATTTTTATTATGAATTAATACGATGACATTATGATTCAATTTTATTGATGCAAAGCATTAATTGTGATATCACATATGTCTATATCATTATCTCGCGCTTTGAGTGCCCATCCTGTCACACCATCTGAGGATAAAGGATAGAGCACAATTATGACACTTTTCTCATAAAAAAGGTTGTTTTACAAAAACATGTATGTAGCTGAGCGGGGGGGGGGGGGGGGGGGGATTATATCTCCTACAAAGATCACAAAGCAGACATTTCAAGGGGAAATATGGGGGATTTCCCTTTTCATTCTGCTTTATTTACCATTACATGTATATACAGCCTGGCATTGAAATGGACAGGCTGACAAAATAACATATAAGAAAAACAATAATATTCAAATTCTAAGGATGTAAAAGATACATTATGTAAGATGTAAACAAAGACCTGCAATAGACAGATTTAGCTCTTGCATAATGTATGTTTAATATTTCATACAAATGACATTTTTTTATGTCCATTGGTTTTTAGTGTAGTTCACATGTACAAACATTATGTTGCAAAAATAAACAATCTGATACAAAATACAGGGGCCTGTTTCACGAAATTTTAAGTAAAATAAAATCCAAATTTTAGTAATTTGATTGGATAATATTAGATTGGTTTTAGTGCTTAGCCAATCAAAATTGAAGTATCTACTAAAATGTGATTTTATCTTTAGTTAAAATTTCGGGAAACAGTGCCCAGATCCATGTTGTTGTTGTTGTTGTTGTTGTTGTTGTTGTTGTTGTTGTTGTTGTTAGTGTTTAACGTCCGCTTCCACCGAAGGTGATATCGCAGACAAGTTGTCTTTTTTTTTATTTTCATTATCTTAGCGCACGCGCAGGGGTCTTTCCTGTGGGAGGAAACCGGAGTACCCGGAGTAAACCCACGAGGTTGAGAAGGCGCCCCTATCTCCAAGCCACATACGCTCACACCAGGGATCGAAACCACAACCGCAAGCCAGAGGTGACCGGCCAGCTAGAGGTCTGACCAGATGTAGTTTGGGGGGGGGGGGGGCGCCAGGGGCCATATGAGCGGCTTTTGATCCTATGATGTCAGACATTTGATTAACCAATCAGCATTGATGTTTCTAGTGGGTTACCCACAGTTCCGTGCACCTACCTCACGCAAAAACTCACAGTAACAGACCATTTCATTGCAATTGGCTAATCCCTCACTTCATCCAGAATGCGGGTTATATAACAACTCTTTCAGATCCTAGTTTAGTAAAGACAAGTATAACGAAATTTTGAACTATAAAAAACGAAACGAAATAGGATCTGTGTTTTAATTAGATTGCAAAACAAATTTCCTTCCTTCTTCAGATTAATAATTTGTGTGAAAGTTGTGTGTTCAATTCCTGAACTTATTTTATAATATTTCATGATTTATCAGAACACTTGGAATGACTAGAAATGCTCTCATAATATAATACAGCAGAGCCAGTACTGGATTGACCGAAAGGAAATGAAATGGGGATTAACGTCCTACTGTTCTGCTTCTACTGGGCTAATGAAGACAGGCATACGTCATACAGTTTGCTATGAGGGAAATTTTGTCTGGGCAGCGGCACTATGGCCTACTCTTATATCGAATTCCAACTGCCAACAGATCTTTTTCGTGCATGCCAATGTATACATGGGACCTAGGTTTTTCACCCCATCCAAACGACTAGACAGCTGTCCTTGTCAGGCCCTCCATCCTGCACCTCTGACATGGGGAAACCACATCAGAAAATCCTGATGAACTTTCTTGGCCATAAAACACCCGACCTCCAGACTAGCGAGCCAGCATCTAACCCACTTAGCCACTGTGTTACCCTTTACCTAAAGAAATGGCAGGCTGATGTCTAGGGCCTCAAGATCTTGGGTCCCCTGCCAAGGTGTATAATATTTTTGACACTACCTTTCTTACACCCACTGTATTCTTAAATATTCATCACCATCCTCGACTATACTCAATTGTGTTTAAGACATACTTTCACCTTCCTCTAATCGTGAGGGTGGGGGACTTGGAGGGGTCTTTGTTTTGTCTTGATGGTGGGAGATTGGGAAGGGTCTTCCTCTAATCTTGAAAGTGGTAGGGGATTTGGAGGGGTCTTCCTCTAGTTGTGCATCTTGTGGGTGGGGGATTGGGAGGGGTCTTATTCTAGTCCTGAGTGTGGGAGATTGGGAGGGGTCTTCCTATAGTCGAGAAGGTGGGGGATTGGAAGGGGTCTTCCTCTAGTCGTGAAGGTGGGAGATTGGAAGGGGTCTTCCTCTAGTCTTGAGAGTGGTTGGGGATTTGGAGGGGTCTTCCTCTAGTTGTGCATCTTGCGGTGGGGGATTTGGAGGGGTCTTCCTCTAGGAATGAGGGTGGGGTCTTCCTCTAGTCATGAGGGTGGGGGGGGCTTCCTGTAGCCGTGGGGGGTGAGGGATCCGGAGGTGCCTCAGAAGTGGAATAGCCCAGGGCCTCTCTTCATCCAAATCCAGCCCTGAGTTGAGCTCAAAATTCGATATTTTTAGTTATTCAGGTTTTTTTTCTGTCAACAGCTATCATTAACTTGTATTGACTAGATTTAATAATACATAGTCAGGACCAGATATAGCTTACACAGAGAACCTGGCTGAAAATGTTGTTGCATCAAAAGTTAAAAGGGGGCATATCAGGTCATTGTCCGTCACACTCACACAAATGCCATTTGTATGTCATGGTAGATTTATTTGGCAAAAACCTAATGAATAAAATAATTTGGGCACCTGGCAGTGACCCAGTCTGTAATCCCCTTAATCTGGGACTGACAGCAATACAGAACCAGTTTGTATCAAAGAAATCTTCTGTTTTTGTCTGAACACCGCCGCACAAAATATAAATTACACACATGTCTTGTCAAAACTTTTCACTGTTGATTAATGTTGAATACCACCACACACTTCTATATACACAGCTGACGCACACTTGAAACGATATGGGGTTTAAAGCACCACTTTTCTGCTCCAACAAGGCTAATGAAGACAAATGTATGCAATACAGTGTGCTATGAGTGAAATTTTGTCCGGAAGGTGATGCATACCAATGTGTAACAGAACCTTGTTTTTTGTCCCATGCTAACAACAAGACATTGTTGACACACACCAGATTAGGTCCTATCGGGAGTCTGAAGTCTTTTCTCTATTAATCCTGTATAAAGCCGCTGGTTGTATAATCTTCCTGTCTGATGAATCATATTGAATTATTGCACAAGTCATGACTACACATTGAATAAACCATTTTAGATACTGTAACATGTTATGGAATTTCTTACATGTTTTGGATGCTGCTGAGTGTTCTGATATTGCTACATGTTCAGAATATTGATATGTGTTTGGGATATTAAAGGTGTTGGAGAAACTAGTTCACAGCACTGCAATTACGTTAAGAGATTTCATCTTTAGAAACAAAAAAAAAAAAAAATTTGTTATTATGTAAAGTCACATATTGTTAGAATTCCACATAAAACCTCTATACACTCCTTTTCACCATGATCACAGATCAATCCAAGATGAAAACTATTTCAGTTCGTTTCTTCATGGTAATTTTTTTTAATTCTATAATGTGGCTAATATTCTTGTAAATGACACAAAAGACACAATAATACTCTGTCCAACGCCCCACACTAACGCATAAAACGGCATCATTTCAAAATCTGCAGCTCGATATAAACCTGCCACAGCAGCACCTGTAAATAACAACAACAATCTTTAAACATACATTATGGGAGATTAAATAAAGAGTTGGCAGTTCTCACTATAATAGTTAACCAGTGGCTGCAAGGCAAGATACGCCCACATTAAACAACCATATTAAAGATACCTTATGTGATATCAGATAAAATGAAATGGAGTTTAACGTCCTACTGTTCTGCTCCTAACCTGGGCTAATGAAGACGGGCATACGCCATACAGTGTGCTATGAGGGAAATTTTGACCGGACAGCGGCACTACGGCCTACTCTTATGTCGAATTCCAACTGTCAAGGGATCTTTTACGTGCACGCCAATGTGTACACGGGACCTCGGTTTTTCGTCCCATCCGAACGACTAGACAGCTTTCCTTGTCAGCCCCTCCATCCTGCATCACTGACAAGGGAGAACCACGCCGGAAAATCTGGATGAACTTTCTCGGCCAATGCAGGGATCGAACACCCGACCTCCAGGCTAGCGAGCTAGCGTCTTACCCACTTAGCCACGTGATCCCCAATATCAGATAAAGAGCTGACAGTTCTCACTGTAATAGTTAAAAACTAGAAGATGTAAAGGGAAGTTATTCTCTAAAGTTACGAGTAGATAAGCTGATTAAAGTGGCATTATGGGAGATAAGATAAAGAGCTGGCAGTTCTCACTATAATAGTTAAAAACACGATAATGTAATGGGAATTTGCTGGAAATCTGAACCGGGAATTTTGGGCCTAGTCTCAATCATCATTACTAAAGTCGGTACGATAAAAAACATAGTCTTGATTATTCATATTTTGATTTTGAGTGGCAGATCGGATTATAATCCAGTAAATATCGCAGACTAGCGATGACATTGAAAGTTGATTACGGTCTGGATAGGTTAATTAATGTCTAATTAATAATTTCGATAACATTTCAGGCCTAAAGAAAGACCTGCAATAGGCAGATTTACCTCTTGCATAATGTATGTTTGAGTGACATTTAGTGATTGAGAAACACATTAACATAACACAATTTTTAAGGGAGAAAATCACAGATTTTATTATATAAGCACCAAGTTTCCACAACGTACTTAATAACGACAAGAGGATACTTGTCGAAACTTCATGCTTTTAGAATAAATGAATTGATTTGTTTCCCATAAAAAATTGTATTTGGTACAATAACACACTTAATTTCACAGAAAGTGAGAGAGAAGTGGCATTCAACATCCACTATATAAATTTTCGGACAGATTTCTAATGCCACGTTCCCACTGTCCTGCGATGCGTGACGATATGGTTGTCCCTGTTGGGTCCACGATTTGGTATGTGCAGATACGTTCGGATACGTTTCGATACGATCAACACGATTATTACGACTGACCTCAATATATGATAGGATCATCACGATTACTCCCAATTAAAACCACAATTTTAATCGTAGCTCGAATCGTGATAGTGGGAACCTACATGTAGCATTAACAGTGTGACAAAATGGACAAAGACAGCAGAAAGCTTACTTGGTAAACTTACTTTCATAGAATTGCTAATTCACATAGATACATATAAAATCAATCTGATTATAATACAGATCTCTATTTCGTTTCGTTTTTTTTTTATACTTTCGATGGCCTACACTACATGAAGATCTGACAAGTTGTACTTGAAGATCGTGTCAGGGGGTTGTACGAGCGGCTTTTGACATAATGACGTCAGACATTGATTAATCAATCAGAGTTGATGTTTCTAGTGGTTTACCCACAGTTCCGTGCATGACACGCCAAGAAGTCGCCATAACAGACCGTTTCATTGGCTTATCCCTCACTTTAACCAAAACACCGGGAATATAACAACTCTTCCAGATCTTAGTATAGTAAAGACAAGTAAAACGAAATTTTGAACTATAAAAAACGGAACCAAATACATGTAGGATCTGTGTTTTAATCATATTGACTAAATGGTGTAGCCTTGATTAGTGCAGTAGGTGCAGATAATTAGATCGTTAAATCCCATTTCATTTGTACTAATCATGTAAAGAGAAAATAAATGAAGAGCCCCGGGGAAGAACGATGTAAGTCACCTTTTCAATGAACCCCAGTTAATGGCGCCATATGGTAGCAAATTGTATAAGCTTTCTGTGGAACAATCAATTTCAGGTAAAGATGATTGGAGTCACATCGAACCAAGGCCCTTCTTAAATGGCCTTCCAGACAAATACGTCCATCGTACCCTTTATTTGACCTTAATTTGGCTGAATAGTGGAAGTCAGTTGTTGTACTGGTAATTATGATTCGTATTAAACATCATTTTGAAGTTGTAATTAAACCCAGTCGTTGTTCTGGTCATGCCAAGCATTCTCGTCCAAAAGTTTGTTTTGCCTTTTATGCGAAAAGACAAAAATGTGACTTAGATCCTTCTTCCCCTGGACTCTTCAAATGATTACTAACTTGTGACAACTCCTCCAGTTAATGGAGACAGAACACCCATGGCTAAAACACCGGCTGGTATCCATCGACCTATCTTATGTTTCCTTAATCTACAGAATGCAATCAGTGCTGCTATAATATGTACAAACATTGACGAAAACAACGCCCATAAAAATACTTGATACCACATTTCTGAAAAGACAGGTTTACACAGCTAATTTTTTACAAATTTCAAAATGAATGGATTCTTTTATTTCTAGTTTGAAAAGAAATTTCATCAACTCTGGAATGGTTATACATTATTTTGCACACAATTCATTCTTTCAAATTTTAATGTGAATGTTAGAAGAACTAGGCAAAGAGTTTGATGCAAATTTAGCAAGTTCTCTAACGGCTTTATGATGAAAATTTCTGAATAAAAATGTTAAGTGTATATCCTATTATTTCCAATTTGAGAAGCTATTTGAATGAAATGTTTGTACATTGTTTCAAACACAAACTACTGCTATTGAATTTCATCAAAAGTGCCACAATGTAATAATTGTTCAATAAGTCACTAATTAAGTGGAGTTACTTCCCTAGAAATAGATCTACTATCAAAACATATCTCAAATTAACCCTAATATACTCACCCCCAAAACTGTTCAAGGGATCATTTGGTGACAAACCAATTACATTCAACACAGAATCAAGATCTTCAGTTTTGAAATCATTCACAGCAGACGACATTTTAATTTAGCGATCTGTATCCACTTTTTAGGGGCCTACTTTAGTGCTCAGACATTTTCCATTAGGAATTCAGAAACAAGGCGCTAGGATACAATAACTTAATCTGTTATGTTATTGTAAGATTACCATATCTCCAGTACGTGTCCAATTTTTAAAGTTTCCTCTTTACTGATAAATACACAGTCAAACAATTTCACTCGGAATCTTTGAACATAACAATTGACCATTCTATACACTTAGCTATTATCGTATTGTTAAAATATTAAATCATAAATAACGATAACATATTTTCATTTCGTCTTAGTCTTAAGGGTTATTTCACTTAAGACCCAGGATGCAATCCTTGCAGTTATGCCCGACTATGTTTTGCATGGACTTATGATTTAGCTCGATTTATAAATTGACCTCTCGGCGTATTGGCATCTGAAAATTCTGACAGATCTTGGCATACCATCTTGGCCTTTCATTTCTTCTTACTCATTTGTTCTTTGTCTGGTTAAAAGACACTAGTGGGGTGGAAGAAAAGATGATGGTTATAATATAATTTCCAGTGACCATGAAAAGGTTTGTGAATGGCATATAGAGACAGAGACCTATGTCGCTCACACTCAATGACCTTCAGTTGTTCGCACCTTGGCATACTAAAAATTACCCTTGAAGTAAAAACAGAAAAGCCTCAAAAGATATCATGTAGGAACAACATGGGATGCACCACGCAAAGAAGACTGTAGCTTGCATGTATGTACTGAAAAAGTATTACAAATGCAGCAAAAGATATGTTTTTTACTTATGGAAATATTCTCTTATGCAATTGGAGATCACATCAAATAGTGGTAACTGTTTTAGAATTGCTTATTGCTCAGTGTTAAGTTCAGCAGGTAAATTGACAAGTGTCAACAGACCCAGTCAACTGACTGCACTATCAATATCACAACTATCATTTGACTACATGTACGTCCCAACACTAACTACTAGAGGCTACAGCCACAGGTCTGTTCGATATTAATGTAGGCCTACTGACAGTCACAAATTCCAATATTGACATTAAACTAATACACAGGGTATACAAATATCAACAGATTAAAAGAAAGTATTTTTTACTGAGGCATTTACTTACTACTTGTTACATAAAATCATAATGAAAAAGCTTTGTTTTTATTTTGCGTGGAGTGATAAACCGGAAGTAGAACTTTCGTGGAATAATACAAATTGCAAATTGTAAATTATTATGACAAAACGAAATAGAATTGTGTGTAATTTCACAATTTCTATTCACCATACTCTAGATCTAACTAATATTTGTGTTAGAACGGTTTCAGAAAACATAGTCTGTCTCTTTTAAGATTGTATCAATGTAGAAAAAGGTATATATATTTATTTTCGTTTTCCACTATATTAGAATTCAGAATTTTAATAGTCAAATTTTCTTACAGCATTACAACCCTACTACAAATCGAAGCACGACAACAAAGTATTTTACGTAGATTGGGAATTCTTTTATAAATATTTTATTAGAGACTAGTTTAGCAACTGATCATCAGCTATGTCTGACGAAGAAGATTATGATTCTGAAGAAGATGTAGATTATGTACCACAAGGTATAATGTGTTAATGTTATTAGAGTGACGACACCACTGCACAGATCCCAGCATTGGCCTTGAAAGTTCATTCAGGTTTTCCGGCGTGGTTTCCCCCTTGTCAGTGATGCATGATGGAGGGCCTGACATGGACATCTGTTTAGTCATTCGGATAGGACGAAAAACCGAGGTCCTGTGTACACATTGGCGTGCACATAAAAGATCCCTTGGCAGTTGGAATTCGATATAAGAGTAGGTGGTAGCGCCCTTGCCCGGGCAAAATTTCCCTCATAGCACACTGTATGGCGTATGCCCGTCTTCATTAGCCCAGGTTATGAGCAGAACAGTAGGACGTTAAACCCCATTTCATTTCATTTACAACTGCACAGTACAAAATAAGGGCTTTTTTTAGGGGCTTGGGTTTCCGTTGTTGTATAATGGGTAGCTGCCCCTGTTTGTGCAGCAAACACGTTATAATAAATAAATTGAAGCTGGGTTGAACGCTCCACTGTTCTGCTTCGACTGGGCTAATTAAACAGGCATACGGTGTGTGCTTTGAGGGAAATTTTGCCTGAACAGTGGCGCTAAGGCCTAATACTCTTATATCGAATTCCAACTGCCAAGTCTTCTTTTCAGTACACGCCAAAGTGTAGATCGGACCTCAGTTTTTTGTCCCATCCGAATGGCTGTACGTTTGTCCCTTGCCAGACCCTCTTTCTGCACCATTGACAAGCCTAGAATAGCAACGAACACAGTAAACCTGAATGGAATGAATGAAACATCCTACTTTACTGGTCCAGTGTTAACTGGGCTAATGACAGTGTGCTCCACATATTCAAAAACATGCTCTTTTAAAGTTGAACATACTTCTTCGAATGTTCACGCTCAAATGACAATTTCTCAAGTGATTACATGACAGAAACACAGCATGTGCATTGTGGGCAGTAGCTTGTATTAAAAATAGCCATTGCATGTGACATCGTCTACTACATCTATCAACTAGATAATATTAAAGTCCTAAAGAATCTACTGTTATGGTACCGATTCTGAATTACAGTAATATTTAACTTGTTGGTTGTTAGAGAAGATTTAGAAAATTAGATCCTTTTTTTTTTTTTTTTTCAAATTTGGGGGGGTTGGATGGCCGAATGGTTAGCACGTGCAAGCTGTATCATAAGGCCTGTCATTGAGTCAACTGGCGTGGTTTCGAATCCCCGGTTGTACGTGACAAGGAGTAGGGTCGCCTGTCCAATCTCGTGGGTTTTCTCCGGGTCCTCCGGTTTCCTCCCACTGCTAAAGACCCCTACGCGCAAGCGAAATATTGAAATAAAATTAAACCATATGTTAGTCCCGAAATGACCTAGTTTGTGTTGAGTGGACGTTAATCCCCATTTCTCTCTCTCTCTCTTTTTTTCAAACTTAATAAAGTGGCACTGGGCAATACAATTTAATTAACAAAGGGTTACTGAATCCAACTCAGGCATTAAGATTAAATAATGAAACATTTTGTAAAACCTGCTAGACCGTTGAAGCTGGCGAGAGTGTTTATATAGGCCAGTGGGTAAGTCAGACGAAATACAACCGTAGACAGAGACTAGTCACAGAGACATAGAGTGACTCAAACTAAATAAAGAAAAACACAGCCATCAAGTTATCAGTAGACGCCAGTGAATACTCATTTGGGATCACATGTTTTTTCACATTTTCTTAGTGTGTCGTTCAAAATTTTGCGGCACACTGGTTGAAAATCACTGATATAGGCTGTCATCCAAGAGAACGTCAGGATTGAAACATGGCTTTCGTCTACGCAAGAACAGAGTATCGGTACTATAACTAGTAGTATTTTCCCTTTGCTTTTACAAGGTTCTTCAAACATTCTTTAACTTTTCTTATAGCTGAGTTGTTATCTATATTTTACAGCTGAGGATGTGAGTGAAGAAGATAATTCAGGTGATGAAGAAGATTTGTCTGTCCTTGGAATAACAGATAATATAACTGGTTCTCGGAGAAAGAAACCATCAAAATCTAAAAAGGATGATTTAGGTCCACGGTAAGACTACTAGTGGTACAATCTCTCTCTCTTCAAAATACTGAATTAGCTCAAAATAATGTGAGCGTACGGTAATTAATGAACATTACAACTGTCACTCTTCTCTTGGCCTTTTTTTTAGGGGGTTGGATGGCTGAATGGTTAGCGCGCGCTGTATCATAAAGTCTGTTATCGAGTTGACTGGAGTGGTTTTGAATCCCCGGTTGTATGTGACAAGGAGTAGGGTCGCCTGTCCAACCTCGTGGGTTTTTCTCCGGGTCCTCCGGTTTCCTCCCACTGCTAGTTTGTGTCGAGTTGACGTTAAACCCCATTTCTCTCTCTCTTTCTCTTGGCCTTTTCAAATTAGTTGAACAATAAAAGTTTGAAAATGTTCCAAACCATTCTCTAATATACAGGTCACAATTCTATGGAATATGAATACTGCTTATCGATAAGGGACAAGAGAAGCCTAGTCGATACGTCGCTCAGTAAAAAGCAGTAATTGTATTCCATAGAATTGTGAACTATATATTCAAGATCAGTTACAAAATTCCATTGGAACAATTCATTCTCTAAGTGGGGTTGGATGGTCGAATTATTAACATGTGTGCGCTGTATCATAAGGTCTGTCATTGAGTCAACTGGTGGGGTTTCGATTCCCCAGTTGTATGTGACAAGGAGTAGGGTCGCCTGTCCAACCTTGTGGGTTTTCAGTGGGTCCTCCGGTTTCCTCCCACTACTAAAGACCCCTACTTGCAAGCGAATTATTGAAATAAAATTAAACCATGTGTTATTTCCGAAATGACCAAGTTTGTGTCGAGTGGATGTTAAACCCCATTTCTCTCTCTCTCTTTTTCTGTTGTTTACTTGTTAATTGTCTAGTGTGTCACTTTAAATCGTATCTCAACCTCGGAAATGTATATTATGTATATTTCAGGAAAAGACAAGGAGGAATAAAACTAGAAAATGAAGAATGTAACGAGGAAGAGAATACAACAAAAGACGAAGAAAATTTAAAATTAGCCAAAGAAATAGCCAACGAAAAAGTTGCGAAAAAAGTTGAACAAGAGAAGAAAAGAGCAGACGATTTGTGGAGTAGTTTTTTATCAGATGTAAAACCGCCACCTAAACGTACGCCATCATCTCCTGCAACACCAACGATATTAAAGGTTTTTGTTTCTCACATAATGATTTTAACCCTCTTCTTTAAAGTTGCAATTGCAAATTTTCAAGTTATATTTTCAAAATGTATTAAAATAAAGCCTTAAAATAGATGGTATCCATAAACAGTCCTACCTTGTTAAAGAATAATCCTATTAATCCTATAATTCACTATTGCCAGCTGAGAAATTGGCAAAAATATCATTTTTAACTTCAAATTCCAACTTTGGAAAATCGCTGCCCCGTGTTGTCAATAGCAAACAGGGGAGGTAATTGTGTTATTATTTTCTGTGTCATAGATTTTTAAGGGTGGTAAATAATGCCCATGATCGTATAATAGTGATTTGATAACCTATTGAGCAAAAGACATAGAAATAATTATGTTTTGACTTTCTTAGAAAATTTGAAATTCTCGCTTTAAAGTAACAAGGGGGTGGGGGATGGCCAAATGGTTAGCGTGTGCGCGCTACATTATAACGTCTGTAATTTTAGTCAAGTGGAGTGGTTTCGCCTGTCCAACCTCGTGGGTTTTCTCCGGGTCCTCCGGTTTCCTTCCACTGCTAAAAAACCCTATGCACAGTTGAAATTATTGAAATAAAATTGAACCATATGTTAGTCCCGAATTGACCTAGTTTGTGTCGAGTGGACGTTAAACCCCATTTTACTCTATCTCAATCTATCTGGTTTATTTTATTTTAATCTACTTCTTTGATGTTTTCACCATATGTTTGGCGCAATATAGCCCGGTCGGAGCTGACATGCCATAAAACAACATTTCATTTTATTTATTTGATGTTTTCTTTCCATAGAATAACAATGGTGCTACAAGTGTATCGGCCAGCGCCAGTAAAAAAGAGGAAAACCCTGTTAAAACCATGAAAATTACAAAAGTTTTTGATTTTGCTGGAGAAGAAGTCAAGTAAGTATACCCCATGCTTAGTTGGATTTGAGGAGACATCAACTTCAGGTGACTGTAGTAAATAGCCAAACTTGTGCTCATTAGGTCTGTAATTTGAGTGGTTTCGATTCCCTGCTTGTATGTGACAAGGTGTATTGTCTCTTGTTGAACCTTGTGGGGTTTCTTCGGTTCCTCCAACTGCTAAACTGTTAGTCCCGAAATGACCTAGTTTGTGTTGAATTGAACTTAGTCTCTATCATCTAGAAAAATATTCTATGAATATAAGTCTGGATCCGTTGTCATTATTTGAGATTAATAGGTCATTGGCTAAATTATCTGGTCTTTTATATTATCATAAACAAAGTCTAAGGGAGGTAACTAGTCCAAAAACAAGATGTCGACATCCATGAAATTAATTTAAGAATGCCATTTCAGAAAATCCATTTGATTGCATTGCCAGTTCAATATCTAACACACTATATTTTTTTAAATTAATCCTATTTCGTCATCACGATTCATGTTTGTTTATAATAATAATGCAATAATTATGGAATTTATTGCGGAAAAGAATGGCTCTACTCTTACTGGATAATCAACCACATAACTCTCGGTTACGCATGGGCAATGGAACTTTTCGTCAAATATTGACAATGGTCCCAGACCCTCCGTACGCAATCTGGTTAAAACACAGATCCTATTTTGATTCGTTTTTTATAGTTCAAAATTTTGTTTTACTTGTCTTCACTACACTAGGATCTGGAAGAGTTGTTATATTACCAGCGTTTTTGTTGAAGTGAGGGATAAGCCAATGAAACGGTCTGCTTACAGCAACTTCTTGAAGTGCCATGCACGGAACTGTGGGTAAACCACTAGAAACGTCAACGCTGATTGATTAATCAATGCCTGACATCACAGGGTCAAAAGCCACTTATATGTCCCCTGACACAACCTTATAGTACAACTTGTCAGATCTTCATGTAGTGTAGGGCATCGAAAGTATAAAAAAAAAACCGAAAAAGAAATCTAGATCTGCATTTTAATCAGATTGTTTCGTATGCTGGGGGTTTGGGTGGCCGAATGGTTAGCACGTGCGTGCTGTATCATACGACCTGTCATTGAGTCAACTGGCGTGGTTTCGAATCCCCCGTTGTACGTGACAAGGAGTAGGGTCGCCTGTCCAACCTCGTGGGTTTTCTCCGGGTCCTCCGGTTTCCTCCCACTACTAAAGACCCCTACGCGCAAGCGAATTATTGAAATAAAATTAAACCATATGTTAGGCCCGAAATGACCTAGTTTGTGTCGAGTGGACTTGAAACCCAATTTCTCTCTCTCTCTCTGCTTCGTATGCTGAAGACTAGGAGGTTCTGGGTGACTGAGACTAAACTGAACTTAAACCACATTGACATCTTTTTATTTAGCTTATAGATTTTTTATTTCAGAATTACCAAAGAAGTTTCAACTGATTCTAAAGAAGCTCAAAAAGAATTGAAGAAACAAGAAGAATCAAAGACTGGTGTTACCTCCCCTTCTGTTCAAAAAGATACTGGTTCAGTTTTAAGCAATATGTGAGTTAGGCCACACAAAAAAATATTATGGTTCTCAGACAATCCTTCCCAAAAAATTCTCCTCCAACTGGGCTTATGAAGACAGGCATATGCCATACAGTGTGCTATGAGGGACATTTTGCACGGGCTCTTATATCAAATTCCAACTGCCAAGGGATTTTTTACGTGTATGCCAATGTATACACGAGGCCTTGTTTTTTCATCCCTTCTGAACGACTAGACAGCTGTCCTTGTCAGGCCCTCTGTCCTGCACCACTGACAAGTGGAAAACACGTCAGAAAATCCTGATGAACTTTCTCGGCCAATGCAGGGATCGAACACGCGACCTCCACTTTAATAAGAGAGTTTTTCTGACATGCGTTTAAATCTATAAACTAATTTATATTTATATTTCTGATCTATTTAAGAGGAATCAAAAGACCTGCTGCCGGAGGTGGATTGGGAGGTGTATTAAATAAAATTGGAAAAAAACAAAAAATAAGCGTTTTGGTATGTATAATAACTATATAACACTGTTAATATGATACAGACTCGATGTATCTGGCTTCGTGACTAAAATCGGGGGTGGGGGGATAGCAGAATGGTTTAGCATGTGTGCTTTATATTAGAAAGTCTGGTTTTGATTCACTGCTCGTACCGGACGGGGAGTAGGGTTGCCCGCCAATCTTTTTGGCTTTTTCCGGGTCCTTGGGTTTCCTCGCACTGCAAAAGAGAGGAGAGAGACGGAGGTGTTAACATCCACTCAACACAAACTAGGTCATTTTGGGACTAATTTCATCTCGTGGTCATAGAGGAAAATATCTTTTAATGAATACAAAAGAATCTATAGTTTGTCTCAATTCTAATTAAGTCTTTTTTCTTTTTCTTTTTTTTTTATAGGATAAATCGAAAATGGACTGGAATTCATTTAAAAAAGAATATATAGTTTGTCTCAATTCTAATTAAGTCTTTTTTCTTTTTCTTTTTTTTTTTATAGGATAAATCGAAAATGGACTGGAATTCATTTAAAAAAGATGAGGGTATCGAAGATGATTTGAAATTACACAATAACAGTAAAGAAGGGTAAGGAATATGTCTTGTATTCTCTGAGATCTTGACCTGTTGTCAAATATACAGGTTTATGGAATTGGATGCCTTTGTACATTTTAACTTATAACATATTGTAGCAGACGACCGATGTCTAGGCTAGTCACATTTTTTCCGAATGCTTCTTTGTATTTAGGGGGGTTGGATGGCTGTATGGTCAGCGTGCGCGTTGCATCATAAGGTTTGTCATTGAGTCAACTGGCGTGGTTTCGATTCCCCAGTTATACGTGACAAGGAGTAGGGTCGCTTGTCAACCTCATGGGTTTTCTCCGGGTCCTCAGTTTTCCTCCCACTGCTAAAGACCCTAGTTAATTAGTCCCGAAGTGACCTAGTTTGTGTCTAGTGGAGGTTAAACTCCATCGTTCTCTCTCATCTTCAGTTTTAGTTTTTGCTTTGTTTTATATAAACAAGAAACAGATAAGTATTATTCAATTAATTGTTGCACAAAATATAATCAGCTGTACACTTGCAAGAAATTTCCAACAATGGTGGTATGTTGAAAAAATGGAAATTTCGAAATTTCTTTTAAAATACGTAATTGTGTTCAACACTTGGCAGTGCCGTTAAAGATACATTTTGGGAGATTAGATAAAGAGCAGACAGTTCTCACTATAATAGTTAACCAGCGGCTGCCAGGCAGGATACGCCCACATTTTCGAGAGATGGATAGAGAACAAGCTAACAAGAAAGTGATTTTTCCTACAATCAATGGCCATAATTCAGGAAATTACAATTCGATATTTGCATATATCGAAAGGAACTGAGATCTTTGTGTTATAAACTTACATTTCAACAAAATCGGATAAAAATTGTGACCTCTATAGGGTCCACAACCTTGATATACCATATTTTTACGCTATTTGAGAACGAACGGCGGCCATTTTGTCTGTCAATTTTGGGGGCGATTTTCACAAAATTCAAACTCAACTGTCCTTAGGGTGGAACGGTAATATAATAATACGTTTTTTTAAATCGGATAAAAATTATGAACTCTAATGGGTCCACAAGCTAAAAACATGATTTTTCGTACAATCAGGGGCCATAATTCAGGAAGGTACGGTCCGATATGGGCAAATATTGAAAGGAACCGAGATCTTTGGGTTATAAACTTATATTTCAAGTTTCAACAAAATCGGATAAAAATTGTGACCTCTATAGGGTCCACAACCTTGATATACCATATTTTTACGCTATTTGAGAATGAACAGCGACCATTTTGTCTGTCAATTTTGGGCCGATTTTCATGAAATTCAAACTCAGTTGTCCTTAGGGTGTAACGGTGATATAATAATACGTTTTTTTTAAATCGGATAAAAATTATGACCTCTATAGGGTCCACAAGCTAAAAACGCGATTTTTCGTACAATCAGGAGCCATATTTCAGGAAATTACGGTCCGATAAGCGCGAATATCGAAAGGAACCGAGATCTTTGGGTTATAGACTTACATTTCAAGTTTCAACAAAATCGGTTAAAAATTGTGACCTCTATAGGGTCCACAACCTTGATATACCATTTTCTTACGCTATTTGAGAACGAACGGCGGCCATTTTGTCTGTCAATTTTGGGCCGATTTTCACGAAATTCGAATTCAGTCGTCCCTAGGGTGTAACGGTGATATAATAATACGTTTTTTTAAATCGGGTAAAAATTATGACTTCTATAGGGTTCACAAGCTAAAAACGTGATTTTTCGTACAATCAGGGGTCATAACTCAGGAAGTTACGGTCCGATATGCACGAATATCGAAAGGAACCAAGATCTTTGGGTTATAAACTTACATTTCAAGTTTCAACAAAATCGGATAAAAATTGTGACCCCTATAGGGTCCACAACCTTGATATACCATATTCTTACGCTATTTGGGAATGAATGGCGGCCATTTTGTCTGTCAATTTTGGGCCGATATTCACGAAATTCAATCTCAGTCATCCTTAGGGTGTAACGGTGATATAATAGAACGTTTTTTTAAATCGGATAAAAATTATGACTTCTATAGGGTCCACAAGCTAAAAACGTGATTTTTCGTACAATCAGGGGCCATAATTCAGGATGTTACTGTCCGATATGCGCAAATATCGAAAGGAACTGAGATCTTTGGGTTATAAACTTACATTTCAAGTTTCAACAAAATCGGATAAAAATTGTGACCTCTATAGGGTCCACAAGCTAAAAACGTGATTTTTCGTACAAACAGGGGCCATAATCCATGAAGTTTCGATCCGATACATGCCAATATCGAAAGCAGCCGAGATCTTTTGGGGATAAACCTATATTTCAAGTTTCGTCAAAATCGGATAAGAATTGTGACCTGTAGAGAGTCCACAAACAATTGTGGACGGACGGACAGGGGCGACGGCATAATACGTCCACATGAAAATGTGGTCGTATAAAAACTAGATAATGTAAAGAGAATTTGCTGAAAATTTCAGTCAAATTGATCCACTCTGAACCGAGAATTTAGCGATTGAATATTTGGCCTAGCCTTGATCATTACTAAAGTCGGTACGAGAAAAATCATAGTCTCGATTATCTATTTCATGATTAAATCATGAATGAAAGTTGAGCAGCAAATAGAATGCTAATCGCAGGCTAACGATGACATTGAGTGTTGATTATGGTCCGGATAAGTTAATTAATATCTAATTAATAATTTAGATAACATTTCAGGCCTAAAGGAAGACTTGCAATCGCCAGATTTAGCTCTTGCATATTGTATGTTTAATTCTAAAAAATTTAATTAATTATGGAAAATTTAATTATAAAAAATTTAATTAATTCTAAAACATTTACTTGTAATTTTAAAAAATGTACTTGTAAAGACGTGAAAATTCAACGACAGTCAGTTCTGCACATTTCATTTAAATTATTATTTATTTTTTTGTTGGAAAATCTGTCATTTTTATACACCCAAATACAAACAACAGCTTCTGGCTGAATATGATTAATGATTAAATCTGTACTATGTATAGGTGTTGATTTTAATTACAAGTTCATTTCTACATTATTGAATATCCACACTAATTTTAATATAGTAATAAAAGTCAGGGAATTCTTAACAATAGCTTAATTTACGTCTGGGAGACATCTGTCAATGTACAACATGCTGACTGCATAATTAGAAATCTGTTCAAAGAAATCTGTATAAAAATTTTAGTAATGAATCAAGTTTCCGTTCTGTAATCAATAAAATGTCTAAACATTAAATACCTGATTCTTACAATGGCTATGGTGGGACTTAGGTTAAGGATTAAATACTGTAGCAGATGTGTAAATATTGTTCATAAACAAGTGATAAAGTGAAGTGTATATTAATTCTAATTGATTGAACTTGTATTGCCCCCAAATCCTGCTTGTAAAGCTGCTCTATGGCGCTTGTATAGCCCACAAATCCTGCTTGCAAAGCTGCACTATGGCACTTGTATAGCTGTTTTATGGCGCTTGTATAGTGCCCAAATCCAGCTTGTAAAGCTGCTCTATGGCGCTTGTATAGCGCCCAAATCCTGCTTGTAAAGCTGTTCAATGGTGCTTGTATAGCGCCCAATTCCTGCTTGTAAAGCTGTTCTATGGTGCTTGTATAGCCCACAAATCCTGCTTGTAAAGCTGCTCTATGGGGCTTGTACAAAATCAAAATAATTATGGTTATAAAGAATACAGTGTAAAACAATATAGTTAGAATATCATAAAAGGGGGTTGGATAGCCGAATGGTTAGCGTGTGCGCATTGTATCATAAAGTCTGTCATTGAATCAACTGGTGTGGTTTTGATTCCCCGGTTGTACGTGACAAGGACTAGGGTCGTCTGTCCAACCTCGTGGGTTTTCTCGAGTTCCTCCTGTTTCCTCTCCTGCTAAAGACCTATTTGCGCAAGCGAATTATTGAAATAAAATTGAACCAAATGTTAGCCCCGAAATTACCTAGTTTGTGTTGAGTGGATGTTAATATCTCTCTCTCTCTCTCACTCTCTCTCTGTGTTTAGTATTTGATTGTCCCCCACCTTTCGAAGAAAGCAGGGGACTATTAAAATGGGTTTGTCCGTCTGTCTGTCTGTCCGTCACACTTTTTGGGACACAATAACTCTCTTTCTAATTGAGCTAGAATGTTCAAACTTGGTGTAGGTGTTTATTAGGTCAATACCTTGATGGAGTTCGAAGATGAGCATTTTCCGCTTAGGGTAAGTGGAGATAAGCAATTTGATTGGTTGATGCTTAGGGACACGATAACTTTAGTTCTAATTAAGTGAGAGTGATGAAACTTGGTGTATAGTTTCATTACATCAATACCTTGACTAAGTTCGATAATGAGCAATTTCTGCTGAGGGTAAGCAGAGCAATAAGCAATTTGATTGGTCGAGACTTTGGAACACAATAACTCTCCTTCTAATTGAGGTAGAATGTTCAAACTTGGTGTGGGCATTCATTAGGTGAATCCCTTAATGGAGTGCAATTATGAACATTGTCTGCTTATGGTAGGCAGAGATAAGCAATCTGATTGGTTGATGCTTTAGAGGCACGATAACTTTGGTTATAATGAAGTGAGAGTGATGAAACTCTGAATATAGATTCATTATATCATTACCTTGACTAAGTTCGATTGTGCGAATTTTCTGCCTGGGCTAAGGAGCGATAAGCAATTTGATTGGTCAAGACTTTGGAACATAAAAACTCTGCTTTTAATTGAGCTAGAATGTTTAAACCTGATGTAGAAGTTCATTAGGTGAATGTCTTGACTGATTTCAATGATTAACATTTCAAGCTAAAGCTAAGCAGAGCTAATCAATTTCATTGTTCGATGCTTTGGGACAAGATAATCTTGATTCTATCTGATAGAGAGTGATGAAACTTAGTGTGTAGTTTGATTGCTCGATACTTTTGAAAAAAAAAAATGTGCGATTAATTAATAGGTGTCATCTATTTATTTTGGAATTTCGGCGGCGGACATCAGCCTCACTGTTGGCTTGTTTCTTTACTTTATATTTGAATTTTAAAATAACATGTTGTTTTTTTTTATTTTCCAGTTACATTGAAAGAATGAAATTTTTACAGCGAACAGATTTAAGACAATTTGAAATTGAAAAGAATCTGAGAATGAGCAGTAGTAGGAAATGATCTGTGTGGATGTCAATGAAATAAAAAAACTAAATGTGTGAATGAAATGGATTTAAAACTATGTGAACTAAATGTTTTTAATGTATGACCGTGCCAAAAGACATGGACACGAAGAATAATAACTGAATTCGTTTATTTTTTGTTGAAGAGACTTTATTCCGGCAACATATACAACTACCACAGTACAGTGATGCTTCTTGCTGTGTGCGTGTATGGGCTGACTACTATCAACTCAACTCTACTATCAACTCAACTAACACTCTCTCTCACGTTCTCATGTGCAGTCGCTTCCCTACGGGAAAAGGGTTACTATTAATAGCTATGAGTAAGGTAATGGTGTCATTAAAGGGACATTTTATCCACTGTCTCGCATATGAAAATTAAAGGGGCATTCTATCCACTGTCTCACATATGAAAAGACAAAATGGAGGATGACAGTTATTATGGCCAATGTGTGTGTAGGTTTAAAATGGATACTTGTATGAGCAGGGCTGGAATTTGCCTATCTGTGAGCTCCAAACCAAACTCATTGGTGGGCCTTTACTTATTGTACAGGTGCCCTTATGATTTTCAATATTATATAATGAAATACCCAATGTACACTTAAAACAAGGTTATATGCTGGCACGCAGTGGGCCTCTAGATACCCGTGTGTCCAAGGTCAATGGTCTACTAGGCCTATTGGCAATTCCAGCTCTGTATATGTGGAAAAATGAATATTGGACTTCTAGCAGACAGAAGGAAAAATATGAGTTTCCAGATTTCTTTCTACCTGTTTTTATGAGAATTGCGACAATAATGAATTTGGTGATCAGATTTATAAACTGTGATGTATAAAATCAGAGAGTTCGAAGTTCAATCTACATGTATTTCCAATTTAAAAAACAGGACTTCTGTGGTATTTGAATTGCCTGAGATGCACACAGATTTACAGAAATTTCGATTTGACCAAAAATAATGAAATTTACTAAATCAAATAATTCATGTTTTCAGTTTGTGATGTGCAGATTTAAATAATAAAGTCATCATACCAGTAATTTGTCAGAACTTTTCAGATTAATTTCGCTCATGCGTTCATTCAAACACTTTTATTATACTTAAAGATACATTATGGGAGATTAGATACAGAGCTGGCAGTTCCCACTAAATAGTTAAAAAGCATATAATGTAAAGAGAATTTACTGAAAATTTCTTTCAAATTGATCCACTCTGAACTGATAATTTAGCGATTGAATTTTGGGCCTAGCCTCGATCATCATTACTAAAGTTGGTACAATAAAAAACATAGTCTCAATTATTTATTCCATGATTTGATCATGAATGAAAGTTGAGCAGCAGACTGGATCATAATCCAGTAAATATCGTAGGCTAGCGATTTTGGTCTGGATAAGTTAAAGATACATTATGGGAGATTTGATAACGAGTTGGCAGTTCTCACTATAATAGTTAAAAACTAGATAAGGTAGAAGGCAATTTGGTGAAAATTTCATTCAAAGTGATCCACTATGAACCGAGAACTAAGCGACTGAAATTCCTATAAGCCTCGGTCATCATTACTAAAGTCAGTACGATAAACAGCATAGTCTCGATTATCCATTTAATCGTTTAATGAGAAGGAAAGTTATGCAGTAAATCGGCTTACAATCCACTAAAGATCGCAGGCTAGCGCAGCCATCTAGAGTTGATTATGGCCTGGGTAGGTTAATTAATGTCTAATTAATAATTTAGATAACATTTCAGGCCTAAAGAAAGACCTGAAATAGGCAGATTTAGCTCTTGCATAATGCATGTTTAATTAATGTCTAATTAATAATTTAGGTAATATTTCAGGCCTAAAGAAAGACAGCAATAGGCAGATTTAGCTCTTGCATAATATAAGTTTAATTAACAAATAAATTAGTATGTTTTTGGAAGATTCTTCTACAATGCCTCAGACCAAACTTAGGGCACTTGGGGGGGGGGGGGCAGCGCCAATAAATGTTTGGTTCTGTGGCACATGCTAGGTCGATTTGTCGTATATCTGAGCCATACCTTGACACTTGGACGGGGATCGGATTAAATCCTCAAGGTCTGAACAAGTACATAGCTATCAACAACCAAAAGCTAAACCACCAACGAAGGGGTGGGGGTGGATTGCCGAATGTTTAGCGTGTGCGCGCTTCATCATAAGGTCTATCATTGAGTCAACTGGCATGGTTTCGATTCCCCGATTGTATGTAACAAGGAGTAGGGTTGCCTGTCCAACTGCTAAAGACCCCAACGCTCAAGCGAATTATTGAAATAAAATTGAACCTTATGGTTGTCCCGAAAATACCAAGTTTGTGTCGAGTATACGTTACCCCCCCCCCTCTCTCCCTAATATTTCCTTTGGACTCCCATGCATGAAAGCCATGTTATGAAACGTATTAAGGATATGAGATATCACCCTCTGATGATGCACAACAGGTTTACGGATGCTTCAATAAAAAGGACAGGCATTGCTGGCATTCTTTCTTTTAACATTTGATTCACTTTTCATACGCCCACATTTTCATGTGGACATATATTGTCGTCGCCCCTGTCCGTCCACAATTGTTTGTGGACACTCTACAGGTCACAATTCTTATCCATTTTTGATGAAACTTGAAATATAGTTTTAAAACCAAAAGATCTCGGTTGCTTTCGATATTCACACTGATCAGCAGGGAATTTTCGCTAGGTCGCTACAATCACTGATAAGGATGACATCGATGCGACTTAATGAGCCAGAAATATTAACTTTTTTCCTGCGACAAATTAAATTCTAAAACATTTTTTTTATGTATTTGAGAAATAAATAAAGGCGTTTGACGTATTTGTAGGTAAAAATTATTTCCTTTTTACTGTAAATGGGTATTAAAATGACTAAAAGGCAGCATTCCGCCCGAAGCAGTAACGTCTTATGTAAACAATGCACGTGCCATTCAGCCAATGATTGACGCGGCGTGCTGCGACGGCACGTGTTAAGGCAGTCATCTTTGACAGAGATATTACTCTAGACTCGTAATTCTCTGTGAAACAGATTGTTCGATATTGACATGTATCGGATCGAAACTTCATGGATTATGGCCCCTGATTGTACTAAAAATCACGTTTTTAGCTTGTGGACACTCTATTATCACAATTATTATCTGATTTAAAAAAACGTTCGAATATGTCACCGTTACACCGTAATGTTGGTTGAGTTCGAATTTTGTGAAACTCGGACCAAAACTGTCGGACAAAATACCGCAAATAATAGATCAAGGTTGTGGACCCTCTAGAGGTCACAATTTTGATCCGATTTTGATGAAACTTGAACATGTTTATAACCCACAGATCTTGGTTACTTTCGATATTTGCGCATATCGGATCGCAACTTCCTGAATTATGGCCCTTGATTGTACAAAATTTAGAGGTCACAATTTTTATCCGATTTAAAAAAACGTGTGAATATATCACCGTTACACACTAGGATCTTGGTTCCTTTTGATAATCGCGAATATGCGAACGTAACTTCCTGGATTATGGCCCCTGATTGTATGAAAAATCCCAATTTAACTTCCGGATTCTCTAGAAGTCACAATTTTATTCCGATTTTAAAAACCGTTTAAATATATCTCCATTCCACCATAATAAAGTTTGAATTCAAATTTCGGGAAAATTGAAATCAAACTGAGTTTTGTGGTCATCTGTATTTTCATACACAGGCAAGTAGACTCTTGATAGTGTGTCAGCAAGGGGCATGTTCTTGCCCTTTTTTTAATACACAATTTCAATCTCATAGTTTTGTAGTGAGAGCAACATTCTCTGGAGCCTTTTAGGAGCGAGCTGTAAGAAGTGGTTTGTTCTGTACAGAGACCAGTGGTTTGTGATCACTCTCTACGAGTACTTTCCGGCCATAAACGTATTGCTGGAACTTGTGAAAACCATAAACAATACTCAACAGTTCCTTTTCAATTTTGCGCATAATTTTTTTCCGCGGGAGTTAGAACGCGACTAGGCCCGTATCAGAGGCTTCACACTGGAGACAAACACCTTCCTGGCTATTATAGTATTTTATAATAGGTGCTTCAGTTACTGCTTTTTTCATTTTTTCAAATGATTGGTCATGCTCAAATGTCCAGTTCCAAGCAGAATCTTTCCGAGTTAACGTTCGGAGTGACTCACAAATATCAGTGAAACCTTTCAAGAATTTAGATAAGTAATTAACCATCCCGAGGATCTGGTTTTAGACAATCTGATGAGAGAATAATATGTCCAATGAAGAAAACTTGTGTTTGTTTCAGATCTAGTTTATCTGGATTCAGTTTTACATTCTTTTGTCTACACCGTTCAAGAAGTTGAATGAATCTTTGGTCATGGTTTTTACAGCTTCATCTACAGTAGGGCCTTCTCCGATCCCAAGGATGTCATCGGCCACTCTAAAAGTACCATCAAGACCTTGAAGAACTTGGTCTATTCTGTACTGAAATATTTCAGGAGCAGGTGATATGCCAAAGGGAAGTCAGCCATCTGTACCTTCCAAAAGGTGTACCAAAGGTTGTGAGAGAGCTTGAACTTTCTTCAAGTGGTATATGCCAGAAACCATTGCGCAGGTCACACTTTCAGAATACTTTAGCTTGTGTAATACTAGGTAGTATATCCTCTATTACAGGTAAAGGATAGTAACTTCTTTTTGACGCTGTATTTAATGGTATGGGGTCTATGCAAACCCGAAGTTTGCCAGATGACCTTTTTACTAGTACCGGGCTGGACACTAGTCAGTCTGAGTGTCAACTGCTGTAATTAAATCTTGGCGTTCCATCAGGTCAAGTTTAGTTTTAAGCTGATCTCGGATAGCATGGGGCATTCTTCGTAAAGCTTGTTTCACTGGAGTAATAGATGTATCTTCTTCAGGTTTCTGTTCTCCTTCCAGCAATCCGATTTCATCATTGAAGATATCTTTGTAGACAACAAGAGTATCTTCCAGAGTTATGGGTTTTATAGTGATGTGATTTGGTACCACAGATGTATTTTCAATTTGCAGAATATTCTCCTCCAGTACTTTCAGAAGATTCAACTGTAGAATTGAGCGAGAACCAAGAAGTGGAATTCTCTTTTGAGGAACGACCACAAATATTCCACCGTAACTCAGAGAATTCTTTGGATTAACAAGTCTAAGTGTTGTAACACCATCAGCGGAAATCTGCGAACCATTATATATTTTTAATGTTTAGTCAGTTTTCTTAACTTCACAGTTTTCAGGCAAGTTTTCTAGAAATGACATTACAGGTAGCACCGCTGTCGATTTGAAATTTAGTGAGAGTTTTGTCAAGAAGAAGAGTGGTGAAGATCTTCGATGGATATGTCTTTTACAGCATGGACAGTTTCTTCGTTACAGATTTAAGAGTAAGTGAGAGTGAAATCGGGATTAAACTCCACTCGACACAAACTAGATTATCTCGGGACTAACACATTTTATTTCAATAATTCGCTTGCGCGTAGGGGTCTTTAGCAGTGGAAGGAAACCGGAGGACCCGGAGAAAACCCACGAGGTTGGACAGGCGACCCTACTCCTTGTCACGTACAACTCAATTACAGACCGTATGCTACAGCGCGCATGGCTAACCAATAGGCCATCCAACCCCCCCTTCAAGAGTAAGTAAGAGTTCATCTGAGTAATCACTACTAGAAGAATCATTCACAGCGTGTACTTGCTTCTTTATGAATTGCTTATTCTTCCATTTGCGTCGATACTTGTGCTGATTGTGGGAATTTCTAGTAGGTTTTAGCTTAGGCGGTATTAGGCACTGGGTACCAAAATGGGAAAGTTTTCCATAATTAGAGCATGTCTGATCCAATGCAGGGCATGAACCTTCTAACTCTTTTCATGTTTTCTGCCGCAGAACTTGAAATTATATTTCAGCTGTGAAGTAGAACTATCGTGCATCGACTTGGCACCAGTGTAAGAACTTTTATACACTACACAATGTCCTCGTTGTTTTACAACACATTACAAGACGTAGGGTGATGACGTAAACACTTCTGACACCATGTT